CTCTAGAGACTCTAGTCTAGAATCTCTAGAGCCTGAGCCTGTGGCTGTAGAGGCTGCATTGCACTTGCTGGGTGGTCAGCGCAGGCAGCTAATTTTCAAACGAATCGGAAGTTTGAAGGCCTGTGTCGCCGTGAATTTCCCGCTTCGAACCCGAGGACTGTCGTTTCTCGAGGTCGTTGGGGACAGCTTTGCCGGGATGCTGAGGCCCGGTGCCGCCTTCCTTGTTACCCAACCTCAAGACCGGCACAATTTTGAGGCGACCAAAGAGTTGTCGAGCAGAAGACTTCGGCCCAGACTAGAGCAGGACAGCTGTGATCTGTTCATCTTATTCATGAACACCTTCTCTCGCATTGGATCAGTGGCGCAGGGTAGGGCTTAAGCAGAACGAGAACTGAGCTGTGTTTGTTTCTGGATTCCCGAGGACTGCAGCACCTACTCCTGTGCTTTTAATTCCTGATCAAATTGCACGCAGAATTGTCAAACTTGATGCTGGAAAGAATGATCTTTCTGACGCTTAGCTGACGACTAGCTGGTAAACAGTAGCCAAGCGTAGCTAGAAGGTGCACAATTCACGCAAAAGGCTTTGGGGGTCATAGCTCTCAACAGAGCTGGGGGGATTGCTTTGCAGTTCTGCTTTACTCAGTCCCTGCTTCCATTTGGGCACCAGGTTCCAGTTTATGCTGTTCAGCACAGAAACTGAGAGCTGCTGTTGAAATGGTTGACATCATGTCGCACAGAGGATTGTCAGCAGCACCGGCGCTTCTTAGCTTGAAGAAGCGGGATGTTCTCAGGATTGAAAAGGAAGCGGTCATCAGAACCTTGAAGCTGAAGCTTATCACAAAGCTGGCTGACATGATTGGTAAGATTGCAATTCGTTGCGGCATTGTGTTGTGTTCGATCAAATTGGCTGATGTACTTCCTTCCAAATGAGATGGCCAAGTTGCTGCCACTGATCTTTGCTTCACAGCCTATCGATCTCTTCAATAACCTGTGCAACCTTCTGTAACGGAAAGGAAGTTCAAGCTTGATTCAAACATTTTCTTGATTGAGTGCACAATATGACTAGGTTGTAAATGTACTCGCTGCAGAACAAGACAGCGACAGGAAAGACTTCCTCACACTCTGCCGGAGAGTGGACGCCACAATCAGAAGTTGGTGAGGTGGTCATGACAGGGTGCTGTCCTTGTTGGAACTACCTAAGAGCAGGTTGCAATCAAGAAGGGATTCCATGAAGTATGGGATTTTCATATACACCTCTCGAAGCATGCACTTAGGAAGCTCCATCACATAGACATGACTTGCATCTTACAACCAGGTACTATATCTGCATCCTACTTGGTCCTCATATGCTATTTGGAAGTGTCCAGAACACCCCCGATATACTGGCTGCTGCTAAATATCTGGCGGGCCGCTTAATCTCCCTTGTCGCCATCCAGGTGGATAAGTCAATCAACAGACTTCTTTGGCTGCAGGTACCACCTACAGTTTGAGGAACTCATGGTATGTGATGCACGAAGATTGTGGAAAAAGCCCCGATGATCTTCAAGTTCCATCATCTGGTATTCAATCTGATCAACATGATCAGATCTGGTGGTCTTGCAAGCTTTTAAGCTGCACATGCTACAAGCTTGGTGATTTGATTAATAGAAGTGATGTCTGAGAAAACAAGTTGTGAGGTTGCGGTTTTGCTACATCGTCCACAATCTGAAATCTCTAGTCCTTTGCCTGCTGTGAGTAGCAAGTATTCTTCTCTGATCCAAAAAACGCTCTTTCCTTGTCTGCAGCAACTCTACTCGTTCTTTGAACCAGTAGCTGGGACCTTGAAGCTACAGCAACAGAATTTATCGCCTACTCAGATCGAGAAACTTGAAGTACGATTCCTGCGGCACCTCATGCAGGTACAACACTTCTTAAGTACAACATCTCGACAGAACGCTTCTGACCACTTGGTTCGTATGAAAGTGGCCCCGAAATGTCTTCCAGCCGAGTCTATTTGAAGATGAGCTGTATGCTGGAGAAAGGATGCCTGCTTAGGTTGGTCAACTGACGAGGAAGAGTTGCGATACTCGCCGAAGTTTTGACAAGAGTTGAGTTCTTTGAGAGGCAGGAACTGCGCTTGAGACGGGAGATCCAGCTTTCAGATCCAACGTAAGAGGTTCGGCGGTGACAACGGGCACTGGCCCGCTGCATAGTGCTGTTTTCACATGTGTTTATAAAACCAGCCGCTTTTCGTTGCGACATTTGAATATAGTATGAGGCAGCCACATCTGGGGTGTACGAAGACTCGCAGCTTCTGGCGGCCTATATACTCTTCTCCATGGTTGGAAGAGACCGTTGCTTCCAATGATCCTTGAACGAACTCCTTTCACATTGCTGCAGGTTTTCGAGAAGAGCAACTTCAAGTTGCTGAGCGATGCAGAGTATGAGGTTGCGCAGAAGGGAGAGTATCTGCTCAATCTGCCGATCGAGGTTGACCTGAAACGATTAGACACGCAACTGTTGAGCAACTTCTTTGCATCCGAAAATACGAAGCAGACCTTGCCCTCGTACAGCAGACACGTAAGGTCCGCCTCACGTTTTGACTTCGTTCGAGCGGATTGCTCCTCGACTGCGTCTGATCAAGTTTGTGACGTGTTGAGAGGGCTTGAAGTACGTCTATATGTCTCAGAAAAGGCAACGCTCGGCCTGATTGGTAGGAACGCTTCTTTCTACCCTAACTGTCAAAAGGGCCAGCACTATCCTAACAGTCAAAGAGCGGGCAAGCAATCAACCCTGCATGGCGCAAGTAGCACGCCCTTTCTTGTATGTGCTGACATGGTACCGCAACTCAGAAATGGATAATCTGAAAGTGCTCCCAACACTTGTTTGTGTGTTTGTTTTGCAGTATTTGCTATTTCGGAGAGGAATCGACAAGGACCAGACGAGTGGTCTGTTCATCATGGAGAAGATCAACCTTCTCATTGGGTACCTGCTCGTCTGGCTGCTCCAACCGTTCAAGTTTGTCTGGTGAGAAACCAGGCCTCCTGATGTTTCTCCACAGTGCTGTTCGCTTGAAGGTGCAAACGTGCTCAATTTGCCTTGCTCTTGTCAATGAAAGTCCATCTCTCTAATCTTCCTTACGAATCTCTGTCAGAGCGGAGGACACGCTCGTTCAATGTTTCCGAGAGAAACAATGTAAAACTCACCGGAAAACAAGGTACCTGGTGAAGATTTCGAGGATATGAGCTTCGTGCTTTCTTCGGGTCCCTTTCCTGTGCCGAGACAGGCGACGGATTCACCGGAGTGGTCTTGACTGCACTGTAATTGACACTTCACTGCGCTTACAACATGCCGGAAAGATCTTCTCGTTTCTTCAGGAACCGGATACGAAGAGCCGAAAAAGAGTCGAAGAAGGCCGAGTCTTCAAGAACAAACCAGGCACAGTTAGACCGGGCAGCCGACAACAGTCTTCACGACCGAGAGAGCATGTATGTGGAACGGGTTCGGCTTGAGAACATGCAAATCAGGTGAGGGTCTTCAATCTTTCAAGATGTTCAACCGCTTGTTCGTCATGCTAGATCAGATGCGCTATGGCGTGCGAAAATGCGGATCAGTCTGTTGATATTCGAACAGGCTGTTTCAAAGGTTGGTTCTGTCCGTAAGCCCGCTTCAAGAGCTGGCAAAAGGAAGTATGATACCACCCTTCGGGGGCGGGGCAGCCCCGTCTCTTTGATGGAAGGATAGCGGCACCAGCTGCCCTTTTCGAACTGCAATTTATGGACTTTCTCGCCTCCGTCAGAGAAATCAGGCTAGGGTGATGATGTAACTTGTTCGTGGACACTACAAGGATTCTGGACCTGTAATTTGTCCCTGTATCAAGACGCCAAAAGCTCTTTCCTTCCCTACTGAATCAAGCTTTGCGCTGCACACTGCAGTTTCAGGAACTTACTAACGACCACCACCATCCAGGAGCCGACCTTCGAGAGGATTATTCTCGTGTACAGGTGAGACCATTTGCGCGATGCCGTTCGTACTGTCACGCCTTTCTAACGTGAAAGATTGTTGTAGACGGACGGTCGCAGAAAGATGCGCGGCTCGGCTTCCACACACTGCAGGCACTACAAAACTGGCCGCCATTGAACTCCAATCTGGTCAGTGGACGAAATTCGGCTCCAAAGTCAAGTGCGCAAATTTCCATTCCCGGAAAGACTCCACCGACCTGGATCCTTCGTTAAGTTTCGCGCCACTTTCTGCAACAAAATCTTGTAGCGCACCAACGTGAAAGTTTGTTCGAGTGGCTAGGTCTGACAAACCGGTGCATTCCGCTCCTCCAACACTAATCTAAGCAAGGCGGCTCTTGGGACGCTCCCGTTCACAGCCAGGCTTTGTGCCGAGCCATCATGCAGATTTGTTGATTCTCGCTCAGTAGAAACGCGTCTATCTTGCTTCACTTCAATTGATATTTCGCGCTCCTTGGCGTTCTACTTTGCCGACTTCTCACATATTTCTGGTGACTCAGGAGTGCAACACCCGCCAGCCATACGAATGCGCTCGGCGACCGTACGATCCACATCAAGCAGTTCCGCAACATTCCGATGGCGGACATGGAGCTTGTGCTGGTGAGAGCACCACCTAGTACCCTTGTTCCTCGAATCGTAAGATCCTAGATTCTGAATGTCTGACGGAAGACAGTCATTTAGAAACACGAGGATCAGGTTGAGGGTTTGGACTCAACGAGAAGGCAGAATATGACGTTCATGCTGACGTCAGGTACCAGTTGCTCTCCCTGTTCTGAATGACCAAATATGATGTCCATGCTAACGTTGGAAACCAATTGCTCTCTCTGTTCTGAATGACAGAATCTGACGACAGCATGGACGTCATATCCTGTCATTCAAAACAGGGAGCAACTGCTTTCTGACGTCAGCATGGACGTCAACGAGTTGCTCTTCCTATTTTGAATGGAAGAATATGAGCGTCGATGCTGACTTCAGAAGTCGATTGCTCTCCCTCTTTTGGATGAGTCCGTACTGACGTCAGGAACCAGTGCCCTCCCAGTACTGGATGACGTCGTACTCAAAACACGTGCGCTTCTTGCAGCCCGAGAAACGGACCCCAGGACTCACACCGATGGACACGGTGAAGATCGGCGGGTCTGCAGCGGCGGGCGCGGTGAGTGCAAATGAACGGCTTCTTCTACTGTGGCTTGAGGTTTAACACGAGGGTTCGCTGCTTTCAGATGGAAACGTGGCCATGACTAAAGCGTAGGAGAGACGGACACACACACTTTCCGCCCGTGGCAAGGGGCAATGTTTTCAGCTTTCGGAACTGGCACTTGAAAGCTTTCGTGGGCCTTCAAAGTATCGGGCACCACATATTGCAGCATCATTTCCTTTCTCGTTGGGACCTTCATAGATAAGCACCAGCCATAGAAAGTCTTCAAAGAAGAGTCCGTGCATCAGATGTGGGGCTGCAGAGAGTTTTTGATACGACCTCAGGTGAACGATCTAGAGCTTCTCTCTACTTCTTGTGGTTCCGAACCAGCCCGTACTACAGCAGGAACTCACATCGATCTCGAGCGGCTCTTGTACTCTTCTGTCTTCTGCTAAAGCTCGTAGATCTTGCGTTCGTCTCGAAGAGCTTCCGTAACACTCGGCAGAACGCAAACTCACGATGGGAAACAACTCATGGCTGGGGGACGACCAGCTTTCAGAGGCTGCCGTTCGGATTGTTCAGATTGAAAGAGAATTGCTCCAATCTCGTATGTGCTGGGCTTATTGCGGATTCTGAAATTCAGGCATCGAAATCTGCCCTGCCAAAGTCTGCGACTTCAACGCCAGATTTTAAAGGAGTCCTTATGTACATTGCGGACAGTAGTGCTGCGGTTCTGATCATTGCACAGTTCTGCAAACCGCCTGTAACGTGGCTCGAAACCTGCTGTTTGCAGGCTGCTCTGTGGGGCTCGTTGGACGGAAGCAAGATCGACACCAAGGTCTTGCTAGCGGTGCTCACTGCAGTCGGGGGTTACATCTTCAAAATTTATACAGAGTGAGCATCCTGCAGCCGCAGTCTTTGAAGCTAAGCACCCTGTCAAGATTGCAAGCCAGGTTTCTTTGTAGCGTGATCTCAACGTCGAAGAGGCCTGGTAGGAGGGCGGTTTTGGACTGTTTATAATGAGCTGAAGGGCGAAAAGAGTCCCCTCTAGCACAAGGCCACTCCAATCTGTCGCATGTTCACCGCTGCCCTTTGAGGTAATTTTTAAGGGCAAAGAACCATATCTGGGTTGTTTACCACACGGAAAGTGGCTTGAATGAAAAGTTGAAGCTCTCTTCTGCATTCATTCAACTTCCGCCCTAAACGTTACACCCCTGTATCAGTGATGCTGCAATTGCTCATGTTCGCCCCTCGATTCCGCAGCTTCCAGATTGCGCGGAGCAAGTACCAAAGCCTGATGGTCAAAGCGATGTACGACAAGAACATGGATAGTGGTAAGCACCAATTTGACTGCCCCCACTCTTTCTAACCGGTAAGCAGGTCTGCAATCGGTTTGCGAGGTTCCGTGTGGGTGCAAGCCTTCCCGCGTTTGCCCGCAAGTCAAGCTCTTTCTGAAACAGCTCGTGGACTGAGTCCTGGCAGCGCCACATTTGTAGAAGTTAATCTAGCTGCTTAGCGCGCCATGGGCTTGTTCTCGACGAAAAGGCAGGCTTTCAGTCTGAGCACATCCGTTTCCAATCCTCATGAGGCCGCCAAAGATTTTTTGTCTCAGTCTGTTGCTTCGCCAGATTGTCGCTAGTCAGGGACCACTCCTGTTTGTTATTTTGGGCACTGACCTTCGTGTCCTTTGGTTGCAGGACGGGGCACGTTGCTCCACCTATGCGATGACGTCATCCAGCAGGAGGTGAAGGAGGTCATCTTAGCGTACTTCGTCCTCATGACGCAGGGCAAGCTCTCAGAAACGGTGAGCGTCCTTGTGATCAGCAAAGCTCCTTGAGGCGCCGACTATGAGCAGAACTACAGCCCTGTATTTGACTTGCCCGTCAGCATTTGTGCTTTCGCTTGGACGTACCCACTTGGCGATGCCTAAAGTCGCTGTTTGCGGATCCTCAGTGCTGCGTGCTCTGATCCGTCGCTTCTCTGCCTGTTTCTGTGAAGATCCGCGATTCGATCATCTATCCTGGATCACCAGAAATGGACCAGCAAAAGCGTCGAAACTGGCTTCCTGCTCGACAATTCGGGGTCAGCAGGGCCAGATGTTGGAGTCGTTCTGAAGAACGAGAGTCTGGCCGTTCCTTCAATCGCTTTTGAATGCCTTCGCAGGAGTTGGATGAGGCTTGCGAGGAGTTGCTGGAAGAAGAGTTTGAGGAGACGACCAACTTCGAGGTGTCGGATGCGTTGCAAAAGCTGGAGAAGCTGAGCATCGTCAACAGGGTAAGGCAATTAGCGCTGCAACTTTGAAACGTTTCTAGAAGAGGTCAGAAGACAATTCGGATATGGGTGACGCCTTGCCTCGCTCTGGAGTCTCATCATCTACTGGAATGTATAAGTCATTGCTGCAAAACAAGAACCGAGAGCTCACGTGTAACAAGTCCGTCGCGGTACATTGCCTCAACGTTACATGTGAGTTTGGCAGCACAACCGATGTCACGTCCTCGATTGGTTATGCTTCGCAAGTGCTTGAAGGCCCTTTGATTTTACTAATACGAGGCTGAAGTCTGAGCTCTGTTTGGGCCTCCTTTCAGGATTCTCTGGGCCGATACATGCACCAATCTTTAAAGAAAGCGAACGAGATTATCGGGTTGACGACGGACGAGCTCGTCGAGATGAATATGAACCGCAAGGTTTTTGGATTGTAAGAAGTACTTTTGAGTCTTTAGACTTTAAGCGAATACCGGTATACTAATCAAATTGACCAGAAAAGCAAGTCAAGACGTTCCAGTAAGGAGGCCGATTGCAGCCAAGAAGTGTGTCCGAAAGCTACTGACAAAGGTACATAAGAGGTGTCGGTTGGAACTGCACATTGAATCTAATTTTGACAGTGACAGCATAAGAAGTTGCAGGAAGAGCTGACCTGATTGCCAGAAAGGCGCGTTACTATCCTGTGCCGATTGAGTTCAGATCTGACACAATCAGGCGTGCTCTTTATCGATCATCAGACTGATCCGACCTCAATCTTAGCGCGCTCATTCGCAATTGCTTGCACGACTTAGAATTAGACACCTGCCAAGAAGTCGGTAAGCAGCCCGCTTCAATGAGTTCGAATTCAAGCTTCTAGCCGCCGCTTCCAAGATGTATACGTTTAGAGACAATTTGCCATGGCATGCGGACTCACGCTAGTGACCTTCCGGCGGTCGCCCCCCAAGTTGTATCGACAATCTTAGTATGCATGTGCCCAAGTTGCGATTTTAAGATATGAAGTGTCGTCGCGTGCTTCCGGCCATGGCTCAGTGCAAAGTAGACTCTGCCACCTAGCGGCCCTGCTTGTGCTTGTATAAATATGGATCAATGCAATGGTGGCGGTTTGGAGCTGACGTTTGAATGGCTGCAGCACCATGGCCGTCTCCACGTGACCCATCATTTCACCAAGGCTTTATGTTGATCTGTTGAAGCATCTAAGTTGATCGAGTCGCTTTGCTTGCTTCCTCCTCTTGCGTGCGAAATGCTCAGCCTCCCTCTCAATGCTCTGCTCAGCCTCCTGCTCAGAGTCAATCAACCCTTGCCAGGCCTCTTGGTCTGCTGCGCGCCTTCCCACGTACGTCTTCCCTCGGGCCTCGGATCGAGCGCGCTAGGACTTTTGCCAATACGCTGGAGCCGATTTTCGTCGCCGTTTGACCACTATAGCCTTCAAAAGCCGGCAGCGGCCATGACGTCTCGTACTATCTATGTGCACAGTCTGACAGGGCAGCCTCAGGCTTGGGCGGCGTTCTTACTAGCTCAGTGCGAACACCGGCAGTTTCTGCGGCGACCACCATATCATGGTTGATAGAAGCCGGATCACCCCTCAGAGTTTCAGTCAAATGCTGTGCTGGTTACGTCGAGCCAGTCGGCGGTATGGTACCCGGCTGATTGGTACGGCCCGGGCACTTCGGAGACCGTACCGTCAGTAAGTACCCCCGCCTCAGTAGCCGCGCTTATCATTGTGAATTCGAAAGCATTTGTCCTCATCCCGGGCAAACAGAAATTTCATATACATATCCAGATTTGTAACCCAACGGTTACCGCAGAACTGCTACAGTAGAAGTTCTGCTAAAGAAGTGCCCAGTTGAAAGATAGGTACTGTAGCAGTTGCATGGTAACCCGGCAGATTAGAAACCAACCGCATGAGGCCGGCATCACGGGGGCATGCCGCATAATCTGTATCCATTTCTTGAATTTAAAACGTGCAAAAGATCCAATCCGACCAGAGTGAACTACAGTGAACGGGCTACCGTACGGTTTTAGTAAACGGCCCCGTATTGACCGGTCGGAAAGATCGGCTTGATTGTTGGTTCTCCGAGCTCGTGATAGTGCTCGGAATGTTGGCCGAACTGGGGTGGCAAACTGAGCGTAAGAGTGCCCGGTGAGTTCCCGCCGGTTTTGCACCTTCGACACCTTGAAGCACCATATCCTATCGAGCACTCGAACAGTACCTACTTTAATAGGTATGCCGGTACCTATACATCGGTGCAGATATCTAGGTTGTCACCCACTAGCTGACGCCGAGGGTCACCGATGGCAAAACCCGCCTGCATGGGTCTTGCCTATAGTCTGTTGCTGGCAGCAGCAGCAACTTTTTACCAAAGCTGTACATAGACTGCGTCTGCTGGAGCTGATTGGATAATGGCGGGGGCATTGCATTGCGCCTTCCTGTACGGAGGTGCCCTCCTTGTCGTTGCTGTTCAGCTCATCAGAAGTGTGGAGGCTCGCGTTATAAACTACCCTAAGGCGCCTAACGAGACATACACCGTGTGCACAGTCTCAAATATCCCCTACTCCACCTGTGAACTAAGCTCTACCGACAGCTCAACCTATGGAGGTAAGAACCTGTGTGCAGGTCTGGCCTCGTTCTGGCAGCCTGCTGGCTCTTTAACCAGCAACGGCGCGCTGATCATCTTTCTTGCTGAAAGGGGTCTTAGCGTAGGTTTGTGCACACAAAGGTTCCAGGATCTGTTTAGTGAGTTCCTCTCTAGGCGTCGTGCCCTTTCCAGCTCGTGGAGACTCCTCAGGATGCCTTTGCAGACAGGATGTGGTCAACAGCAGATTCAGCATGTGGCCTTCAATCAAAGCCAACGGTCTATGCAACACATGACCACTTTGCTGAAGATTGACACCTGCAAAGCTGCCCCATGTGTCAGGCTATGCCGTCAAAGTGTTTGAGAAGGCTGCCTCAAAAGTGGGCTGGTCAGAGGACGACTACACTTGGGCTTGCCTGGACTACGACGTTATGCAGAACGACATTCTAAACTCATCAGTGCATGGGTTTTGTGACGCGGCAGCAGTAGATATGCAGGTAAGATATAAGACGGAGGCTAGCGTAGCATAGGCTAGCATCACGTGCAGAGATAGGTTGTGATGCAAGTCCGGATGCTGCTGTCCTAGCTGAGATGTAGGGGTCTAGCCCCTTTGTTGGCGCGCAATAGGATAGTTGCAAGCTAATCAATCTCTTTCGCAGAAGGCTTCAGGTTCTCTATGCTTTCAGCTGCTCTGACCGCCTCTTTGGAAACCTCTGGAAATGAACCCCTGCTTGGTATCCGGTCACTTTTTGGAAGCTTAAGCCACTCTTTAATGACGCATTTTGTCTCCTGTGGCTTGCTCAAATATCAGGAAAAATGTCGCTCACCCAGATCATTGTCAACAGCCCTCAGACAGTAGTCTGAGGCTATCTGCTAAAGCCTACTGGATGCAAAATTAGTAGGGCCATTGGCAGGGCCGTTTGCTGGAGCAGACGTCACATCGCTGATTGATCTTTGCGTTGATTTTCGTTTGTAAAAGTATCGGTGGGCTAGCTGCCAAATCACAGTTGATTAAGGTTGATCCCCTGAATCTCATAACGCGCTTCCTGGCATCGCAGATCCGGCCCAATTTCCTTGCCCAGGGCGTCCAATTTGTATATCCAGACTTCCACAACAACCTGGCGGTGATGATCCATGCCAAAATAGAACAGCCGGACGGCTGGATCTTCACCAAGCCCTTTGCATGGCAAGTTTGGGGAATGCTTATTGTGGCTGGTAAGTTGCAACTCCAAATCAACTCCAAATAAACTCCTTTAGAGGTTCAAGTAAAACAATCAGCAGCGCTATACTTCTGCCTCGTGTCTTGCAAGCAGAGCGTTGAGAACCTGGTCTCAAAAACGCAGCTTTAGAGGCACAAATGTGACAGACGACGTGACGACTTTTGGTTGAAGCATGGAAGCACTCAGAAGACCAGAATATTCCGGCAATGATGTGCTTTGCTAGATAATCGTGACTACATCTCCTCTCTGAAACCATGTAATCATAGCACTGTGTTTTGTCTTGCAGCCATTGCAGTAAGCGTTGGGGTTCACTTGGTCGAGGTACTTTCAAAGCAGTTCACAAGTCGGGAAGTCAGAGCGGGGGTGTCTCTGACGGGTGAACACGGCTTGTTTGAATCCATGTGGATGGGTAAGGGTGTCAACTTACGCCTCCGTTGTCTATGAGAGGGCGAGTCAGAAGGATCCAGGCTCACAAGTTCACTGCGCTTAATGGTCTAGTTCTCACGGCCTGTTGCTTGCTTCAAGCGCAGATACAGGTGGCTTGCATGAATCAATCGCTTTGGACTTTCTGAGAGTAAATTAGCTTTTAGCACCCGCGAAAACATTCGCTTCTTGCCTTGCTACCTCTCTCAACGTTACTCTGGAGACCGTGCAATTAACATCGTTGAATCTGAAGACCCCTTAAATAAAAGACATCGTCTGATCGATGATCTAAGCTTCATGGTTGATCGTCGATTGGGGGTTCAGACGTCTGACATTCCTCTTCGCTCGTTGCAACAGCCTTGGGCCAGATAGTTTCCGCCGCCTCTTTGACGGGGATCTCCCTGGCTTCCCGCCTCATCATCCTCGTGTGGTGCTTCATGATACTCCTTCTCCTGACCATGTATACCGGAAACGCAGCGGCCCTGTTGACCACTCAACAATTCAAAACCACCATCAACTGTAAGTCACTCATCATCGATTGACATTACGAAGCTTAATTCTTTGCAAGATTGCATCCCAGTAGATAGCCGAATAGTTGATGCGCTTCATAAGCAGGAGTTCTGCATTTGTGACCATGCCAAATGATGCAGCAAATCTTTTGAGAAGCAAGTCACTGTGCTTCGATTAATGGCAGACTGATTGTGAGCAGCGCGGTCTTTCTAGCAACTCAGTCTTGCTAACATAGACTTCTACAACATAACAAGATGACGGATGACACTGTCCAAATCTCCCTGCCTTTCTATGGACTTTCACTGTCAATCTTTTCGCAGCAAGATACGACCTGCGTGGTAAGACTTTTGGCGCTTGGGAAGGGGATGCTGAAACACTCAATAGCTTTGCACTTCTCCCCAAACTCTATCCTTGGTGAGCGACTCTCGGATGGCCACAAATATGCTTTTCGCAAGAGTGTCAATTCAACGCCACGTCGTTGCTTGCATGCTGAAAGGCTTGTCATCTGCACTAGTGTCAACTTGCATGGCTGTGCCGACTAGCCAGTCGATGCCAAGTCAGGAATATCAAAGGAATTCAAGCAAGTCAGCCGCTCTTGGCTGCTTCCGGTTGTTCTTAGTCGAAAGGTCCTCGCTGAGATGTGACTCCCTTTCGTTATTCAGGAACACCGATGAGGAATTCCAGGTTATGTTAGATGACCTTCAGAGCGGGGACATCGTTGCGCTCGTCCTTGACATTGCCCTGGTGCAATACCTGGCCTCAACGGACTGCAACTATCATCTGGTAAGTTCGACTATCTTCGAAGAATGTGGTCTAAGTTGCATGTTAGCATGTGAGCGGCTTGCTGACTATGTTACATACTGTTGAAACAGATCTGGAGGGGAACTGTACCTTCGATGCCAAGGACTGCATGCTTCCTGACGGCGCTTATCAAGCATCAATAAGCACCACTGACTTCTGGTCTGCTCTGAGTCGATCATTGCCTGTTGATCATAAGTGCGGGAGTGATTGGCCTAGCTTACGGAGTGATCGAGGGGTTCTTGACGGACGTGTGGTTTGATCGTGCTGTTGACGCAGAAGCTGAGGGTGTCAGGCTCTGATTGTTGGAACTTCGACGGCTGGGCCAGACTTTGCGTCGTTTTCCTTGCAGCAAGACCAGTTTGCTTCCATGAACTATGCAACGGCATTCTGGCCCGGAACGAACCCTGCATTGGTAGCTCAATTCAGCGCAGCAGTACTGGAAATGGAGGTGTCTGGGGAGCTGGACATGCTCCAATCCGTACATTTCACGCAGGGGGCAAGCTGCCCTGTGCTGTCCGCAACCACAAGACCGGTGACGTTCTCGCAGGTGAGTTGAAGTGCTCTTGCTCTTCCTCGTGCATTAACAGGTGGCCATTATACGATCGGCTTAGGAAGCAGCATGGTCCTGTAATGTTGCAAACTCAGGCTACAGGTAAACGGACAATATCGTTGGTAGGTACTACAGTAATCATCTTCTTTTGCTCTTGAAGAAGTAACCTTGAGGAACCTACTGGCCGCGAAACCTGTCGACAAGTAGATATGATGTTGAACTGTCGCGCCTGCGTTTTGCTTGCAGGTGTTTGGACTTTGGGTTGTGCTGGCCGTGAGCATTGCGGTGGCTATCATAATATCCATCCTCAACGGTCAGATTTCAAAGCGGAAGTACGTGAATAAGCTGACGAGCAAGGTGATTGGACAATGGAATGTTAGGGGCAAGAAAGCACCCGAAGAAATTGTGCAAGGGACTGACGTCGAATCTGGGGATTGCATTGAAAGGGAGAGGCCGGCGACTATGAGAGCTCCAGCCAGTGATGGAGAGGATGCTACTCCCGCCACAAATCCTTCAAAGAACAAGTTCAAAAGCGCATTACAAAAAGCCGTCCGGAGTGAGTCAAGTCAACTTTAGACGTGCACCTAAATAGTATTCTACTGCAACGTAGTTAGTTACACGGCAATATAGAATCATAGAAGCGAGGAGTGATTGGCATAGCTAGTTGTACATTAATGCACGCACAGTCCACTTGCCTCGTAAGAGGTCGTGTAACAAGACCCTTGCAAGCGCGTAAGAGGTTGCACAAGCGTCATACCTAGCCAATAATGCCTTCGACCACTGTACTAATTAACATGCTAGAATTAAAGGTCCACGATGACCGTCCGTACTAGCTGATTCGCTCTCCCGCATGACAGTCTCCTAATTGATTTTGGACTTTATACTGTTATTCCGAAAGCCGCGCTGCATTCATTGAATGAACGGCACAGCACTGATCTAAGGGCCCAGATCATTCATGATTGATGTGTACTATGATTGTCCAAGCTCGGGTCGGAGCCCATGCATGGTATACTAAGCTAGGTTGGAAGGGGCGGCTGATCGACTCACGCGGGCGGGTAAAATGTGTATCGAACATTGCTCCAACATGTATATACCAATAAATATGCAGATTAATTGCAATAAGGTGTGGCGTGGCACGTGCAGGACAAAGCTGATTCGCATTTGTGCGCCAACAAGACATGCATTCATGAATGGGCGCGCGCGCTGTCATATGCACAGATTGTGCGCGCATACAGAAGTACACACTCGAAGCGGGCGCAGCTTCAAGTTTCATGTCGTAATATAGTCAGCCGGTCCATGATGCGACCCAAGCAGTGCAACACCATTGCCAAATCACATGACAAGGCGGGGCAGTTGGCCATTAACATCTCCATAACGTGTCACGTGCCCCTATCTGACGATCTTGACAGACAAGATACAGTCGTGCATCTTAGCATTGGTTAGTCATCCTCAACTTTGAAAAATGTGTAGGACAATGTCAAAAGGTTGATTCCCTTCATCTTCGCATCCTCTGCAAACTCCGGGTCAATGTAAAAGAAGACCTGCAAAGCGAGAGATCATGCAACCCGTGAAACTCTTCCCAGAGGACTCGCAAACGCGCTCGCTCACTTGAAACACGCCAATGACGATGAGACCAAGCGATAGTGACCGCGCGATCAATCTCCTATCTCCTGCACCAACTTCTGACGCACACCAAAAGCCCGAAAAAATCCGAAGGAGGTATAACTCTGTTCCCAATTTCAAGAATTTGACAAACAGATGAATGCTGGCCCGACTGATCGCATTGAGGTGCGATGAATGCCACTTAGAAGGGGGTTATCCTTCTTCTTCGATTTCTTCGATTGTTCCCAACAAAACATTCTCAGCTCAAAAGTATTAAGGTCTTGTTCGGGCCAGCAACAAACATGTGAAGCTGCTCTGTGATATAAGCCGAAATCATAGGTAAATCTAAGGTAAATTCAAGATGGTATCATGTACTCAGTCAGCGTCCCGTATCTGCAATCCTGTACTTTAACGTCTGTCCCCGTTAGCGATGCACCTCCTCTACAGACACGAATTTCTCGGACAGGACTGATTTCAGAATCAGTCAGTAGAGATTTCTCGTTCCGGGGGGCTCAGTGCCAGACTCACCGGCATGTCGACTTTCTCGCCTGGCCGCAACCGCTGCTCCTCAAAGCAGAAGCACTGAATCTTGTTGAAGTAGATCCCGGCCTGTACATGCGAACCGAGTGGCACGAATCAGACATGGACACGTGGCAGCAAAAGCTGATGTTCTTCAAAGACCCTTCCACAGCGCTCTACTGTCTTGTTGACAAAGCGTTTCTTCGACGCTTTGCCAAGCTTACCGTGACGCGTTTGCCATGCTTACCGTGAACCCTTTGCAGTGTCGACTTTCGAAGCTGTTTGATTACTTGCGGAACAAGCGAGACGGTGACAACTCGAATTAAGTACCTGGTTCTTTCCAAATCAAGCCACAGTTTTGTATTCTGCGGTCGAAGAGAGGCAAAATACCACCACGAACTACAAAAGCCAATACGCAGCTTCTCTTTCCTGACCCACCCACAGGCTCCGAGCCACTAGCGTATGGGCGTGGCAGGACGATGACATCACTCACCCGCATCGGGCTAACGTTGTACGTTGACACCCCGGTGATCGCCTTGTCACTCAGGTTGTGCGCCGTGTAGAACGCAAGCGTGCTTTGACCAGGGACCACCTTCACCTGGAAAAACACGACGCCTTAAGTCAAGGAGTTGGTTAGGGAGTAACTGAACCCGAAAATCACGACGGCTGCGGTTGGTTTTTCTTAGGGAGTACCTTAACCTGAAAAAAATGACGTCCAAGATTGAGACTGTTTGGTTAGGGAGTGGGTCCAAGGAAAGTCGAAGTTCGTTTTGTTTCTCGCAGGTGAATGGACCGTTACCTACGAGAATTGTTGAGCAAGTCATCTTGGCCATTATGAAAACTAGATAAAGGATCGTGACGCCAGTCAGCCGAAAACACAAAACACTGTCGGAGCGCGCTCGTGAATCGAAAGCCGCATTGCTTGCAGAATTCCAGTGGACTTGACTCTAGGGCTATAGCGAGCTACTATCGGGTCAACACGCTCAGAATGGATTGGAAGGCCAGTAGGAAGCACTACTTGAGCCCCTCAAAAGCAGACACCATCGGCTGTGTTCGGAGAATCCTTCCATGGGGCTAGCAAACGACCACAACTTGAATCCGTTGTGCTCGTAAATTTTCTTGTGATGCTGACTGACGCTGATTTTTCGTTCTTGCATGTAGCAGGCACGAGACAGACACGTGAACAAAGACATTCAGTATTTCACGGAATTTGGCTTTCACACTAAAAACGCGGTACTTCGAGCTTGGAGAAAGGGATGGCTCAAAACGAAAAGCAGTCCGTGCGATGAAGGCACGGACAATCATATGCGCTTCAACTAGTGGGCGTATATCGAAAGGCTTCTTCGGTGGATAACGACAAAGAAGTTGTCCTTCCCTCTGTCTCGTCCTCCTACGTTCGTTATCGTCGAAATGCTAAAAGAGATTTTGCTCCAGAACCACTTACTTCGAAAATTAACTCAAGCGAATGAAGAAAGAGACTTGTCTTGAATGCGTCCTGTTAATCTCAAACACAGCAATTCTCGTCTCGTGTCACTTCCAGAAACTTTTGCACCTGAAAGCGCCCCAATCTCGAGATACCGGATCGATCCAGAATCTCATGGCGGAAAACTTGCATGACAAGAACTGTTCTCAAAAACCCCGGTGGAGTAGTTATTTAAACCCTCATTGTCTCTTACCTCCCGCTGGCAGGGGGTGAACTTCCAGGGCATTCCGTCTGCCACGTCAGCATTGAACTGGACGGTGATCTGGCGTGCTGGCGCCGCCTTTTTCTCTGAGGCGTGCCGAACAATCTTCTCCTCGACAGTCTCCCTCTTCTGAACAGTACCTCCGAAGCCAGTCGCCTGCAACAGATGCAAGCGTATACTATGGTCCAAATTTGTGCAAGAGAAAGCGAAGAAAACACAGATTTCGACTTTTGGAGAGGGCTCAGGAAAGATCGTTCACTGACTACTGTAGGCGGGAACAACAAATGCGGAATCCTTGTGTCACAAAGGCTTCGTGATTCGGAGAAGTAACAGCAGTTGGCCAATCACAAAACAGAGCTCTTCTCTAGCATCAATATGCACAAGCATTTGCTAACTTGAGGTTTGGATTTTGTTTCTGACCCTAGTTGGTTTGAAGCATCCTCTTCCAATCAACCGTTAGCTGATTGGACCCTTTTGTCAACCCTGGCCGCCTCAACCCACATCATTCTGTGTTTACAGAATAGGAGCTATCTTAGGGCCAATGCTTGTAGCCCGCGATCAATTCAATTTAAGAAGTGCAATCACACACCCAGGTTTCTCAGGTCTCAAAGATTGCTCAAATCCATGAAAACAAGGCTAACTCTAAACTCTACACTAAACAACCTACCCGCTCCACACTTGTGCCCAGCTTAAACCCCCATATTAGCCCCACCCGTCGCAGCGAGGACAATCTTAAACTAATGACAACCAGTTCATACCAATCAACCTTTGGACAAGAAGCAGTCTGGCGTTTCGACCACCTCATCCTTTGCTGTGTCACCAACCTCACCTGGCAGAACATGCGATACAGCGGCACCGCCGAGTACGTTGCCCCCACCATCGCCACAGTCAGCGCGCACAAGTACAGCAGCATGTTCTTTGACGCCGCTGACGCCTTTCGGACACTTTCGGACGCCAGCCGCTGCCGAGCGGCACCCCCTAGACTTCTTGCAGAAGATGAGGGATTCGCAGAAGAGGACGTTCCAAGGTTTTGACCTCCGGAAGAGGACGGGTTTTGAGGGGATCGCAGCAGGGCGCTCCGGTGGAATGTTCGAGAGAGGGGGGCAAAGGAGGGAGTATGCGAGCTTGGGAATGAAAGCAATTTGTGTGAGCGGTTTGAGGCAAGACTCGGCAGGGTAAAGGAGGGGTTTTGTGAGAGGGGTCTGGTGGTGGCGCTCTCCGTTGGTGGCTTTTGCTGCATGCAATGATGCAGCCCCCTGGCTGGCGCAGCGATGCTGCCACTTGGAGATTGACGGACGATGTCAGCAACGCGTCTGCTGACATCGCCACCAGCCAGGGCGGCCTGTGGCAAACCAGCAACATGGGGGCATTGCAAGGCTTGCAGAACCTGCAAGGCTTGCAGAACCTGCTGTTTTATTTCAGATAAATCATTCGCTTTTCTTCCCCGCGTGCTTGATGCACCAAACGCTTCCGCACCCTTTGAATACAAGCTTGATCCAAATTTGAGTGTGCCTAGATCGCTCGTTCCTCTGAAGTGGCGCCCTGCTTCCAGCCATGGTTGCAAAGCTGGCTTCGTCACTTCCGCTGCTTGTGCTTGTGAATGGACTGATGCAGCGGTGGCACTTTGCAGCTGAACTTTGAGACGCTGCAGCACCAGCCGTCTCCACATGATCCCCATGAGCTCTGCTCCTCAGAACCTGATTGGAAGTCTCGATCGGATCTGCGCTTCGCTTTGCTTTGCTTCCTCCTCTGTCTGGATGGCTCCTTTGAACATGTCGTCCTGTACAGACTATTACTGTAGCTTCCTCTTGGCTTTGCTCAGCTGCCTGCTGTCCAGGACCAAAGTCGCTGCCTGCCTTCCCAGGCTCCCAGCATTCCACGTCCTTCCCCACGTCTCCAGGAAAATGCCGGCCTTCCCTTCAAACAACTTTACACGCGAAAACGGTAGACTTTCTTGTCGCCGTTTGACCACTTGCTCCATCAAAAGTCGGCAGTAACGACGGTGCCAGTAACATCCCGTCAGGCTCAGGATACAGATGTGTGAGTTGCAGTATACATACTTGATACTAGCGCTTAAATATGAACTGCGAACCGGCGTTTTTAGCCGGCGACCGCCAAGCTTTCTGATGACAAAAGCTGTTCAAAACTCGAAATGTCAACGCTTGCCAGCACTGCCAGGCCCAAAGTCTAGCTAGGGAGAAGATTTCTGCTGCCAGTGCAAGTGCAACTTGCAACTTGCAAGGGGAATGCGGAAGCTGGAGAAAAAAAGCGGAGCGCCCTCTGCTTAGACAAATGCGGGTCTACGAAGAATGCATGAGCGCTGAAGAGCACTCTCTTTGCTGCACAACCCTTCCTCGCGCTCGATTGTATTGCACAGACCATTCTTTCACATGCAATGAAGCCGCAGGTAATGCTGTTCCATGAGATACAAAACGTCATTCGGAAGCACCTCCCGAAGCAGACGCAGGGTTACTACAGGAACTACTGCAAAGAGAACTTTTACACCTTTTCAGATGAGACGGATCCACAGAGGGTGCGGGATCTGATGGTCAGGGCTGAGGAGCACGTTCGATGGGTACTGAAGAAGGTGAGGCGGTTCCTTCTTAAGAACCTGTGGCTTGGAGGACTTGGCTTCAAAGTGCAGAGTACGCGCTTGTCCTTGAGCACCACTTGCTGATTGCCAAGGCTCAGCAAAGAATACATCAGAGGAGATCTGTGTATATCTGAACTGCTCTAGTGGAGGCATAGAAGTTGGCCTGTCAATAATATCAGTTGTATGGAAAACTTAGGTGGACCTGAGAGAATTGGTTGTGGCAGCAACTTGAGTCCGACTGATTTCCAGGAAGCATCGAAAGTGAGACCGTTACGCCGCAATGAAAGGATCAGCTGTTCAGACTTTGCTCTCACGTGATACTTCAGCACCTATTCACTTGCGCACTTAAGTATTTCTTAAAATCTTCTGAACGTGGTCAGCGAGACGTCTCATGTATGCACGCCATAATCTCTATAGCCCTGATGATCCTGCTTCTTTCTCGCTGCAGTACAAAGTTGACGAATCAGCCGCCGCTGGCGTGCACGCGTTAGTCAGCAGCCTGTAAAAGAGGCCCAGGTGTCCAGACACTTTCAAGAGGATTGGATGCAAGAGCAGACCTTGGTGGCGAGGCCGTTGCTGGAACAGGACGGTAGGCTCCTGCAATCAAGCACTCTTTTGTTATTATGTATGTATAGAACAGGCGCTGCAATCTGCAACAGTCCGCCCAACCAAGCGCATTGCCTGTGTCAGCTTCTTGGCACTTCGTCAATGTTAACTTTCAGAAAATTGGAGCACCGCTTTGCAATTCAAGTGCCCGTGCTGTTAGATCCATCTCCTTGGTTGCCTCAAATTGTGAGGCTTTGCCATGACTTCATTCGTGTCGAGATTCTCCTGTTGGAGATCAAGCTTCGTGTTGAAGCTCCTTTCCCCTCCTTTCCCATGCATCAGGCAATTGGTCAGGTGGACAAACATCCGCGATTGTGTGAGACCATAAGTATGATACCGTGCAAAAGAGCAGCACAACAACGACCCTTTCTAATTAGTAAGGTGCAAAAAGAATGGTGAGAACCTTGACCAAATATCTTACACGTTGCTCCTTCACTTCTTGTTCTGGCCTCAGCTCAGTGGGTGCACAGGTGATTTGATTCGAATCTTCAAAAGCAGCTGTCTAGATCTGTAATGAATTTTCAACGTGGCACTGGGCTCATGCAATGCAGCCCTCTTCCTAAAAGTGACAGTCGTCAAGAGAAAAGTTGGGACAGCAAAGACGGTGCTTGCCGATGATAAGCATACTCAGAAAGCCCGGAGCCCAGCTGCTCAAGCTTCGATGCCAGCCGGCAGGGCTCGCTTACCAGCAAGCTAACAACACACCGAAGCATGTAAAAGGCAAGCAAGAAGATTGTCCATGCAGTTAAAGAAAAGGCTTGCTTGACTTATGTCACCGGATAGCTCCAGACATGTCACATGTTTGCTTCCAAGTTGTCGGATTGACATCACTTGCGTGGCGGCCTCAGCCTGTACATCGCTAGTAGCTGCATTATTTTAACAATCGAAGATAAGTACGAATCCTTCACCAAGATTCGAGCATGTGGAAACTGAAACTGGTATGTTGGTATCGTCTGCACATTCATAATAACCGGTCCGAGCCGGCGCCTCATGCGTGCACACAAATTGTCGCTAATAAAATAGGCCGCGCGAGTCAGATCGATCCGACATATCCGTCATGTGCATAGTAAGTAGTACGTATAGCTCGCACATATGCCGCCAGCTCATGGCTAGCTGACGCGGCGGCTGATGAACTTGACCTTGGGCAATGGCCGCGCTTTTTGACGTCCAATTCCTCGGTCACACGAGGATCTGATCCAATCCGTAAGTTTGTTGCACGAAGCTGTCCTTCAAGTTGCAACCGATATTTTTTGGACGACTTTGACCTTCTAAGACCATATCAGGAATGCACAACCGTATGACTCAGTAACGCCACATTCAAGTGGACCATGCATATTTAAGACATGAAGCTCGGGGATTGCCCAAATGTGCAGCATTCAAGTGGACAGGTGCAGCATCCAAGAAAACGAACGACACTTCGAATGACATAATGCTTAGATTTCGAGGGCAACGCACAATCACCTGACTCGATCGAGGGTTGTACCGCCCCTAGTGTACAGGTGAGGCTGTGACATATAAGCGATGCCTCAACTTAGCAGCTTGGAACAAGGACATGAAGGAGGAATTACCAGTTCAGACATTTTACACATGCAATCAAAGTGGAAACCCCAAAAACCACCGCTGAATCAAAAAGACAAGTAATCTCCGCTTGTAGCCGTCCAAAGCTGTCGCACAACGACCTCTGTACCTGAACCTGTGGTCTAAATCGCGCTCGCTCGTGCAAACCTGCAAGCACGGGTTCTGAAGGGAGTAAGCAAAACACCCAAAAAACCTCTCCTTGGCGACAACCTGGATCACAGAAGTCCCTCTCTCAGATCGTCAAAACTTTGGTGTTGTCAGGCTGTGATGGATTGCACAGCAAGATGACAGAGGTTTACGGCTGCCTAAGCAAGGGCAAGTGAGAAATTGACCGATACAGGTGCGTGGTCAGAAATCACTTGGGCTGCGGATATGATCGTCTGGACTAACACCGTGTGCTGCTAGACCTCCAGATTATCACGTGATCCGTCGACAAAGTCTTAGCGGAGCAGACGTCGAATGAGATTTGGGACCCGTCACCCAACGTTCACTTTCAAGTACTTCAGACCCATACACAACCAACGAGTCTTCAATCTCGGGCAAGATCAATCGGTTGATAAGGTGGTTGCAATGTGTGCACAAAACTCGGCCGTTTCAAGTACGTGCTTGCAACAACCGCATTATATTGGATATGATCTTAGGAAACGAACTGTCGAGGCCCGAACGAAAGAGAACGCACCTGTTGCTACTCCGCCTTCGTCGTTTTCTTGGGTGCGTTTCGGTACAGGAAAAATTGGGACATCACTATGCTGTTCATGACAACGCCGAAGCACACCCCGAGAACCACTGGCGATGGAAGTCAAGGACCAAAGTATGAGGCTCGCCAACTATATAAGCATGTTCCGACACAAGCCAATCAACGACAAAGCTGGCACATCAACTTCGGACGGCTGATTGAGCAAGGCAGTCGCGGAAGACAGAGAAGCAAAAATGGAGCAGACATTGAAGCACTGTACTGATGGTCGACGTACTCAATCGCAAATGCAACACTTCGAACAGAGTCGAATTCTAGAGGTGCATCAAGACGGACTGCGACTGAGCATAGAGTAAAGGGAGGATACTGCTAGACGGCGCCTTTTCTTGGATGGAGGTGAACAAGCGCGCTGCAAGAATAGAAACAGAAAGTCAGTAAGAAAGTTATTGAGTAGCCGCCCATTTGTGTTCGGTTCTGAGAGGCTGCTTACATGACAGACGCAGGACATTTCATAACCAGACGGCCGGATATCTGTTGCCAGACTCTCCTCGAAACGGACCTCAAAAGACAGTACAAGCCGCTCGTCGTCCAGAAGAAAGAGAAAATATTGCGAATACGAGAACGCTGTCCCTCATGAACTTATGAACTTGTTTCGCAGGATAATCAGGTCCACAGAAGTATAACCATCTCGAGGAGGGCAAGTGGCAGGTGTCGAGCAGTTTGCAACGGGACAAGCATTTGCTGGAGCAGCCCTCACCTAGGATGCCACCAAATTGGAGGAAACTGCTGGAAAAGCTGAGTTGACCCGTGCTCTTTTGCTGCAGAATAACGAACACACTATCACGTCAAACAGCACCAGGACACGCCTGGGCGAATCCTTCGAAACGTCCAGGTTGTCGAGCGCGAGCAAAGCACCTGCTACAATCAGTTCGAACTTCGTAGATCTCATGATTTACAAGGCCTTCTTGCGAGTCGTATAGAGTAAGGTGGTTCGAACAACTCCCGACCTAAAAGCGAGCAGCTCAGGAGGTCATCAGGCAAATAACTGGCCAGGGGATACGACAGAGCACAGCACTTCGTTGCGACTGTATTTCTCGATCGTCTAACATGGTCCAGAATCTTCTTGCAACTAAATACTTTTCACAGTGGATACATGCGCCAAGCATGTAAGATTCGCTTGCTTTTCAATTGCCAATCGTGTGCCAACCATTGATTTCGTACCCTGGTTGTGCACCTCCGTACCTCCAAACAGTCTCAGCCAATGAAGCCAGAGATGACTTACCTTGTAATTCTTGTACAGCTGAGGCAACCGCGCAATGATGAAGACCGCGTGCTGACAAGCCTGGAAGGAGGGACAGCTGTTGTGAGGATGTAAAATTCCTTGGAGAGAGCATAGAATGATAGGAAGGGAAATTTTGAAGCGACTTAAAGCAAGGCAGATCCAAAAATCATTTCTTCAGGCAAGTAACGGTTCCCTGATTGAGTCCAGGCAACTAAGGATTGCGCTGTGAAATGCGGCAATAGGCTTCCCTTATTACTGACACAGGAAAAACGGCATGTCAGAGGCAACCCGCAGAATACAAAGGGAGGTTGCTCAGCTTACATAGAGAAGCTCAAAAGACTCAGCGCTGATTTGTCCACCAATCAGTACTGGGGCGATTGCTGCGTACAAGGCCGTCTTCAACCACACAGAAGGTCCCCTCTTCGGCGCATAATAGTAACATAGAAGAACGAGAATGATATCTGCAAGGCAGTCAGTTTGAGTCAGCATAAGCCCCCAACCCTTAAACTAGGATAGTGGCAACATGTTCCTCAGATGACTTTACTCAAGACAAGCTTACAACAGGTTGGTACTGACCTCGGGCTCTGAAACAGATCAGACTGTAGCAAGAGGCTCCTAGGGCATGCCTTTTCTAATTAATCAAGGGAGTCTCTACTGCAAAAGCCAAAATTGCTCAACTAATACACCTACCTTGGATCAACAGAAACACCACCTCTCCATATGCACTGAATGCCAGGCCCTTGAATCGGCAGTAGGACAGTGCTATAGTGAAGCCAACTGTTTCAATCTCAAAGGAAGAAGTCGCAAGTCCTTCTGTGCTCCGCTTCTGAAGAATGAGGATGATCTGCAAGTCAGGGACAAGAACTCGGTCAATGATGACTGATGCGGTGGCCGTCAAAAGAAGGATTTTCGCCACAAAATAGTCTCCGTGTGCCTCTTATTCCCCAGCTGTCCATAGTATGGCCTCTTCCAATGTTTCCTTTCCTAAATCAGAATGACATGACAGGGAATCAATTGCAGCCAATTGCAGCCAGAACAACAAAGCAGTGAAGCTTTCAAACCAAGTGGCAAGCAGCAATGGTGCTCTGTATCTGGATTCCTAGAGATCTCTGGACTTTCAAATGTACCTGGTTGTTTAACCAGTGAGGCTAAGGTGCCCTTCCATTAGCTTATTAGCGGGGCACCCCAGATTCAATGAAAGTGCTAGCCGCTGACGCAAGCTGATCAGAGCACCATCACCATGCAAACATTTGAAGCATACTATGCTTCAACAGAAGCTTCCAGCATACCACTGCCTGATCACGTTGGCTAATTGGGTTTCTCTACAGGGCTTCAAAGCAAAAGCACCCAAGTTGACAGACGCTTTGGTTTCATCTATTTCCCCAATCCTAACATAGAACGTCAGAGCCTAGTTCTCTGACAATGCATGCTATAAAAAGCATGGTTTGACAAAAAACTCCTGCGAGCCAGATCACAGTCAGTGCTTTTCCTCTTGCAGCATTTGAGGAAGACGTCCAGCAAGAGAAGGACCGAGCTCCTGATTAAGTTCCTCTAAAAGGAAGCATTTGGATGCACCAACCAAGATCGACTTACCTGCGGCAGCTTCAAGATGGTGGCTCCAGCAATGATTGCATATCCCAACACTTTGCTCAGGAGCGCCAGGAAGCACTGCTGGGGAGGGAGTACGCCCTTCTCTAACGATCTGACGAGACAGGCCAGGGGCAGATAGGGCTCGACGCGCTGTAGAAGGGCGTCCATGGCTGCCGCCTTTCTGAGCTTGCATGCAAATGCTGTGCTCTTGCTGCGCCCCTTGGTAGCTCTGCCGTGCTGCACTCTGGTCAATCAGTCCGCTGACCACTGCCCCGGATGGTGTCAAAGCCGCCTCTGTTTCTGCTTTCTGTTGGAATTTAGAACGTGGCTATATAGGACCAAGAATGAAGTATACCGATGTATGGATTCTTAATCTGGTCGCTCGGTTTTTCCTCTGAAGTATTGACACAAGCGGTTGTGCACTTGGACCTGCTCAGTTCTGCTTTCAAGAGCTTGGATTCTGAAGCTCAATCTGTCCACAGCTGCAGCCTTGAAAAGTGGGGCGATCGCAAGCTTCTTCCAACCTTGGCTTCTGTCCTTTAGGATACAGGTTCTCCTACTTAGCAGAGCATCTGCAGTTGCTGCAATTTTCATAAGCTTAGCTCTTGAATACAAGTTCAGGATGTTCTGGTGTGGCACCAAAGCAAACTGTTGGCAAGCTTCCAATGCACGTTCATCATCGTGATCATTGAGGGCGTCCTGAACCCATTGTGATGAAATCACATCTCTGAGAAGTTCTTCCGTAGGCTGGTGAAGGTGCTCCTGAACTTCACTTCCTTGTGCTACTTGGTTGCTGATTGGCTGAAATCAGCTGGCAGTTATGCAGAAGCGCCTGCGCCGAGAGTCCTCGGAGATGCTCGATGCAATGGAAGAGGGCGCGGCGGAGGCTTCCGCCCCCCTTGTTGACAGCAGTGCGAGTAAATTGCAAGCAGACGACACATCAGACGTGCGCAACATGGCGCTACTGATTCTCCTCTATGCAATGCAGGGGGTGCCCCTCGGTTTGTCGTCTGGCTCTATTCCCTTTATCCTTAAGTCCAAAGCTAGCTACACCGAGATAGGCATCTTCACACTGGCTGCGTATCCTTACAGTATGAAACTGCTGTGGAGTCCAATTGTTGACACTGTCTTCTTTCCAAGCGTGGGCCTGCGGAAGAGCTGGATCCTCCCCCTGCAGATCATGTCAGGGCTCGTTATGCTGTTCTGCTCGGGGCAGGCTGAGATTTGGGTAAGGCACTCGTAAGTGTATTGTCTGGTCAGTATAAGAATCATCTTTCTCTGGTTGCTGCAACTGGTTCTTGATGCAGTGGTGGTTAAAGCTAGGAGTGCCCTTGAACTGTCTTGGGTCCTCTTGGGTCTTTATTATGGTCAGACTATTAGAATGTTGCTCCATCCTTTTAAGCATAAGATGGAATCAAATAGCACAAGAATGCGTGTCTAGAAGAAAAGGGGGACACCATATTCTCACCCTCTTGCAGCTAGAGACCGCCAACATCCGGGCAATCACGGCCCTGTTCTTCGTGTGCGTGCTCCTGGCAGCCACTCAAGACATCGCCGTAGATGGCTGGGCGCTCACGTTACTGTCCCGCAAGAATGTTGGACACGCATCGACATGCCAGGTCAGCATCCAAATCGATGCTCCTGTTATCAAAGTGTTGCTCAAACCTGGTGCTCTTTGACTGTCAGCAGCTCTTAGTTCGTAAGAGCACGCTCGCACCTAGGACTTGAGCTTGCATCAGGCCAATCAAGGGGGTTCTAAACCTCAATATCCAAAGATGTCTTGTCAGTGCTCGATGTCCCTCGTTCCCCTTCTTTCAAAGCAAGGTCGATTGAAGTTAACACCCTCTTGCGCTCCTTGCTGATTCCAGTGATCTGATTATTCCACCCCTTGCGCTTTGGTGGTGATGCCAACTCGTCTACCTGGACTATCTTAAGGTCCGAGGAAGCACACTCATCAACTGAGTTTGCCGTCTATCACAGCTCCACAAAGCTGACAACGCATGTGTGCTCGCGCAGACTGTGGGCATAAATACAGGCTACTTCCTGTCCTTCACAATCTTCTTGGCCCTGAACGACCCGGACTTCTGCAACTCCTACCTTCGATCGGCGCCCGCTGACAAAGGTAAGGAATCTGCTTTGACTCTCTGTTGAAGGGTTTTTCTAGCTGTTGTCAAGCTAGGTTTGATGGTCCCTGGAAGCGACATAATAGCTTCTGAACACTGAGCATTGCTGCACTCAAAGCCAACGAGCTGTCCAAATTACATCGGTCCGTTTTCGTCCAGAGGATCCCTGCCGGGAAACTCCGAAGAAGAGTCCGTTGCATAATCGTCTGCATTTCTGAGTCTTCTAAGCTTCCTTCCACAGGCGTTCTCTCCCTTGCGAATTACTTCCGCTTCTGGGGCGCTTTCTACATCCTCTTCACCGCCGCACTCGTCTTCAAACCCGAAACGCCCAACCCGCTCCCCCGCACGCAATCCCTCAGCGCAGCCGGCCTCCCCTCCCCCTCCAAAATGCGGAAACCGTCTCCGTCTCGCGCAATTGCAAACGTGGTTGGGATGTATCGACGGCTCTGGGCCGTTGGCAGCCTATCGAGCGTCCAGCAGTTGGCCGCGGTGCTGCTGTTGTGCAAACTAGGCGCGGTGACATCGGAGGCGGTGGGCGTGTTCAAGCTGATGGAGAAAGGCGTCACGCGGGTGCGTTACGCAGTTCTCTCATCCTCATGGTGACTAAGGAAAGTGCCCGGGGACGGGTCGACGACCTCAACAGTGTGAGCAGGTTCCACAGGATCAGTTCGATGGTCGTATCTGGCAGCATCAGTTGAGTCCCCCGGGCAGTGTACTCACGATGACCTGACACACGGGCATGTCCTGATACCGGTAGTGCACAGCCGAACCCGCTGTTACGAGTAACTACGCTACTAGGTACTGAAAGCAAGGGTGAACTCGAGGGTTTAGGGTGGGTGATGGTGCAGAGCATTTGGATTAATTCAGGAACCTTTTCCCCCCGTTGTTCGCGGCAAGAAGCATTTCGCGGATCGTTCTCATCGACTTTTCCATCGAGCTCTTCTCCGCAACCTTTGCTGGGCGGTGGGCGACGCGTGGCCGCGCCTTCAAACCTCCATTTGGCAGTTCGCAACACGTTTTTTGCTTTCTGAATGACGTATCCTCCACAGTTCAAGAATCTTGGTCCCCCCCTCTTCACCAAAAACCATCTTTCTGATTCTCCTCATCGAGTTCCCCCTCGCGCTCTTCCTCGCCGTCTTCGCCAGGCGCTGGGCGACCCGCGGCCGCGCCTTCCGTCCTTCTTTGTCCCAACTCCGCAAGCTCTCAAGCAGACTTCAGCCCTGAATTTCCACAAACTTTAAAAAACTCTGAATCCCCCCTTTCACTTTCTGCAGGAAACGATATCGCTCATCGTCTTGATCGAGTTTCCCCTCGAGCTCTTCTTCGCCGTCTTCGCCGGGCGTTGGGCAACCCGCGGACGCGCTTTTAGCCCCTGGCTTCTGGGCTACGCTCTGCGGCTCACGATGGCGCTCCTCAGCACGTGCCTCGTCGCGCTGTTTCCAACGGGGGCCACTTTGCAGAGCAACCCGCTTGCGTATTTCGCGGTCATCTGTGCGGGTGTCGCGACGTCGTTCGCGTCAACGCTCATGTTTGTGTCCCAAGTGAGTTGCCGGACGCTTTTCTTCTGTCCCTCTTCTGCTTTCCTTGGTTTCTAGCGTAACTCTTGACGCTACTTTCGAAGATCTTCCGGCACGTTCTCTATATCCTTTCTTTTGCCACTCACTAGGAGTCAGGCCGCGTGCGTTACTGCCGTACATCGGAAGTGTTTCCTCCGTCGTTTCCGTTCTGGTTTACTTCAAACCTTTCCAACCAAAGTGGAATGCCAGATCGTTTTGCTCCTGTTCGTCCGTTCTAAATTCCAATTCTTTCGTCTTGTGATTGATCTAAAGTCAGCAACTGCTCCTCGTCTCGGCAACGCTAACACCAGATGCCCACCAGTGTCAGGGGTTGTCGCTCAGATCTGGATGGGCAGCGTTCCTCAGCTCTGATGGAAAGTCGCCGGGCAAGAAACTCTGTCGCCTAAATTGTGTGGACACCCGGAAAAGCCAGTTGACTATGTTGCACCCACTTCAGCAGATTCTAGCGCTGCTCTCCGGCGGCGGCTCTATTCTGACCAGTCCTCTGCTCGTGCAGGGTACCTTCTTTGCACGCATAAGCGATTCGTCCATGGGAGGTAAGGACGTCTTCGTAAACCGAGGAGAACCTCTTTAAGACCCGAATTCATCAAAAAACAGGTGTAACGGCCCGCAGTTTTTCCTGCTTTTAGTATAAACTAGAGCTCGGTTCTAGTTTCTAAGAAGTGAAGACTCCGTTCACCGAGAGCTGGCAGAAGGCCCAATTGTGAGGCTCTCGCATCTGCTCCACTCGCTCAAGGGCTGTTCTTGAAAGCTGGTGTCAACTCCTGTTATATGTTACTGCAGGTACCTACTTGACACTACTCAACACCATTGCCAACCTGGGGTCTGCGTGGCCCCGCTTCTTCATCTTCGTGTTGATTGACTGGTTGACAGTCCAAAGCTGTCGGGGCGCAGGTGAGCTTAAAGTGGGCGTCGGGGTTTGCCTGACGTCAGCCGCTATCTTCGATGGCGTCATACAATGAACGGTGTCGATTCCGGACGGCAGTTTTGTGAGGGTCTTGGCACCGTTCGATCGGCTTTGTTCATGCACGCCCGATTTAAGAATGATTAAGATCACGAGACCTTCTAGGCGTGGGAATCAAAGCCTCAAGGCGAGCATGAAAGGTTGAAGATCTCGAAGGAGTACTTTCTTCGTTTGTAAGTGTTTTCAAGGCTACCACAGGTTGCTGTCCAAAAAGGTTTCCGCAAGGGTTTTTGGAAATACGTCGCTGAAGTCTTCTATTCCAGACGTAACGAGGGGGATATGTCCAGGCGTGAACCAGCTTTGTGCCTAAATTCACTTGAATCTGCAGATCCAGCGCGAGCGGCTGAGCTTGGAGTGCCCCTGTCTTGTCCATCGAAGCCGGAAAGTGGGATTCAAAATACTTGCGTCGAAGCAGGGGGCACGTGCGTAAAGTTTGTCGACGGGTTCTACCCGCTCTCGTTAGGGGTAAGTGCCGCGCAAACCCCGTCTGGCAACTGATGCGCTGTTTGCCGAACGCTTCGGCAAGGGCTGCTAGTATTTCGTTCCTGCCTTCCCTGTTCTGTGAAGCATTGCGTTCGTCCGCAGTTGTGCCCTTGCTATCGGAGCACTTGATGCCTCGAGTTAAACGCTTTTCTTGACTTCACCCTCTGCAGTTGATATCGGTGGGGGTTGTAGTCGGGTTATACTTCCGGAAACGATTACGAGACTTGGAAGAGGCAAAAGCGGACGTTTGGAGGGTATCGTGATTTTTCTCAATGTTGGTCACATCGTGTGTTCCTCAAAAGCGGTTGGGACTACAATCTTAAGCTCGCAACTCAGTATTGACCGGTTCTGGTCCTCAAGATGCCCCTTCGAATCTCCAAAACGTGTGAAACTGCATCGTGGTCGCAATCATGTTACCTGGCAATGAAGTGCCCTTATTAGCGATCATACCAGTAAGCTGTGGCAGCCAGCTTGGCAAAGGATAGTTTTGAAACGGTCTGAATGAAGTTGCCTATGACCGTGCGAGAAAGAGATTGGGTTTGTTGGTTGAACGCCTTTCTCGAAGTGATCGCCTCAGGCGATAGTATTGCAAATTATAGATTTCCTTGCTTAAGTTGCGCATCGTCGGATCCGCAAGGGCCATATTCGATATTGCATTGGATGGGGTACGGTTTGGATATTCGTCGCGGACTCCCACCTATATAGCTAGCTCAGGCTGGAAGTCAACCTACTAAGAGTGCGCGCACCCATGAGACTTGGTACTATACTGGCGGCCCGCAATCAAGGAGAGGCCGGACGAGCAGATGGAACAACTCATCGCATCGGTCGAGGAAAGCCGAGGACTGGCGTCCCGGTCCCATATACTCGGTTCCAGTGATCGATCGAACTTAGCGAATGAGATCAAGAAAAAAGCGTCAGCAAACTAGTTGCGCACCGTCGTAGTTGACTCAGTGCTGCCGCTGCGGGTCACTGTCGATATATATGCGTCGCACCCATTTGATCTCAGATCGAACGGGCCACCGTCATGCTTCAAAACGTTGAATGGCGGTCTGAACATGTGCCAGCCATGTGTTATATTAATCGACTTCAGGTTGAATTGTGCCCCGCGCACCATGGATGTTACATGGCCGTCCATTAAGATTCAAGTGTATACCGTAAGAGTGTACGCGTACGTCCGGCTCGAGGTGCCGGCGGCGTGGCCATGGCTGCACATGCATGCACGGCATAACATGACTCTGCAGACGGTTTCCCGCCATGTTTGACATGAATTCACGGTGGTTAAATGCAACTCGTAGCAATCTCGGCGGCACTAACTCAGCTGGCATGTCGGGCAAGGGCTCGTGCTTGCTTGCATGATTGTAAGCTAGGATGACAGCATTTGCTTCTCGAGCGGGTCAAACACGAATTTTCCTGGCTTAAATGCCAGGAGACTGCGCGCCGCAGACTACCTACCAACTGGGCTAGATTGACTGCTACTGTGGTTAGCCAGCGTAAGATACAAGCGTTGCCCCTCGTCAGACATAGCACGAGCGAGCCCGGCAGGTCTATCGCAATGGTTTGAGTATCTCCTCCTTGCCAGGAGCCTAGCTAGGCAGAACTTATGTCGGGGAGCAGTTGTTTCTATGAACAGGTTCCAGCAATACGAGGGACTCCACAAGACCTGTTCGGATTGAGGCAGAAGCGACTCTGACGATTGCTGCAACGCAAGATCGAGGAGTCGACCTGCAAGATGAGGATGGACCCGATGTTGACATCCGAGTGATGACTATCTCCCACATCTTTCACCTGCTCAGAAAAGCACCAAGAGTGATGGCAGTTCCATGCTTGCGGTCAAAACCATGCGGCCATGATTTCTCATACCTTCTTCTAAAAAACAGAAAGGAAAGAAGAAGAAAATCGTACAAGCATTATCGACAGCAAACACGGAAGTGGGCGCTGATTCTGCCTAATGAAAGTCAACTTCAAAGCTGTGCTCTCCCCTTCCAACAACCAACGTGCATTGAAATGAGTAGTTTTGAAGAACGAAGAATTTGTGCATGTAAGAAAAGAACGCCGTACCAGCTCAACGTCGCCCCCTTCCAGCCTTCGTCAGATTCTCAATGTGGTCTCCGGTTACCTTTGACAAACCCCCTAACCCATCACCTGCGGCCTTGGTTAAACCCCCCAAACCCTCGCCGGTTGCTTTAGTTAGCCCCTCCAAATGCCCGCTGAGCGCCCCTAACCCCTCACCGGACTTTTCGGAAACCGAGCTCAGGTGTTGCCCAACGGAGTCAGCGACTTCGGACAGGCCCCCGGACTTAACCCGGTTTACCGCACCGCTAACCGCCCCTTTGATGTCACCCTTCTGTATGAGCGGCGCGGAGTCGTGTGTGGTTACGACCGCTGCCGAAAGGGCCAAAATCACGAGCGCGGAAGCCCCCGCTATAGCCAGACCGTTGCCGCCCCCTCCCGAAGACGTTTCCTGAACCGGAGGAGGGGTAGACGATTTGGAGGGAGTAGAAGGAGGGCTGACGTCAGCAGCGGCATTGGCGGCTGCTTCGATGGCAGGGGTGGGTGCAGGGGCAACGTCAGCTTCGGCGAGAGAGCCCTGTCGAGTATGACGTCAGCGTGAGAGGAACGAATCTTGGAACAGATGAGAACGGGTAGAGACGTGTTGGGAAAAAAACAAAATGAAAATGAGGGTAGAGACATGTTTGGAAATTGATTGATGAGGGTTAGGAGGAAGAGTAGGGGATGTAAAGCGGGGTTCAAAGACCAGGACTTGGATACTGGTTTTGGAGGTGGTTTCTGAAGAGACTTCGGGGAACGGTTGTCGGGACGGATTTCGGGAAACCTTCTGACGAGCTACCGTTTCCCAGTCTTGATGTAGGTCTCGTATAGCCAAAAGTCTGCTTTGCAAAGCTTTGACCCACTCCGCTCAATCCCAATGTCAGGCGACCAGAGGTATCCGTTTCCCGAGAATGAACCTTTCGCTTTGTGACGTACATTTGTCGAACGCTTCAAATGAGATCGTACTCGCTTCGTGGACAAAAGTTCCTGAGTTCTCACTTCCACATCAACAAAGCAACAGCGAAGCTCTCTTACCCTTTGGGCGCTCTGTCCCGCTCATCACATCAACTTCTAGGTTGTCTCGAATTGCATGTCTCTTCCATTTAACTTCACATTACAGGTGTTCTCCTTTGCAGGCCGGGTTTGCGTACCTCAGCAGACGGCTCCGCTTTCGCATCAGCATTGACGTCACCCCCCCCCGAAGCCTGGTCGGACTTGTCTTGAACAGCCCCGGCACCCCCGTCTGCCATCCCTTCGTTGCTGACGTCACCATCTGACATCAGCGCGTCCATTGAGGAATCTTCAGACTCGCCGGTGAGGGGTTCGTCCCAACGCCCTTGAACGGCACTGGCGCCTGCTGATGTGGTGAGGCTGCGGTTCTCGCCCGGTTGCCACTCGACCACCTCCATGTTGTTATTGACCAGGATGAACTTGTACTCGATTGCGGCGTTGGCGGGAAGATCCTGCACGCGGAACCATGGAGCAGGATGATGTTTGCTTGTCTTTTTATTGTTCTTGTTTGGATCCGCTTTAGTGCACTTGGTGCCCCCCCCGGTCCTATACCAGCGCCTTTCATTCATTTGATGCTAGCCAAACGAAGCCAAAGTTGAAAAGTATGGTTCTGACCCTCAGCTCTTGCTCGTTCTTTTACTCCAAATCAATGATAGCGCCCGTACCTGGACTGTCGGTACAAATGCCCCTTCGAAAACGTCAAACGAAATTCGTTGGTCTACAACAACGAAATTCGTTGGTCTACAACAGTGGTCTCAGCATCAAGCTCCTCCTTGCCCCTCAAGCAGGCAGCGAGTGACAGATATCACATAAGCAGACCCTCGGGTTCTCGCAATAAAATGAGGCATCAGCTACAGGAATGTTTCTTGTTTCTTAAAAAGTCAGCAGCATGTGCATCTTTGGGGCGGAATGGATTAGTGGGAGAGGTCTGTTTTTCATGTCGGTCAGTGTCTGCCTACCAGGGTTTTGGACCAGACGTGCCCCTCTGACCAATCGAGGACCGCCGCCTGTGCGGGATTCCAGTTCCCAAGCGCTGCCCCGCCTCCAACGACAGCATGCATGAACCCGAATTCTGCTTCCTTTTGCAGGGAGATGGTCACTGGGGCTGCAAAGATGAGCAATACCTTGTTGATTGACTCTGATCTAGCATTAGACAAGAATATGATGGTAGAGAATGTCAGTCGAATGCAAGAAGACTCCCATGTTCTGGCCCAACAGCAGTAGCATGTGAATGTGGCGTAAATAGCTCACCGATGATCACCAATCAGCTGGAGGAATACGGGAGTTCGACAAGGAAAAACTTGATGATGGCGCACAAGCTAACAGCAGTGGCGTGGACAGGAGGATCTTTTGGATCAAAGTTGCAGCCCGATCATGTATGTTGAGATCTCTCTCGATGTGGTTCCTACTTTGCAAGGTATATCAGTTAAATGTGGGCTCCTTTGAGGAACTAGCAAGAAAGAAACCCAAGTGACCAGTAAAACTTCCAGCCTACAAGTTTCGAGATCTATTGAATCTATAATCAAGATGAGAAGTGTCATCTCACCTGTGTCTGTCGCCGCACCGGTTTTAGCAACACTGGTTTTTGCAGTCTGCACAGGTGTGGGCATCGACTTTAGTAGTGGAGTGCAAGTTCCTCTAAAATTTGGATACAATGTAAGTCGCTTCCAACTAAACCAAGCATCAAGCACGACCTTTTTTGGGGGAAGACCTGTGGCGATGAAAGAAGTGCAGTCAGCGATGTCTGTTATCCACGAAACTTCAGAGATCCGACATGTACTATGATCTAGAGTAACTAGATCAACCCTGACAAACTGGGACCGATCAGACACAGATCTGCTCAACCTACCTCTGCCCTCGCTCTCAAGCTCCTTCTGCCTTTCCTTGCTCCAGTTTTAGCTACATCTAGAGACAACTTTTGCTGGATTTTTCGGCTGCTACACCTAGCGGCGAGCGCAAGCTCGTCCCATCTTCCTGCATTGCAACACCTCAACGTGCTTGGCTTACTGATCTGCTGTTTATTGCAGATTTTCTCGAAAGCTGCAGGGAGAAGCAGTTGTGAAGCCCCGATAGGGGCACCTACACTTTGCATTCTCAAGAGACACAGAAACCTTTATTCTGGGCTTAAAATGCAGGCACTTCGCCCGCTCGTCAACTACATGAACCAGAATAATGACAGTGCAGCATTGCTAGATTGTTAGCACCTTTGCGTTGCTTCTCTACCCTAGAAAAGGTAAGAAAGCTCAATGAAAATTCCCTCAGATTTCCTTCATCAAACAATAAGCGCCATTGCCAGCATTGCAGGACTCTCAATGTCACAATTCTCTTGGCCTGGGTTTCGTATTCATTATTAGGGTTTTTTGCAATTTCATGACTGCAACTTCTGGCTTCCGCCTTCACGGTTCACCTGTTCACGGAAGGTTCACCGTTCAGAATCAAATGCACAAATTCTATTTCTTCAGCATTTGATTTGTGGCGCCACCACAACACTTTCCCTTCAGACATGACCCTACCTGCGGTCCTATCAAAAGAGAGCCTCTCTTTTGGCTCCCAATTGCTTTGCCACCACTCCACACCCGCAGAATGGTCATGCAAGGCGCTCGTTTGTCCAAGTTTGCCAACACGCAGCGGCCTGCGAAGGAAAGGAGCGTCTGTTAGATGTTGTCCTTCACTTCAAGCTGCAAATAGAGGTGCACGCTTCCTGAAGACTTCAGAAAGGGTGCAAGGCTCACGGAAGGTGGCGTGGGGCCAGCCATCCGTGCCGTTGAGCTGGCAAACTTGTCAGCGGAGGGAACATCAAAGAGACTCCCACTACAGTGCCAGTGCTTCCGGCCAGGAGTCTACTGTAGTCTCAGAAAGTGTGAGCATTCTTGCAGTCCAGGTATCACGATTTTCAAGATATATTGGGATTTAGCAGACTGTCGGAAGCCCCATCTGCCTCGTTGCGAGACATATTCAGTGGTTATCTTTGTAATCCACCCCCCAGCCCTCATTGTGGTGGTTCGTCAAAGGCAGTGGTTCCATCCATGTTGCTCAATTAGTTATGATTATCAAAAGTATCGCATCAGCTTGATTGAATCTGAACTTGAGGGTGATGGCAGCTTGAAAGGAAGTTGTTCCTGGCAGCACTCAGTGACTGCCCTTGAAAAAGCCTAAAAACATTTCAAAAACAAGGAGCTTTCAAAAGTAACCAAACCAACCATCAGTTATCTCAGCTGCAAGCAAACCAAACAACTTTTCTTCCCCTCAGAGGTTGCTGCAGCATTCTGGGGCCACATCTGCACCTTGTCTTCTGGGCCACTCATGGCTCCTAAAAAACTGAACACCGAGTTTGAATTCCATTTGACTAACATATGCACGCATCTCTTGGCAGGTTGAAGGAAAAGATGGTGTAAAGGCCACACCTGAGCCGTACAAGGATGGGCCAATGGATGTGCTTTTCTTCAAAGCCTTTAGGAGGGCCATGGTCAGGGTGAGGGGCAGACTTTCTCCCGTTTTCAGGTTTTGAACTTGGTATAGAACATGAACTCTCTTAATCCTTTGATGCCCCATGAGATCTGCTCTAGTTCCAAGTTGCTTTCCAACCTGCAGTTTCAGTAGTCCAACATTGTTTTTCATCGAAACAAGAGTGTTGGTTAAGTCCTTAGCTTTCAAAATTTATTGAGGGCGGCGTTTCAACCACTGGTTCAAAACGGGCACAACTTAAGGTTGCCTGCAGGGTCGGCACACGAGGGTGTAGCTACTTCTTTCTCATGTGCCAACATCTAATCAGTATAGACTTGCTTTCTGAGGCAATATGCCGTCAGATCTGCCCTTTCCCATGTGGTTTGCAAGATGTCCCAACAGATGATTAAGCCGCCCTAATCCGCAGGAGGCTGGCTGGGACTCCCCCGCCCCAGGATATGATGGTCTCATCGAGGTGGCTCGCAAGCTTGTGGCCAGGCACAAGTCCCGCGAGGAAACAGAAGATGCCGCAGTAAGCTACTCACTGTACCGACAAAACCTTTTACCGCTAAGCGCTGCGGACAACAAAATTTGTTTGTTTTGACGTTCTTCATCGACCTGAACTCACTGGTTAAGGCCTTTTTAATACTGTAATTCATTCCTTCAAGAAAATTTTCAAACTTTCCTTCTTGGCTTCAACTATCAACTATCAAGTCACTTAAGGTCCGCCATCCCAAGTGTCTTTCGGGTGTCGGTTCGATTCACGCATCTTTTCATCAAAGTACAAAGTACAAAGTTCTGGTTTGAGTGAACTAAACTTAAATTCGATGGTGGGGAACTTCTCCGTTTGAATTTTCATTTCAATGCTGTGTTCGTATCTTCAGCAATTACTTACGTATCAGACTGCCTATTTCTCTGTTTCTTGAAAGTACGTAAGTCTTCTTCTCCGCCTCTCCTATCGGCCTAAGGACAAATGCTAGTCGTACTCAAAGTCATGCCGCATATCTCCCCCAGGTCTGAAAGGCAGTCCGGAGGCCGGACAAGAACGAATCAAAGGCGCTAAGCGGGCGAGTCCCAGACGTTTTCCCCACGTCTCCCACGTTTCCCGGCCACTAATGTGAAAGTCTCAATGGAGAGTACCTTGAAGGGATCCCTCCAATCATGTCAACATTTGCCTGCTCTTGTCAATCAAGGTCCGCCATCCGTCTCCAAACGCAGGTGCGAATACTGCAGTCCCTGTTTCCCCCTTTTCTTCTTCCCGCCTTTCGAAAGATCATCACACCGTTGGGAGACGGCCGGCCTGCAGCGGTGCTGACTGGTGAGTGCGTCAGCCCGCAACCGGCTGAAGAGAGCCCGGAAAGACGCCTTTGTGCTAGATTGTGGTTGAGAAATGACCTTCTCCAAGAAAGTTACAGTTAAGATGGATCCGAAATGCTCGGCCCGCAGAAAAGACATGCTCGCACCCGTTGGATTGTTGGACAGAAGGGCAGTCGTGAAAAGGCAAGAATAAACCGGAAATGAAGGAAACAGCGTTATTCCAACTACGAAACGGGAAGCACAGAAAGAGGAAGACGATCGAAAGCGAGAAGTAGATACGGAAAACAATTGCACGCCGTTAAACCTGTTGTGCTGTTCTACCCTCAAAACCGCAGAATACTCTAGCGCTGCGTTTTTTGACACCACCACTCTCTGTCGCAGCCTGGGTCACGCAGTGGTCGTGCCAGTGGCTCATGGGTCGGTGTCAACTGAACGACGTGCAACTCGCGGACGGCACCACTCAGTGGAGCGGCGTCCTCGTCGAGAAGTGCAAGTATTTAGAGGAGAGCGGATGCGCGGGGATCTGCGTGCATACGTGCAAGATGCCCACTCAAGTAAGTCGCATTTTCTTCATTCGTTTTTTGGCTGGTGATCTTTGCCTTTGTGATCACTGCGAACGTTTTGGTGCGTGCTCATGTCTGTGCCTAAATGCACGGAAGATTCATCAGTGTGAGTGTCGGTTTCAATGGGTCATTGACGTCTCTGTCTCGGTTAGTTGAAGTAAGTGAGCGGATTGGTTGGTTGCTGGCTCGAAACTCTTGATGGCTGCCCTCCTGGTACAGGAGGTGCTGCTGGCCGTTGATATATTCCAGCAGAGACGTCGGTACTGTTCAAGAGATTGTACTTCGCTGCCGCGCATTGGGAGTGAAGGTCATTTCCAGGCGCGCATAGTTGGCTTTCTCTGCAGGCTTTCATGAAGAACGACATGGGCATCCCTCTTACGATGGAGCCTAACTACGAGGACTACAGCTGTCAATTCAACTTTGGCGTCGAGCCCCCATCACGAGAGGTAGATGAAGCGCTCAAAGTCGGCTGCTTATCAATATGCCCAACTGCAAAAGCATCGTCTGTTCTTGCCAAACAGTGCCCACAAGTTGCTGTACTTTGATAGTATACTTACACGCAGGTGAATTCTGTGCGTTTAGTGACCCGAAGTGAGAAGAGGGCGCTCCGACGCTTTGACAGGCTTCAGGCTTGGAATAAAAGTGCCAGATCATGCCTGGCCGTTGCTGTACTAGGCTAAGTCGGAGCCTGAGGCTCGTACGTCGTCAGCATGAAATTCACAGAGGGACGGGCACAACAGTTGCGCTTTGTGGGGCCCGCGGCGAGCCATGCCCGGCAAGAGCTCTGCTGCACGCAAAGATTCAAATCACAGCTAAATATCGGGCCAACGCATTTGTACGCACCTGCATGGCATTATGTTCAGTAGTATCGATCGAATGCATCTCGCACCCGGATCGCGGCCTGATCAAACTGTGTGCAGGCAGCCCGAGTTTTAAGGCCCGGAGGGGCGTGTGCCGTGCGCGCGCCAAGGCAGCACTCCCACTAACTGAAAACTAACTATGGATGCAAGTCGTTTAGTAGGTTATGCACATCTATACATGAACTTGGCCGCGCCCGCGCGCAGGCAGCCCTGGCTGCGCATCAGCATCTGGCAGAGCATGCACGTATGCAATGATTGTGCGCTGCAATCCATGCGAGTCATGACTCGCTCAGTGACTACAGACGGTCAGTGCGCGATCTTAGTACTTGGTATCATACATGGCTGTCAAAGCTGCTCAACGAATAATAGCTATAAGAGCTTAATTATATGCATGTGATTACGTACGTCAACTAATGCACCATATCTAGGTATTCGCTGCGCAATTTAGTATGCAGTTGATCATGTGCATGCAGAATTGCGGGCGTGCGTGAGTGACATGAACGTATATATGCACATGATCGATCATGATGCACCTGCACCGTCTAATAAGCTGCCCGGCTTACAGTATACATAGGCAATATGACACAGTGATCATGACATTATTCAGTTTCGCAAAGATGCTAGCTAGCTTGCTTGGCCCGGGGCCAGATCTCGGATGCAACGGTTTGTCCAATCAAGATTGCGGAACCTTGAAAGCGCTCGGCCCATTGCTGCTAATATAGGCTAATATCTGGCGGCTTATAGGCATGCTGCCAATAATGGTATGCAGAAGAGAGGTTGTAACTTCGGGACTTGCCCCAGTGCACATGCATGTAATCACTAATACAAACAGATCCAATCGAGACGCATGGAGTTGATGAACGCTCTGCGCTAGCTTGTCAGTTGAGACGCCTTTATAATGATCGCTCAACGGGACGGCTCAGTAGCACCAATGTACCATCAACACCAAGTCCTAGCTCGACGTCGTTTCACCTCGGGCTTAAGCAGCTCATCTTCACTCTTTAGCACCGTGGATACTGTCTACACACGTACGTACCTCTAAGAAGCTACCTTACTTGGACGAACTACAAAAAATATTGGACAATGATACTCACTACCTGCTTCGTTGCAAAGCGGCCATGGCGTGCCCGAGTCTGTCAAACATGACCGACTCCATATAACTTGCTTCAGTGAACTGAGCGGCATGTTGTCCGTGTTGCCGTGCACTTTCTCTATCTTGCATCATAACGTTAAGGTCCGCTACCAATTTCGAGGCCCCAGAACCGCCCACGTCATGAAGGACGGCACTTTCGCCATCGACAAGCAAACCTGCTGCGGGCAGGACTCTGGTGGAGAGGATCTGCAGAAAGACAGACGGGCAAACAGGCCCGCGCGTCAATTCTTTACTCACAAGCGCAGCAATCTGCAAGCAGTAGACGCCTAAAGTCCTCAGCTTGAAAATCAGGATTATTCATCACCGCAATCAGAAGCCTCAACAGAAGGGACGAAGCTGCCTGCCTAAAGAGGATGAGCTGAATCTGGAAGTTGGTGGGAAAACATCTCCATATAGAACCCGTTGACTCTGGTTTCAGAGGCGCTCGGGATAAACGGGACGTACCGGTAACCCGTATGCCATGGCCTGTAGCAGCTTGCCATTGACCGCGACTCCGTCTACCTAAATAGAGCAAGGACCGTCGAACTCAGTATGAAGCCCGAGTCAGTGAAATGCCTGCCAGTTGATAAGGAAAAAAGTACTCCCAAGATGGATGCGAGCAACAATAGCAATGCAGCCTTTAAGAAAAACAATTCCTTCTGAACGACAATGTCGAGCAGCCGTACTGGCCGTCTACCTCGTTATCAAGTCGCTCTGATTCTGTCTCTGCATCCATCGAAATATGCTCGAACAATCTCGACCAAGGGAGCAACCAAACAAATGCGATTTAATATCGTTCAAAGTGCTCGACAATCCTGCAAAAAGTGTAGGGACGGAATCTCTGAATCAGACAAGAGGAACAGGCAATCAACAACGTTCATCATTTTCAGTCGTTGAAGGAAGTGACCCACCTGTCGGTTCATAATAAAGGCGTCCGCTGACGCATAAACCCCCGACGCCTGGAAGTTGTTGAAGTGGCCGATGCTAACCACGCTCCGTAATCGCGGGTGCTGCTTCAGATAACCCTGCAGTTCCTCCAGGTGCGAGCGGCTCTCCGGGGCTAGCGGCAAACTATCGGTGGTTAAGAACAAGACCCGAAGGGACTGCTCCGGGCTGGCGCCCTCTTGGTGCAGGCGGCGAGTCGCGCTAAGCCGCTTCTTAACCCGCTTACTAATGGGGCGCAACAACTCGCGGCCGGCTGCTTCTAACGCTACCTCTGCTCGCTGCGGGGGCGCCGGGGTACCTCTTAACAAATCGTCGCTAACTACGGGAACGGATCGCGCCCGCGACGGGGGCTGCTGCTGCTGTATCCGCTCCCCCGTTTCCTCGTCAAAGCTGAGCAACCGCCGCCTCCGGTCGTCCATCTGCTCGGCCAACGTCAGGTCTTCGAACGGCCCTTTCAGCGCACCCCCCGTTGCCTCGCCCCTAGGACCCACCATCTTCTCGAGCGCCATTTCCGCGGCTCGTGTGCTCGCATCCAACGCCCGCCGCTCGTCTTGCTCTCCCACCCCCACCGCCATATCCCCCCCGCCCGACTCCAAAACTCTTCCAAACCCGCTTTCCACACCAGTAGTTCGCTCCGCCGTTCCCGTTTGCACCCGCCTTCGATCGTCTTGCACCTCCATGCCGATCGACCGCCCCACAATCTCGTTGTTCGAAGAGCCTATTCCCACCTTCGCCTCCTCTCCATCGCTTGGTATAGAGTCGGTCCCTTCGGTCAGGGGGGTGAATCCGGGGACTCCTTGCAGGCCGCCGATGCCCCCCCAGATGCCTTCGCGGTCAAAGAGGCTGAACTCACGGTCGGGGTCCGGGATGTCGTCATCGTCGTCACTGTCAGAAAGCTCGCTCGCCAACTGCGAACAGGGTACAGGCTAATTTGAAAAGTCTGACTCAGAGGAGCATTCTGCCGTGAGGGGCATCCGCGTTGACGAATTTGGGACCAATGTTGATCACTTGGGAAGAGTGAACGAGGAAATTGAGGATACAAACACCGTGCAAGATTGAGCACAATCGAAGAACACTCTCTTAAACGCTTGCTTGAAGATGCGAGCGGAGAACTGACGTTAGACTCAAAACCCGCTCTGCTGCCTTTCATAACCCGTTCTGGCGGTCGATTCTGCTGACTGCATGGTTTGAGGAACCTTTTTGACGAAGACGACAAAACTCACCTGATTGATCGCCTCCAGCGTCAGCAGATGCCCCTCCTCCGCACTAAACCCTCCGACCACAACCACCAAAAAATCATCGTCCCACATGTGCAACACGTCACGCCGGTAGTACTTCCGCAGCAGCGCGCGGTGCTGCCGCGCCGTCGTTAGCGAGTTCTCGTTAAGCTGCCCGGGTTCCGCTAACCCGGCCGCTAACAGGACGTTCCGGTCCAGCGTCATGGGCACGATGCTGTACCAGGGGGGATCCCCTGAGACCGCTGACACCAGCCGTGCAAGGGCAGGGGATGACGCGGTCTTGCCGGATGCGGTTTTCAGAGCAGCTCGCTCTAGTTCCTCTTTGTTCTCGATTTTGAGCCACCCCTGTCGTGCCGTTTCTTTGATTCGACCGCCTCCCCGCAACCCTCCCCCCTGGAGCAAACGCCGCCGCAGAGAAGCGCTCTTCTCGTGGCTTGTGCTCTCTGCAAACCGACCCGCTGATGGGAACTTCTGCACTCCTCCCGAGAGCTCCTCGGAAGACTCGACAAGAGCTCGCCTCTCCCCTTCTCGCCTCGCAGTCTGGGTGTTAACGCCCTTCTCCTCTGCTCCGCTCCCTTCTCTACCAGGCAAAACGTCCCCGTTCACACCAGTATGCTTCTGCGCTGAGGTTTCCAGCTGCTCTGCCTCCTGTAAGTGGGAGACTTCGGTCCTGCATGTAACGAACCAGGCGGACGATAAGGACGGCGAGTGAGAGAATCATGTTCCAGGAAGACAAATCCTCGCAAGGCAGAACGTCTCGAAATCAGCATCTCGAAACCAGACACCTCGACGTCAACCATTTAGAAGCATCGTTAGAAGGTCAAAAGTGGACGTCTGAGCTTGCAATCAGGTGACTCGTTAGTTCGTGACCGTGTTTCGATTGCTGACAACCTAGGTAAGCGTAGCAAAGCACGCTGCCTTTTTGAAAAGAGCAAGTTTGGTGCATGTTCAATCACGTCTTAATGCATGCTTGACCACGTTCAATGCATCCGGAGTCCACAGACCGACCGTCATAGCAGTTTGAACCAGTTCCTGCAACAGATCTACTAGCAGGAGAAACAAAAAACGAATTGCTGGCCCGAAGTCTTTCCATTTGCATCCAGTCCGCAAACCTAAGGTCCTTGTTCGCACGACAATTTCTGCAACATGTCAACAGTCAGCTGGTCTCACCTAAGCCAGCCGTGCCACTTCTCTGCCTGGAAAGCGTTTACAAACATTGCCGTCCCCCGTTCTCCGCTTTCTCCGCCAAGCATTCTCGCCAGCCCCCCCTTTGCAGTATCAAACTCCGCCTGTTTCCCCTCCATGATCCACCATGCGACCCGGCCCCCCGCTTGCGATTGCGCCGCCAACAAGCCGTCCAACCATGGGCCAGCATATGCCGAAACAGCAAGGATGACGTCACTATTCGCCGCCAGGGTGTAACTCTCTTCTGACGCCCATCCGATGCTGCTGACGCCCAAAGAGCGGAGCTTCTCGCTAAACGGTGTCGAGGCGTCTAGGGTTTCGGAGGGGCTGTCGGGTTGGCTTGTGAGGTGACGCGCATGGGTCACTGAGCTGCTGGCGTGATTAAGGTGGGGAAGAAGGAGGGCGGTCACTTGGGCGTTGGAAGATAGCGCAGCACCTGAAAAGCGGACCAGGAGTCATCGAAGATACTCGTCGTATGTTGCTGGTCGTATAAGAGAGCATGCATCTGGGATTTGACTCTTATCGCACCTTTCTGGAGCAGTCCGGATCAGGCAGCAGCCAAAATTGATCGCTCCTTCATCGCCTACTCAAAAGTGTGCTCAAATATGGTAAGACGACTGAGTGCAAGACGGGAGTGACGACTGAGTGCACAAGCGGTCTGAAAGATGGTTCAGTGATTGGCGATACTTTGTGGGCGAACAACTTTGATAAGTATGAGCGGTAAAACTCTACGGCGCAGGCGTGCATCCTGAAAGATGACAGGCAACTCCACGGACGCTCTGTCCCCAGACAGCGCCTGAACCTGTGAAAGAAGTAACAATCACGTTGAAAGTTGAGTCTCATCACCGACCCACCTGCAATGTTGATCATTGTCCGACCAAAGCAGCACCCCTCAGGCCAATCCCGCGTCACTAGAAGCACGCGCTTTCCCGCAACTGCGCCCGAGAACGCCCCTCCCGCTGGCGGCGCCCAGAGGCCCGAAGCTCCCGTCCCCAAATCTTCCAAACCATAGGGTATCACAAATGACGTCCAAGCTTCCTCCTTTTCTCCCTCTTGCCCCTTCACTTCCAGCTTCTTTTCCAACCGGTCTACCTCAGCCGGCGTCTCTTCGATCAACACAACCTCGGGAATGTCCGTCGGTAAGTCAACGCGCGGTGACGCGTGTTCGTGACTTGAATGCTTCATCCCAAGGCCAAGCCACAGGAAGCCCTTCCGGAGCAACCCCCCCGCGCCGCCGAACCGGCCCTTCCGTCCGAGATCTACTTCCTTCCGGACGCTCTCGATGTCGTCCGTGCTAGGGTCCCAGTCTGGCAGCTGATGGTGCTTTTCCAAGCTCGGGGGGGCGGGCTCCGAGCTGTTAAACCACCCCCCCCAAAGCTCGCGCACCTTGCCCCCCAGGCCAAGACTCGTGGCAGTGGCGTTCGGAGCTTGATTTAAAATCGAGTGCCCCCCCACTGAAGGTAAAGTGGGAAGCGAGGAGCTGGTTCTAGACGCGATGTGGCCTTCGAGAAGCATGGAGAGGAGGAAGTAACCGGAGAGGGCCATGCACGTGATCCATAGAAGCCATGCACAGCCCACCCAGGCCACCCGAGCGGCGCGCGCAGCGTTTGGGCTTCTGCAGCAACGAAAGTGCGGGTTTGGAGCAAATCTAGAAGATTTAAGAGACAACTGCGATTTAGGGTAAGTTTGATCGGGCTAAGAACGAAATGCATGAGTCTGGCGATTGTGGAGACACCGGGTGCTTGCGCTCCTGCCAAACCAAAAGCGGGGGTGAAGCTAGGGTAAACCTACGAGTCAAACCATGATTGTGGGTTCGTTCCTGGATTGGCTAAAACCTCCGTAGAATCTCGGATGTCTGCAAAAGGTCAAATCCACGGCTTGACCAGAAGTATTTTGGATACAAAGATTGTCAAGGAATCAAAGCACCTGGGGAATTTAGCACTGCCCTTCTAACCAAACCAATGCAGGAAAGAGCACACAAGTGAAATCTCTTGATTGCGGTGGTCCTCTATTGAGTGCTGAGATCTTTCAGTTACAACCTGGTTCCCTAAACTTTCTAACCATTGGAGGCTTGATCGGACAACACTATTTGAGCCTGCTAGTTCCCCCCTGGCTTTGAACTTTCACACGAGCTCAAACAGCAGCGGAGAACTTTGTCGCTGAGCTGACGGCGTTTTCTGCACTTTATTGAATGCTTTCAATTCTAGGCAAGCTGCAGTTGAGCTCAAGCCTAAAAGGATGGGCGTTCCTTGGACTTCTAAGTTCAACACATCCCTTTGCGGCTTGCACCGGATCAGTCCGTATCAAACTCTTTTATCATAAAGTCACAGCCTCTGTTTTGGTACACCTCGGAGCTTTTACAGGTCTAGGGGTATTTTCTCAGATTATCCCACATGTTCCTATACTTCAATCCCTGCTCCCTTTGCCTGTCTTGTTGAGCAGATGCCAGCTTAACCTCGAATGCCCTGCAGCAGTGAGGACTAGGAACGGAGACATTTCGAGGCTTTCTCTTACCTCCGCCCATTGAGCAGGCGTCGCGAGCCCAGCCGCCGCAGTCCCGGGTCCGACGCAACCCGCTTCATCGGGCGCGACGTCGCCGTGCTCTCAAGCTGCCCGTTTTGCATCCCCTTGAGCGCGTTGCTCGACATGCCTCGCGAGCGGGAGGGAGACGCCGTCGTCCGCGACTTGGCCCCGCCATCGCCCTGCAGTAGGAACGCAAGCAGAAAGTCAACAATTGTCGCGTCACTTTTTCGCATTTTCCAGAAGTTGCACTGGTGATCTTTTATGCAGTCGTCTTTTCATTTGCTAGTGATTGAGATAGCTTCCCGGACAGCTCCCGCCACTGGTGGGGCCTACTGAAGGACGCAAGGCTCAAGGAACAATTGGTGCCAGTCATCACACTACGACGCTTGCGCTCCTTCCTGAATCTCCGGTTCGCAATGCACACAACTGATCGTTATGACTCGCAGGAAGAGCAATGCCGCATCAACCTGGCTATCTTCGCTTTGCTTGTGAAACCTTTTAAACACCCCAGCAAAGCAAAGAAAGATGATCTTGAGGCAGCACTTCAAAAAGGCAAGCTATCATGATTGTAGTAGCTAACCAATGAGAAGGAACTCGTGTGGGCAAGTTGGGACTTCCAATTGTCTCAAAATCACTCTAAGCAGGATCGTTTGCTAACCACTCAGATAAAATTTGAACGTTGTACAAGGGAATGAGAGAAGGCGAGCGAGACATTTGTGCAGACCAGTGCAACAATTCCGAATTGAGTGGCACATTATCTCATTATTCAAAGCAACTCAATGCTCTTCGATCAACCTCGGCCTACTTAACTGTCCACCATAGTTGTCCTTATTTCATGCGACACGTGCACACAAATAAGGGGAAGATTCCTGTTCAGGCTGTTGGTCAAGAACTGGTAGGAACAGGAATAAGGCCAACGACCATGAATACATGGAACGTTCCAGGTAAGTCCGAGCAGATCCAACACGAGAATGCCTGGGAGCAGAGAATCACACGTGACTTACACGAATTGCCAGATAAGTGACTCTGCTAAGACCAAAAGGAAACTCTGCCAGCTGGCCAACAACAAAGCTGCTAAGTAATGTGCCAAGGTAAGACCTGTATGGAAGAGGCCGGCTGACCCTGACTTGGAGGAAACCCTTAAGCAGTGCTACCATATCCCGTGAAGTGATTGCCAAAGCTGAAAGAGCAGCAAGGAAGTCACCATTACCAAGGAACGCAGTCTCTGTGTTAATATCGGGTACAATGTGTCCTGTGTCTCAGAGGTCGTCGTTACAACAGCGGTGAACACCATCCTAAAAGCAACGCACCTTGTAAGTAACAGTAAGCAAGGAGAGGACCGACGCCTTACCCTTGATCGGGTGGACGAGCGGGCCCTGCAGGGGTCGTCTGTGTACTTCATCTTTGGCTCCGCCCATTCCCCAGAGTCAGAGCCATCAGAATCGTCTTCCTGTTTCTTAGATCTCCAAGGCAAGCCCATGGCCCACTGGCAGCGGGCCCACATCAAACCGGAATGTATGAGCTACCTCCACCCCCCACCACACATCTCACTTGCACACTGCACCAGGCTTGAGTGTCGCCTGCTTAATTGCAGACATAAGCTACCTGCAAGATGGTTGCTAACCTCCACCCCAACAGTGGCGTGACTTCTAACGACAGCTAATGGCACCAGGAGTTTGCCGTTGGCCTGAACCATCGGCAGACAGCTATGTATCAGGCTCGGAATTTGTTGGTCACAAGAGCACCAGTTGCTTTCAGTTGGACGACATGAGCTGCCCTGTGGTGAGAATGAGCTTAAAAGCTCGGCCTCTTAGTATCCGCTGAACTAATACTGCTTGAGGCAAGCAAAAGTTCCTTCAGCAATGTCTAGCTGCCATGGTCCCCAGATCTTCACCAAGCGACTGATGAGCAAAGCTGGCGACGGGCCATCTAGCTACGGTTCAATCACCGTCCAAAAGGCAGCGTTCTACCATGCAATTTGGCTGCCCCAAAGATTGTGCGACTTGTCTCCTAACACTACCTCCTGCCTGAACAGGACGTTCCAAATACTCTCAAACAGACAGACACGCCCAGGGTTCATAACAGGCTACCCCTGGCGCCATGATCAGATGCTTTAGCACGCGCTTGCAGTCCTGGTGCAGAGCTGGATTGTGCAACGCGCCATGGTGTTTCAAAACCTGCTGATTGCTATCATTGGCCGCCTTCAAGTTCAAGTTCAAATCCTGGACAGATGCCCCAACTGAACCAAGCCCTAAAATTTAAAAGCTGGCAGTGGAAGTCCAACTCGGAGATTGGAATGAAGCTCATGCAGAGCTCAGGAACTTGCACGACTGCTGGTCCAATGCGATTCAAGAGCAGTGGCGCTCGGGACACGCGGCACGCGGCGGCGGGCTCAATTTTGAATGGTTCTGAAACTTCGAAAGGCGGGAATTCGAGATGCAGAACTAGGTAATATCATGTCCCAACCTTCTAACATGACCGTCAGCCTCTAGTTACCCACGGGCGAGCACGCGCGGAATGATAGGCAATTAGTTCGGAGCGTCAGCAATCGTGCAGTACGCAGAGATGGTTCCGATATTCCTCCGTGCACAAGTCCGCTGGCAAGCAACGTATCAAGTCTCTAATTGGACCTTCAAGCCGGCCGGCGGCCACGTACCGGTGGTGTCAAATTCACCGTACGTGGGGTTAGACTGGTTAGGTATCCTGCTGAATCGAACAGCAGAACAGCAGGATCTGATGAGGTAGGTACACGCACCGTAGGTTGGTAACCTCAATCTTTCAAGCCAACCTGCAGCCAGATCAGGGCTCCGCATCCCTGAATGCCGAGGAGTTTCAACCGAGTTTCAACCGTCCAACCGTGACTCGGTTGGGAACTGCAAACCTTGGGGCTGCAACAGTTTTCTGTGAATCTGACATGGTGGAAGTCTATAGAGGTTCCCCGAGCACTTGATGATTGACAGTGTCATCCAACTTCGTCCAACACGGGGTCAACCCTCTTGCCACTAAAACTTTTACCGGTCTGGCTCGTTGGCCCGCGAAAAGAGGGGAGCAAAAATGTACGCGATCGAAAATGTAGCGAGCTGCCAGTATTGTTTAAAGGGTAGCTGGCTTTGCCTTCGTTGGATCGTTGAGATCCTCACGCAGGCTTCAGAGCCTCTTCAGAAAATGCAGTGACAGACTGAGTTGCATAATGGAAGCGGCTGCCATGCAACCTTGTGCAGCTGCTAGCTGCCGGCTTGAACTGCTTCCTTGGAAGCGTCGTGAGTCAGCGGCAGCTTCTTCAAGAAAAAGCAGCCTGCTAAGGCTATAGCCTCTGTCAGTTGGTTCCTATCGCGTGCCTGGATCGAAACGGATCAGCAGCTGACAGAGCGTCTGCTGCTTTAATGCGGAAGTATCTTGGCACGTTCTCCTCGAGGACACTGGGACAGGCCTGGATAGAGCGGGTTCTCTGTCCGCGTTTTAACCCAAAAGCCAAGGAAGAGCGCGGTTGCAATCCCTGTCATAGGCGTTTTATTGTGGAGATGAACGACGTACATGAAAGCTGCCACTTGCTGTCCTCAATCTATGCACCACCAACGATCAGTTGGCAGCCAATTTCATGGTCAAGGGGTCCATACTTGGAAAACAGGCATGGTTTATGAGCAATCACGTTTTTAGCACCTTTAATCAGAGGCGTAGAGTAAGAGGCGTAGAGTATTGGCTGATCTTTTTCTGAGAAGGGGATTGCTTCTAAGCAGCAGAGATAACCAAAGCAGGACGGGTGGTAAAGCTTTTTGGCTTTGATTTGAGAGCTTCTTTAGCATCCTGGAGCCTTCTTCAGATTAGTGCCGCCGTAATTTCTCATACTCCTGTTATGTAGTCATTCGCTGGACACTCTTGATACCTTGATACGACTGAATCCAAGGACTGTAGGGCCCTTGATAGCTTAGGCCCGGGCGAGTTGAAGGACAATGAAGACGCGCAGCGGGAAGCGGCTCTATATGACTCTTGCTGCGATTGAGGCTGCAAATGGTAGACCAGCGAAAAGACGAGCTGGGATCAAGGAGATGACGGTTCCTGTCTTATGCGACATAACAACCGTTCAGGCTGGCAAACGACTCCGCAAGTCTGGCAGGGGACCTGTGCAAACGTCAAGAGGAAGCCCCTTTGATTGTCTGCCGGTAAGATATCTAATTACAAACAATGATTGTTAACATGCTGCTTTGACGAAAGACTTCCTACTTGCAGACTATGCTCTGCCCTGGTTAGCAAAGCCTTAGTCATCCTCCAAAGAAGGAAGATCATTGCTTTGAGCAACTGTGTCTACATCGTGCAATAAGACCGACAATTTTGGTTGGTATTCGAGTTTAAAGGTCCATCATGTGATGGAGACATGGACATCCGCATTCTCGAACTCTAGGAAAAGGTACAGTGCGCCATTAAATTTGCTCTCTTACTTTGGCACATTCAGAATGCATAAAGTTGCAATCAGCCTACATTCTCGCGTTGAATCTGACATCCAGCCTTTCTGTCTTTCTTCCAGGACGACCTCCTCATTGACATTTTCAGTGCAGTCAGCAACCATGCCGCTTCTGCCAAAGACCTTGGGGCCCTTAAGTCAACGTCAGTAGCAAATCCAGGTCTTTCCACACAATTACTCAATGCATGCTGTTGCCTGTGATATGGAAAAAGAGAGCTGCACCTGCTCAAGAGATATTCGTGCACAGGTTCCGTTGCTGGTCTCCAGATCCTGATGAGTTTATTTGATTCTGCTTCTATGCATGACTATGGTCAGTACAGGAATTGAGAAGCTGGCTTCTTGTTAAGATACTGCAGTCTGATGCATTTATCATTCCGAAAAATCCTATGAGCATTCAAAAGTTTATGCTAGGTGGGAATGGGTAGAGACTACATCCTCTCCAGTTGCAACTTGCGGTGGACTGCTTAGGTTCCGCCTTTTGCAAGTCTGTGGCAATGGCTTACAGAATCTTTTCAAATACCGTTCAGGTGTCGAAGGTTTGCTGAGGTTGCTGAGCATCCCCGAGTGTTTGCTATGGCATCCACTGCCTCGGTTGCCTCGACAGCCTCCAATTGGTCGGATGGAGCACAATCCTTCTTGAAAGCAAGTGCAGATGCTGGGAATATGGAGGCCGCATACAGATTGGGCCTGGTAAGACAAAGCTTTCTTTGACAGGATTTGAGAGTTACAATTGCATTCATGAATATAGAAGGGCAAAAACGATGTTTGTGACAACGATTGTCGTCCTTGCTCTTTAATGGAAAGCTGACTATTACAGCAAGTCGTTCTGAAGAGTTCTTGAAAACATCCTGGAGCACTCAGCTTTTCAGCACAAGACCATGATTGGTACAAACCCGTTCCTCCAGGCATGCTTCAAGATGTTAGAATTTCTTTGTCGGTCTTCAACGAGCAAGATTGCAGAGGGTAGAGATAGTCCACAAGCATCTGATGACGTTTTTTCAGTTGCCTCAGCTTTGGTTTGATCATTCCTCGATCTGTGACTGACTGTCTCGAAATAGGGTGGAGCTTTTCTTGTGAAGCAGACACCAGGAGTCCAGGATAGCAATCGTTTCATATCATTCTGGATTCATGCACTCATCGCCACACGAACGCTATTGTTTCTTTCAGCTTTAGGCAGGGATGTGGATTCTCAGGACAGGGCTGATTATTAATCTCTGGCGTCCTTTTGTGTTGCATCGAACCGTTCGCAGTTCGTTCTCCCGACTTGATGTAAAGCGAAGCGAAGAAGAGACGAGAGAGGTCATTTGCAATCTGGCACTTCCAAGGGCGGCGAGCGTGGGGAAAGCGTACCAGGCTTCCATGGATACTCCTTGATCGATCATTGTAATGCTTAGCAGGCTGAACTCGTAACAGTCTGGTACGACTATTTTTGAGCAACCAAACTTTCGAATGAAGCACGGCAGTCCTTTCCCATCGTTGCATTGAAAATTAGCCTACGCACGAGGAGCTTCGCTTACCTCACTCGTGCTGTTCTCCAGATTTACTTCTACTGCCTGGGGGCCACCCACCGCACTGAGGGCATTCAGTTGCTCAACCGGGCCGCGGTCGCCGACCATCCTGCAGCCGTCTACGCCATTGCCGTCATTCACTTCAACGGCAGCGGGGGGGCACGTGAGGACAAGGACCTCGTCTCGGGAGTGACTCTGTGCGCGAGAGCCGCGCTGCTGGGACACCTGGACGCGGTCAGAGAGCTAGGACACTGCCTACAGGTCAGCAGATCTTCTCGAACTTTCAGTTTCTTGAAGGCTTGCTCTAGAGCAGCTTCGTTGCTTCGTGCTTGAGGTGACTCTCGCTTGTGGCTCGAGCACTGCCACCTCGAGCATACAATTAGAGCATCGTTTTGTCAAGGGTCCTTGGTTTAATCTGGAAAAGAAGGATAACCCTGACAGAGGGAAGCCGATGTATTTCGGTTCCCGAACCGCAAACACTTATTCTCTTATCATGAATCTAAGAATGTCAAGATCTCAGCAACAATCTCGCTGGCAGGCTTCTTGATGCTTCGATACATTCTCGATACGGAGCAAATGCTCTTTCATCTGCACTTTCAACAGATGCATCCAACCGTCAAGGATTGATTGACTCTTCAGCCAACGGGGTTTCTTTAGTCGTTTTGAAACTTCCAAAGTCACTTCGTTTGACGTGTCCCTAATCATGCCGCGTTGAAGCGATGAAACAGGCTTCCTTTTCACAGACAATTAGAGCTCTGGAAAATCATCAGAAGAAAGTAAATGCAGCACTCAGCAGAGTCGAATCAACTGCAACCACCCAAACTGAACCAGATTTTCCTCCCCCTTTTGCAGCACGGTTACGGGCTGATCCAGGACGTCCCCGCCGGCCGCAAGCTCCTGCAGCTGCTCGAGAACGGCGACCACGCGGCCGCGACCGAGAAGGCGATGGAGGCCCTCGTCAACAGCATGAAGCAGCCGCAAGCCCTGAAGTTTCGTGCACGTGACCACTACCATCCACAGCCCGGAGACTCGCCCCGGCCCAACAGGCGGCCGCGCTTCATTCCCCGGCCGACCAACATGGGCGTGGCGAGCCCCCGGAAGGCGACCGTGGAGGAGGGGAGATCGGACGGCGGGGAAGGAAAGGTGCCCACGATCGTGGCGCAGGTCAGCCAGGCCACGAAGCGCGCGCGCGTGGAGGCAGAGAAAGCGATCGCGGCTTTTCGAGTGGCGAGGCAAGAGGCGGAGAGGAGGAAGGGGCTGGAGTCCCCGAGCGGGAAGAAGAGTCCAAGGGGGAGGGAGGGCAGGAGGCGCGACGTCGGCGCGCAGGGTTTGGAGGGTTTGGACGGCGACAGCTCGACCGCGTTCATGGTGAACTGGTTCAAAAAGGCGGCGCGAGTGGTGCCGGGGGGAGCCCCCGGCCTGAGGCTGTGCTCGCACGAGCACTGCGGGCGGGTGGAGACGCGGCGGCACGAGTTCAGGAGGTGCAGCGCATGTGGGAGCGTCAACTACTGCTCAACAGGTGAGGACCAATCAAGATGGTGATTCCGCTGCTTTTAGTCGATTGCAGAGCGTCATCACTGATTCAGTGCTGATCAAACAACAGACTTGATGAAGCGCGTTTCTGAATCTTTGGCCTATCAATGTCTTTGAAGGAAATAAGAGCAGTGCAAGAGTTGAAAAACCGAAACGAGTTACAGCGTCCACTGTTCTGACTCCTCCTTTGTCAAATGTGCAGTCTGTCAGGAGAGAGACTGGAAGGCGCGCCACAGAAAGGAGTGCACCCGTCTCGCGGCGCAAAATGTGGACGAGGAGGAAGAGGACGAAGATATGGACGGGGATGATGATCAAGACGAGAACGATGACGTAGATGGAGAGGAGGACGAATGGGATGCAGACGATATCGACGAGGAAGATGCCGCTCTCTTTGGATTTTGAAAGCAATTCTTATAGAAGGTCGGTGTTAGTGGAAGCCAGCAAAAGCCGGTGATAGAGACATTTTTTGCGAAAAGGTACAAAGCTGTGGATAGGTATACGAGTCAGAGGCATAGGATGCGACAACAGATTGCTTGGAAGTAAGATCGGCGGCGATACGAGCATACATGAGAGAACTTCTTTGAAGCCGCAAGGTCACGATAGAAATCAAAGCTTGCAGGTGAACAGTCAAGAAGGTACTTTAGAAGATTGTCAGAGTAGAGTAGAAAGTTTTGGACCCGATTTTGCTTGTCCCAATGCGCTCACAAGCTCTTCTATAGCTGGACAGCAACTGTAGGGAATGAAAGACAAAATTGAAAGATGAGGAACGGTTGAACACTGAGCAAACCGAGATAAGATTTAAAGAAACGTTATGCAGTGTCATTGCTCGCACACCATTGAGTTTTCCACTCCCTTCAAAAGGACCTCAAATCATACGACCTTGCGCGGCCAAAACCCCAGCAGTCAGGCTGCGTATAGCGGAGCTGACTCAGTGACCATCGTACCTGAACTTTTCCAGTGAGATTGAGCGAAGTCTTTCTGCTGCACATGCATACTTCAATGAAGCGTCGCCTTCGACTTCAAGTACCTGGCGACCATCAAATCCTTTCACTGGAGTCACGTTGTTTCCGGCCTCAATATCTGCAACGTACCGCCTTATTAGCTCTTGAACGTAGATATGACCGCTGTATGTTCCGGGCTATGGCGGCATGCTACGTAAGGCCTGCTTGCATGTCTTAGTAACGACAGAACGGCCGGCCCACCACACATGGCAATGCTTCAGGGATGCACTGACGATCAACATGTCTACGGGCCGGGCCGGCGTCAAATAGTTGAGAGATTACCATCAGGCTCTTGCCGCGATCGTGTATATAGTGACCATGTATTTGAAGATCTCCTATCAAGTTGGTTTCGACAACGGGCTGTACCGCGCGGCGCGCGTGGGGCGTATAGTTCAAGTTTGCACTTCGGCGCAAAGCAGTGTCGCGCACTTTAATCCATTGCGCTCCGCGCACATGAGTCAGGACTGCGTCCACATACTTACTGATCGATATTATAACTTGGCATGCATTCGATATCATATGTCGATTGAAGCTTTGTGCATGGTTTCCAGCGCGCGCGATCACGATCAAGCTAATTGCAGCGGCGCTTAGTAAGCTTCCGTGGTTCATTGAATGAAGGCAATACATCTGCGGCAGCCGGCTAAAGCACCCGCTCAACTTAATTCAAAGGACAATATCCGCACCATATGGACGGGGTAAAACTGGCCCACCGCTAGGCACGCGACGCGTGGGCTTCAGTCGCTCAATTGAGTCATTTTGCAAGTACAAGGACCGCCACTAATACATGCTAGGCAGCAATTACCAATTAACCTCGCTTAAAGTGCCCGACTTTATTTTCGAAACAGGTGCGTGTGCGCAAGCTCTACATCGTTGCGCAGTCACCTGACCGCGGCAGACCTATACAGTGGCATGGAGGATGCTCTGTGCAAGCGTTTCCAGTCTTCCTTCAATGAAGGCACCATTCTCTACTGCTTGCTGCAGCTGATTGAGAACGACAGTGCCCAGTGCGGTGCGGATCTCCTCCTCAAAAGCTGTCGGAAGATCCTCGGCCCCGTCAGGGTACTGCTTGGCGGTGTGAGAAGCGTCAGCTAGCAATAGGGCCAAGAACTCCAGAGCTTTGAGCCTGCATAGAAGGAAACAGTCTCAACCTAAAGCGACGCACAATGGCAATGCAACTTCGATCAGTATCGTGACCCTGAGAAGGCGTTGCTCGTGAAGAGTATGTCATCTCGTTTGTCCGTCGCTACTCAGTGTTGTCTTCGTGACTAATGACTGAATTTCGGCAGAGCAAGGCGTTCAGTTCCGGACTTTCGTGAAGAGGAGGCCGAAAGATTTGGACGTATCTCCGGGTCTTTGCTGCGTTACGGCGACTACAAAGTAAATTCCTCTTCTGCAAGGTTCCCTACACGAGGATATCAATTACTTTCCTCTGCAACTAAGAAGGGGAGTCAGCTCGTCAGTACAGATGATTCCAGCATGATTCCCGAGCGACTCACATGCGAAGACAGCCCGTCAAAGAGGGCTTAGTACTCATCAAGGCAGTCAATGTTACGATGAAGTTCACTAATTGTGGCCTCGGAACATCCTCAAGCGGCTCTCCAACGAACGGGGACTCATTGGACTCACAGTGCTCAAAGCCAAAACTGGGAAGGATGATAGGTGCGCCATCCTTACCGTACTTGCTCCAAGACATGCGCGTTTTGTACGAGGTCCGTTGTCTGCTTAAGGGCGCCCAGCCGTTTAAATTCCTGAAAGATGCGCAAAATTTGTAGTTGAGAGGAGTGACGTTGACCTGCTGTCTCTGTCTGGAGCTAATGAAACGACGTTTACAGATCATCCTTTTGTACTGTACTTCAGGCGCCAGTTTGTCCAATGAGCAAAAGACTCTTCAGGCGGCTCTATGCAACATAGCCACACAAACGCTTCTGATCTTTCCTGACTCCTGAACTGCAACATGTTCTTGGACTGGGTCAGGCAGAGCAACTTCCGTTTGCCAGGTCGATCCTTCTTTCTGGGCCTTACCTGCACATTCTCCGGGTTGCCAATGAGCAGTGTCAGCAGAGCGTCTAAGCATGCCACCCTCACTGGCACCACCGTGGCAGCTAGCAAGCGCTCTGCCAGAGCCTGTACAACAGGACTGGAAAGTGTCGATTGTGAGGCAAGAGTGTGCAAAAAACTGCCACCCACAGGGGAAGCAAAGTCAAACTCAGCCCCAGCACTTTGACCAACATGAGTGGTACAGGGATCACGGACTTGCCAGCAAGTTCTCGTATCGAACAGAGACAAAATCCAATGATCGAGGTTCCTGAATGCTCTTCCCAGCCAAAAGAAATGCAGAGAATTACATGGTTGTCTTTTACTGGCAGAAACATCCTCCACAACAGGAATCGAAATGGCCAGGAGACACATGGAGGATATCTTCAGGGTCCCTGAGGTCTCAATCACAAGCAAGTCTGCTCAGCAACAATATGGCCTATCCAACAAGTAATCTTCCGTCAGACACGAAGATTCATAAAAGGTGGTCTTTCTTCAAAGGTCGCTTTGAGAAAGCGCACCTTCACAGCCCCTCGCTTTGTTGCCTGCTCTTTGCAAATTGCATTCACCAAGCAGCATCCCTGCAGCAGATGCAAGGCCACCACGACTTCTTCCTCCCCTGGGGGGCTCAAAGGGACGGCAGGCTGGCCCAGGACTCGACCGGGGCTGCCGGAAGGGGAGGGGGGCTGGGAGCGGGGGGGTGGGGCGAGAGAATGCGAGAAGAGGCAGGGGACAACTGCGGGAGAGAGGATAGGGTACATGTTTGACATGTCCGACTGGCATCTGAAGGGGCGTTGTAAGAATTGTTTTTCGGTTGGAAAGATAGAGTGCCCTGGGCTGATTGCTAGGAGAAGGGGCTTGGAACATGACGAGCGGGCCGCCGGCTAAGCCGGAAGCAGACAACACAACACGCATTTGGAGTTTTGAAGGGGCGAGAGGAGAGTCATAGAATAGGCAGAGGAAGGCCAGACTCCGTGTCTCAAACCCAGATGCCATTCTGCCTTTTCTCCACATTACTCGACAACAAAACCTTGTTGCGCCTTTTAGGTACGTTCGTGGCCAAACTGATCGATGGCAAGCAAAGACATGTTGAGCGGGCGACCATCTCATCTTCAGCACAAATCAATGTGGTCAATGAAAAGATTAAATGGAAGGGCCAGCCGAAACCAGACGCATATCTGCACAATGCCTACTCAAGCTCCCAAACAGCTTACTTTGCAACTCAGGACTAAGCTGCGCTTCTCTAAACCTCCTGGTCCACTTTGAATCCGCGAGACAGGCGGCCACTGTCGCTGCCAGGGCCCTCAGTCCCTTCAGTCGCAGGTAAGAGAACTCTGCCTGGGCATCTTGAATGCCAAGCCTGAGTTGCAGGGCCAGTTCCCGAGCCTGTCGCTGCTCATCCAGGCTGGCGATGATGTCATCCAAAGCGGGCGGTGCGCCATGCCAGCTGGGGCTTTGCCAAGGAGGAGGGGGAAGCTTGAACGCCATGGCGGAAAAGTATGGTGGTCGCTCGGGACAGCGTTCGAGAGACAAAGCCAAATGTTGCCTTGCGTGGATGAATGATTTACGAAAAGGTTTGCAGAGGACATGCACTAGAATTTGTAATGCTGTTTCCCTTCGTGCATCGCCAAAAAGCGCTAGCTGGCCCGTAGGTCCACCACATGTGGTGAAGCAGTAAAGTTGAAGCAGCAAAAGCTGAAACCCTAAAACTTGAAAGGTAGTGCAGAGGTACCTAGCTGATAATCCGCGATCGATATAGGTAGAATGCGTTTCTTTCAAGCTGACTCAACTAGGGTTTTGAGCAAACCCGCAGAGGATCTCAACCCAAGCGCCCAGTTAATCCTCTGCCTAAAACAGCGTGATCCACCATCAGCACAACGGATTCTAAAACTGGGCACGTTGGATGACAGCAAAGGGTTCACCAAGTCAGAGACTCAGCACCAGAGGGCGCAGACGCCAGCCAAAAAGTTGGCGCGAGCAGAATTGTAAGCGGGCGGATTCGTCATATCCAAACTGCCCACAAGGGCAAATCGACTTGACTGGGTCCCAATACGTTCTCTACAAGTTTCCGCCATCGGTGGGTGTCATTTGACCGGTCCTATTGAATGCCCAAAATTTGCATTTTAGCTGGGAAAGTCAGACATACGGCCGCTTCGTCTTTGACACTGACGGCTCCACCGGGTGCGTTGAGCCGAACATTGGTGCAAATGGCTGCCAAGAGGCCGTATTAAAGACGTCTGCAAATTTTGGTGGACGCGCCCGCGGTGGAGCCCATACGGTCTGCCCGCTACTGGACGCTACATATTTTGGCTGGGCGTGGGCGCCCTAGCTGCTCAGCACGGCTCAATCATGCAGGAACTGGTGCAGCAAGCTTCAGAATGGTTCAAAGCGCAGGGAGGCCACTTTTGTCATCTACATTCAGAGCTGAAAAGGCTCCCAAATGGCAAGGCCTCGCTTCACAGGGCGTCAGGCTAGAGCTTAGCCATGGACTGCGCACTTTGCTTTTGAATCTGAAACAGGACAACTCTGCGTGCTCGTCTTCCGTTTGCCGTGCTGGCAACCTTGGTTTGCGTCCAGCTTTGGCGCGGCGGGAGCTGTCAAAAGCTAGCGGCTTAGGGGCATGGGGTTCTAATCTAGGAGCTTTGAAGTCCAGTTCAGAAAGTTTAGCTTCCAAGTACTTGGCAGGGAGGGACTGGAGGATGGCGGCAGTAATCGCTCCTGAAGTTGGGAGTCAACAAGGGCCATCGAGGCCGTCTAAGTCATCTGAGGTGCCGCTCCTGCCTACACACCTGGTGGTAAGTTTCTTGTCCAGGTAGCTCTGAATTGCTCAAGTCCATCCCAGAGATGTTTCTAGCATAAACATTCTGACGATGTTGATGCCCGCTGTTCCTTGCTCAGTCGAAGTAGTCTTAGAAATACCAATTTCAACAGTGCCCAGGAGAACCCAAAGCAAAGTCCCATGATGTGACAATTGCGATATTGACGCACAAACTCTTATATTTGATTTCTTTTCAGCACAAGTGCCATGAGGTGGCCAGGATTTTGGGTCTGTCAGACTAGCACTTGCCTGTTGCTTTCTCAGACACACCCACAATCATTTGCCTGGGTCTGCTTTTGAAACGAGCTTTCTCTTCACAGGTCCTAATCAACGGAATTCTGAGCAGCGCTCAAGACTGGAAGTATGCCAAAGAGGAGCTTTCCAAACGCCTTGGGAAGAATGTCTATGTGTATGGTATGTTCTGCTTGCCACAGTCCTCCTCAACCTCCCGTATCTTATTGACACAGATGGTTTCTAGTGAATTGAAAGAAGGAACAGTGGTTTGCGGCCTGTCTACTCTTTTAAAGACTTCAATGGTCTGAACTAAATTCTGAGGGTCCTTCAGAAGATCACAACCTGCCCAACTTGTCAGGTTATTCGGCTTAAGAACCAATCAGATAATCATTAAGCCTCCATGCTGCCACGCTATGATCTAAAACCCATCTTGCATGGACTGTGTCATTCCTGGTGGACGTTTCTTTCAACAAAGGCATGAAGCAATCAACAGTCAGTTCATGAACTTGACTTGTATTGTCTGTTGATGTCTTGCAATGTCTGTGCAGCGAGTATGTCCAACAGCTGGTTCAACACCCTACATGGGATCGATGTTGCAGGAAGGAGGCTGGCAGAGGAGGTAAGAACCACGCATCGACGCTGTCAATCAGCTTCACCCGTAAACCGTGGTGTGGCAATGTAAGGGGAAGTGAGCAAGGGATTAAAAACGTAGAAGCGACCTGTCTTTGTTGATGGCCAGTTTTTCACCAACCTCTGGTACTAGACATTCTGCGGAAGCCTGTGTTATGGAGGTTGATGGCCTCCTAAAGGTTGAGTACTTAATTGCAAGATCATTCTCAAGTCAATTCACCACAAGGTTCCCGCTTCTGGTATCTTGAATGCTTGGCCTTCTCCTACCAATTGAAATCCTTCTATGCTAGTCCACTCGGTCTTTGACCGCCCTCTTTCCTTGGCTGCTGCAGATCCGAGGAGTTGTGCGCTCACATCCCAGCCTTGTCCGTATCTCATTCGTTGCGCACTCTCTGGGGGGCCTGATTGCGCGCTACGCAGTCTCGGTCCTCTACACTTCGCTTCCCCCCCACCATCCCGTCCTGATTGCCTCCAAAGCCGCACAGAGCAACGGGAGCCCACCGAAAACTGCACAGACGAATGGGAGTTCACGAGAAATAGCACAGACCAATGGGAGCCAACCAGAAGTGCAATTTTCCAGTGGGAGCCCACCTGAAATTGCAGAATCAAACGGGAGCCTACCGAACAGAGAAAAGCTGAGCAGGTGAAGGAAACGCTCCCTCTGGTTGAAACCTCGATCGAAAACGAGCTGCTTGTTCAGGAACTCGAGCTCACCTACATTCGTAAACTCTGCGGCCAGTGAACAGAGACGAAACGATCTTTATGTAGGTCAAGGCAGGACAGTCTACTCGATATGTGAGAAACGGGGCTTGAGATCTGCTTCGTAAGCAAGAAGCTTCAGTTGTCTTGCCGCACAGTCCATGAAGTACATTGGCAAAAGGATTGTCAAGTGTCGAAGCCTCCTGACAGTCTGTTCTAGAAGAGGTCAATGCTTTCGTAAATGCAAGGTTGTCCTTACACGAACGTTTCACGGCACTTCAGCTCGAAAGGGTTATGCATGTGATGGAGACGACAGGGCTCCTAAAAAAGAAATTGTCAGTCAACAATTGCTCGTACTTGAAGGTTCCCAGTGCGTCGGAGTACTGCGCTTCCTACAAAGCCCCAGAGGTGGGAGTTTCCTGGGTCAAAGCAGGTTCGATAAAGTAGTAGTTGCAAGCTTAGGCCGTTTGGTGTCTCAAGAGGCAACTGTCTTTCGCCAGAGTTCGCAATTGGTCCAACGGTTTCCTAAGCAAACAACAACATTCACCAGAACGGACTGCATCTGACTGTCTGTGGGCCCAAGTGTGAATGAGAATCACGTTGTGATGGCTCCCCTTTTGGCTCACTCTATATTGCGCAGCTTACATTGCTGCCAACAATTTTCTGCAGGCCCGTCGAGTTGCCGACCATTGCTGGCCTCGAACCGGTGGCGTTCGTCACGCTCGCGTCTCCGCACCTGGGCGTGCGAGGAAACAAGCAGGTGAGAGGCCGAGAGTCGCAACAGCTTTCTGCGCCTTCGCTTTTTGTGAAGACTTGGCACACCTGTTGAAGATCGAACGCGAGAGAGCAGGCCAGGTGTCAAGTGGCGTCGCCAACACCATGATGTCAGCAGGACCTTTCAAGAGCCGGATATCAGAATTGACTTGCAGCAGTTCCTTTGCGTTTCGGTAGAGCTCTTTGCGAGCGTACCTTAACTTCCCGGACATAAAGATTGACATCTAAGTCGCTTCAGTAACGCTTCTTTAACGGAAGGATGATAGATCCGACTCGATTCTTCACCACTACTTCGCACGACTCGGATAGGTACGAACACAGATTGACTAACTTTGATCGATTGCAGCATAAAACTCGATACCATGAAAAATACGCCCTATGAATAATAAAGTTACGCCCGGGGGACGGATGGGGTTAATCTAGTGGGTTCGGGTGCAGTGCGGGCGATCGGTTGGGTTAGGGTAGAATGACCTAGTGATTCATACGCCTCCTTATTATTCATAGAATCGACACTTATGTTTGCAGCTCCCGTTCCTACTTGGGTTGAAGCCGCTCGAGACGTTAGCGGCCCCGATCGCGCCCCTGGTCGTTGGCCGGACGGGCCGGCAACTTTTCCTGACGGACGGCAACAGCCGGCGCCCGCCGCTGCTGCTCAAGATGAGCCGCGACTGCCGAGAAGGGCCGTTCGTGTAAGTGGCGCTGATATGCTGAATCTGATTGGGCGAAGTTGTATCGATCGCACGTATACAGTTCCAAGACACCGTTCGCCTCTATCTTCGTCAGAAAAGGCGAAGTGCATGCTGGCCCGGTTGCTGTGTAGTTGGCAGAATCAGGCTAGAAGTTTTCGACTAGTCAAAGCAGTTTTCTCTTGTCTTGGAATCGATAGAAAACCTCTCTCAAGTTGCAGATCTGTTGTTGCTTGCCGGTATGTTCCCTTTTCGAAGCAATGATTGGCAACCCTGGTGTTCTTAAAGATTGTTTCGTGTCCCGGCGTTCTGCTTCGCCAGGTTTCAAGTACGCGTTTCAAAATCCTCTGGTTGAAAATACACTTGTAAGCACGTTTCCAATGTTCCCCAGTTCCTCACAAGCCCACCGTATCTGCTTTTGTTTGGGGCGGCACCTCCGCTCAAGCACTTACTGCTTAGCAAAATTCTGCTGAGTGTTTTCTTAACCAAAGGACGAGTTGTAGTAGTCTCGAAATCATGTGGAAAACGGCTATGTTGAGTTAGACCATGCCCGGGGGACCGGTGGGGTTCATTTGCGGGTCTATCGTGGGTACGGGTACGGAGCATGTTAGGTTGCACATCGACCGAAAACCTACTTGGCCTCCAGTGTTGCCTTTGTAGAACCGACAGGGAGGAGGTACGGTACTTTCTGAGCCATATTACTCCCCTGGTATGTACCTTCGCCAAGCACGTGGTTATGAAATGCCATCCGATCGGCTAAAAAATCTGGAAAGCTTTTTGCTGCTTTTCGGTCGACGCGCACCCTTAATTCTGGGTTTAGGACTCTCAGTTTTTATGGGCCCGGAAATTGACCCTAAAGTAAGATAGATTAACCTCCACACAAATAGAGACCTATCAAAATGTATCTCAGCTAATGGCGTCATAACTGCTTTTGGACTGTTATCGCTCTTCGAACGGTCTGAACCCTTCCGTCCTTTCCATGCGCAGCTCGTCTCTGCGCTGCTTCCAGTTGCGGGTGCTGTACGCCAACGCGGGGTATGACCACATGGTGGGCTGGCGAACGTCGTGCATACGAAGAGAGAGAGAGTTGCCAAAGGTAAGCTCGTTGCACCGGACCCTCTCCATCTTGCACGTAGTGCGCGAGACGACTTGCGAGAACAACTCGTGCTGAAGTAAGAAAACAACTATGCGCGGAATCTGAAATTCGCCAAAGGTTGTGCTGACATAGCGTTTCCACAATCAGTAGGAGGTCCGCCTCAGGGGGTGTGTTTGCCGGCAGGGGTTACCCCGATTGACCGACGACTGAGTTTGTCGCAAGGTGGGCATTGGGCGTGACACTTTTGGAAAAGCCTTTGAGAGTTCAACTCTTAACCAACGTTGAGAGCTTAGGTCACCGCTCTGCAAATACCATGTTTCTCCACCAGTCCTAAGTTAAATACCTTGTTCTTTGTTTCTTAAAGACTGTCTGCAAGCCGCTCGACAAGCGCTAAAAGCCAATTGCAAGCAAAGTTGACCACCTAGAAAGAACGCAGGAACTAGCGAACGCGCAATGGAAAAAACCCTTGACACGCAGTTGCCGTCTAGACCAGTGGACAAGCGGTACCGCCACGTGGTGTCAATCGAGAACTGCCCGGAGGTGCCGCTCGCGAGCGCGAGCGTGCTCGACGCCCCCTCCAGTGCGGGGCCAATGGGCGCCGGCGAGATCAACTTTCGGCAGTGGCGGGGGATCGGCGACACGCACGACTTGCTGGAAGGTAAGGGGGTCGCCGAAAATGCTCTGTCACTGCTTGGCATCGTCTTGAGAAGGGCGAGGTTTGTCCGGAAAGCTGGATCGTACGACTCAGGTTTGGAAGCGATTGAGGGGCTCAAGACTTGTATGTGCTCCGATGACGGAAATCTTGGAGAACCACTTTTGAAAATGTGTTTGCTCGCGTTGTCTGACGCTTTCGAACTGAGTACTGAGTACTGATGGTCTTTGCTGGTACCAAACGTCTGATACACGATCATGGTTGTGTGGTCTCATGGGCCCTTCTGTCGCCTTCTACGGCAAAACAATGAATCTAGCACAGTTGTTTGTGCCCATCTTTAACGCGTCCTTGGCTCGAGTCGCACCCTTATTTTTACAAAAAAGAAATCTCGGTCGCCCCCTGACTTCGTTTTAATTGGTTTCCGTGCAGAGGAGATGGTGGCTGGGCTGCAACAAGTGGCGTGGCGGCGAGTGGACGTCAGGTACACGTCAGCATCTGGTTCAAGTCGCATGTATCAATGCCGTCAGAAGTGTAGTTATTGCTGGGTATTTGCAGACCCCTTTGGTCGAGAAACTTGTTACATGAAGTCTTCCTTGTCCTGGCGCGCGATTCACCTCCGTTGCGCGCGGACAATCATCTGCTCCAAAGTTGTTTTGGTAGCAGCACCTACACATCCACCCCTTCCAAGTCTATCTTAAGTTGGTAAATTAAGTGTTGCTTCTCCATCCTGTGCTTTTCATTGCGCCCGATATGACGTTATGGACTCGCATCTCGTGCAGCTTCACGGGGGCTCTCTTTCCGTTCATGGCACATCACAGCATACAGGTGAGCGGCTGTGAAATCCTATCCAAGGCGGACACGTCGGAAGGAACGCTGAGGCCTTGGACGTCCATCAGAATGCTGCTCGAAACGTCCGATGCTGCTAGGATTGTGAACCATCCGTTGAAATTTTTCAGGTTTTCTGTGTAGCTTTTCTTGGCAAGGAAACCCGAAAGGCGCTTTCTGTCCTGCAGGAATAGACAACAATGCCTGGCGACTGCATGACTCAGCATCTTTGACCTGGGTCTTGTCGGGAGAGACGCCTCTCGAGTCTGCATGACCCAATCTGTGGGCAGTCCAAGTAAAGACTTTCTGACACACTTATGACCCCCGTTTCATGTCTGCCAGGTGAAGCACAAGGTGCTGCATTGGGAGGGGGCGGGAGTCATCGCCCATCTCGCGGACACGTTGCGGAGCTTAGAGGAAGGTCACGCCGCCGTGTTTCTGGAGGCCAAGCTATGACCGTCGATTGACGGATATCCTGTGGACCATGATCTCAAGAGACGTTACTATTGATTGTTTTACGAGCCGTTTTCCCCTCCGAAACGATATTCTACGTTCACTTGCTGTACGGGCGTTAAACTAGAAGGTGCATCTGATTGGACTACCGAGCGGATTATTTTGAAACGTTGGTCGAAGTGCGTCACTCAATCACCGTCTGTGGACATAATCTGCCAAATCAATCATGACGAGTATTGAAGTCGGCCTTCAGTATACAGATCTGGCCCACCTTTATGCAATCGCCGCGCACCGTGCTGCGCACTGCACGCAAAATGCTTGAGCTGCACATCTGGGTACGTACCTATGCAACGACCGAAATCTTCTGCATGCATAGAATGCATTTTCACTGATCATGGCTGGCGCACACGCCAGCTCGATCATCTCACTGTTGATCAGCTGCATCTGGCGCACATGCATTTTACTGTCATGATCTCACCGGCCAGCTGCAATCTATAGCCGCGCGCGCGTGCTAGCTTTATATATATAAGGAAAACATGCCGACCCCAGCTCTACGTATCATTAGGCCGCGCGAGTATATACGTGGGCATCATGATTGCGAGTATATACGTGGGCATCATGATCGCGAGTCCGTTACTATCGATTGCAATGATATATAAACTGACCGTCCTCAAGCTATAGCATGTGTGACCGCGGCCGCGCGCGTCGATCAGCGTCACCTAATTCATCATTCATCAGACATCACGGTGGCAACAAAACTGGACCGAGCCAGGTTCTGCAATTGCCTAGGTGTCCATGAGCGGCGTTGATGGGAGCAATCATGCAGGATCCAGAAAGTTACCAAGATTCGATGACGACGGTGGCCCCGGACTCATACCTAAATTCCTGCATGTTAAACTTTTGCACGGCAGTCACTGCATACAGACGATGGTTCCTATGGCAAGCTTATATTAGTATAGGTTAATCCTCTTTGTACAGTCTCGAAAATTCCGCTGGATTGAATGTTCAAAGCAATGTGCTATCGTTCTACTGTCCCTCAGCTTCACAGCGGTGTACGATATCTATCCTACCACAGCAATGTAATCAGTCAACTCTTCCGCAATCTACCAATGTGGGGCGTGCATATCAGTCCTACTGGTCGGCCGTCTGCAGGTCAGAGTTCCGGAACAGGACGTCGACAACTAGTTTGGGGTACTTTCTCTGGAGGGCCATGGCCTGCAAACAAGCCGAAACATATGTCAAAGTTCAGCAAGAGCGTTCGCAGCACTTACGCCAGAGAAAAAGGCATCACGGGAATTTCCTACTTGTGCTTCAGAGACGAAACGGGGTGCGAGCAGCTTGCGACTCTCAAAACATCGAGCTAGCATGTCCGATCTGTGACCAAAGTAGAACGACTTGTCATGACCATTGCCCCTCCAGCAGGAAGGCAACTTCAGCAAGAAGACACACTGTAATATGGTGCTGATGATGATGACGAAACTCACCATTATTTGGACCGCTCCCTTCTTGAAAATGGGAGCCGTTTACCCGCCAATCAAATTACAAAAGCAGACACTATCACTAAAGCGGCAAGTAGTTGTTCAGCCCGCCCTTTCACCAGCCACACAAACAAGCGGTTGCGCATCGCACCTGTAACGCAAACTTGGTGCTGAAGGCGGTGACGTCACGCTCGCTCGCGCACACGTCACCGCTCGCGCACGCGCCCGACGGGGTGACGTCAAGGAAGCGGTCGGCAGCGGCGGGGAAGCGCGCGAGCGCGCCCTGGTGGAAAGTGGGCGACGAGCTTTCGGAGCCGTCTAGAACTTCCCCGGACGTGGAGTCGTCGCAGGCTGGCGCGGCGGAATCTATAGAGGTGCGGGAGCCGGAGGAGGGCAGCCGCGAGAGGGGCAGCGCGACGGAGACGGCCTGTCATAAAACGGAAAATCACGAGAGGAGATGAGAAAGAGAATCCTCATAAACCTGTGCGAGATTGTGGAACCTTCGAATGCTTCGGCCAAGATTGAGTCACAACTGGACATAGATCTGATTCCAGCCCCGTGACTTCTTCGATTTCACATCAATAAGATAATTCCGAAAGGGAAAATATGTTTTCAGCTGGTCCTCAGACGGGAGGTTTTTGACGCTCAGCTCGCTGGGTCAGCATTTTCGCTGTCAAAGTAGACGAGCGTCCAGCAGAGAACGTTCCGTCGAATGATTCTACAAGTATCTTGAATGGACATCCAAACAGCCTTCTCTCAGGTTTCTAACGTGAAGATAACTCAAATAGCATTAGACAAGGACGGCATCAGAGGATTTGGACCAAAAAGATTGTGAGGAGGATCACGGGTGTGAATACGCACTTTCTCCCTGCCGAGCTCGCCGCACAGCGCCAGCTTCCGCAGCGCGGGGCACATTTTCACCATCGCTTCGATGGCGCGAATGATGTCCGCCCCGACCGGTGCCCCCGTAACGCCAAACTCTCTCAGCCTCGGGAACGTTACAGCCCCCTTAGCCGCTGATTCGTTGGTGGGCTGTCGCGTCTCGGACGTCCGGAACCCTGCCTGGCGGCAGAGGTTCCAGATCGTGGCCCCGAGCCGCAGGGTTTGGAGGTTCTGGAAGCTGGCGATCGCGGCCGGGAGGGCGCCCGCGGCCGACGCGGGGAGGGCGATCCGGCGGCGGGTTTCGACGTCGAAGGCCTCCTCGGTGTCGGAGAGGAGGTCCAGTTCGACGGGCCGATGGGGCGCCGGGGAGCGCGGAGAGACCACGTGGCTGTCGCTGTCGGTATCCTGACAAGTGTTCGGTGAGAAAAAGGTCAGACAAGCTTGACAAAGATGGTGCGAGGAAGGGACTTTAATGGAACGGAACTCGACTTCGACTGAACCAACAGCTGCTGTGCTTAGCTTCTAACGTGTGGGCAATGCCTTTGTCGGATCGATCAAGCAAACGGCGAAACACATCAAAAGCCTAATGTCCGCCACGATGTCTGGTTGCCTCCAAGTTTGGCTTTGCTGACGCAAAACATCGTTTTCTGCTCCAAACTACCTTGTGTTTACTGCTGCCCCGAAAGCTTTAAGGCTGCTCTGCATCTGGAGCTCAAGTCGTAACAGCGGAACTCGTCTAAGACGTGAAAGTAAAAAACCGAACACCGAGAGCCTGCACAGATGCTCGATGCTCACGTCATCTTCCATCCAGACGTCCGCCCCTGCCACGTCGTCAACCTCGAGCACGCGCAGGTCCTTGCCCTGCGCCGCGCCCATCGCCGCCCCCACGTGCTGCCACGTCACCCCCCTCAGGACTACCGCCCGGAGGCGGTCGCCCACCCCCCCGAGAGTGATCGGCCCTCCGCTGACGTCACATAAAGTGAGGGTCTCCAGGGCGGAAGCGCGTGCCACGTGCGCGCTGCGCAGGCTGATGCTCTTGAGAGCCAGGGCGCGCAGGTTAGGGCAGTCGAGCTTAACCGTGAAGCTAACCGAGTTCATCTCCGCACCGATCGAAAGCTCGCGGAGGGAGTTCGACCTTAGCTCGATGCAGTTCAACCCGTCCAAGTCAGCGAGGGTCAGCCTGGCCAGCCGCCCGCACCCCGCAACGAAACCACGGAGCGCCGCTGACGTGGCACTGACGTCAGACAGCTCGAGCGTCTCCAGCAGCGGCAGGGGGGCCACGTCAGCTGGGAGTTCGGCACCGCAGAGCACCAGGTGGCGGAGCGCGGTTCGCTGGACGTGGGCGCTGACGTGGCGCGCGATGGTTGGGTGGCGCATGCCGGCCAGGGTTTGCTCGAAGGAGTAGATGTTGGTCGAGCGAAGGGTAACTAGAGTGGGCCGAATGGCGAGGAGCCACGCGGTGAGGAGCGAGTCAGGGAGGCCGGCGGTGCTGACGTAGGTCATGTCGAGGCACTCCAGCTCGGTGGCCTGGGTTTAAGAGAAACAGGGTTGCAGCGGAAGAGAGTCGAGGAGAAGGCGAACGGAGAGGGCTTAAGTAAAAAAGAACAAAGTTAGAAAGGGATGTCAACTGCGGACACGAAACTAGGGGACATGTGGAGCAGAATGACTAAGCGAGGGCGGAAATAGCGGCCAGGGAAGCTCAATCTTAGGCCGAAGTAAAGGAGAATAAGACGGACGACTTAATAACAATTCGACAAGATCCTATAATACGCTTTCAATAAGCAGAAGTTGGGCCTCGAGTACTCCTGGGTTTTCCGAAGAGTAAAGAAGAAGAATGTGTAATCCGGACTAAACAGGTCTTGGCAGGTCTTCATCCAAGAAACCAGCGAGCAAAGGAACCGATCGTATGTCGAGAAAAACGACCTGTGGCAATACTCACACATTAACTTTTTGATTCCCTCATAGATAGCCCATCGAAATGTGTTTGTGCACAAAAATCTCAAAATTTGAAAGCGACTGCAGCAAAAAGGTTGCGGGTGCCCCTGTAAAAGCTGGCTGTCCTGGATGCAGGGGCCGTTGTCCATATTCGTCCACTCTTCTCTCGTCCATTGGTCTTGGGAGCAATCTACGTGCATCTTGGGAGCATATCCCATGTTCAGTGGAGACCCAAGAATGTACACCTCAATTAAAGGTCGCCAAAGAAAGCAGCCCACCACTATCCAGTGACTGAACAAAAGCGTAAATCAAAAGTTGTAGGCATTGGAATCCAAGAGATTAGAATGAACCAACTGGATTGCTCTCCTCTCCTTACCTGCATGATCATATTTGTCATGATTGTCAGAGCCTGCTCAGGCGCCATCCCTTCTGGGAACGTCTCCTCGGTGAACCGCAGGGTCTTCACCCGGCTTCCTGCGGCGCGCCACCTGGCGCACACCATTTTCCCGCGCGCCACGTCAGCAGCGTCCAGCCGCCCCAGAATGTTTGAGATGACCTCGGATGGGAGAGCGGTGCCTCTGGAAGTGCGAGCCATGCTTGCAAGTCTACTAGAGCAGCGTGCTTGCTTTCTGAGGAATGCTGCGGAAGCGAGCTTTTGAACGGGTCACAAAGCCGATCCCTACTCCCTAAGTAGAGCGCGTTTGCTGGTTTTGGCAGAGCGAACCAGAGTTGCAGCGAATGGGGGGGAGAGTTCCCCTGGGGGAAGCGCTGTGTGCAGGGAACACAGCGGGACGCCAACGCTACGAGCGCTGGGCGGACTGGCAATTACTGCGCTTCATCTTGCAGGGGTCAAAGCCAAGGTAGGAACCTGCAGGACAGTGGAAAGCATAGGTTGTCAGTCTGAGTCTGGTTCGCTCCATGCTACTGTGTTGAGTGTGTTCATTTGTTTGGACCACTATTATAAAACAAGAGTCCACAGCGATCAGCCTCAACAAAGCAATGCATGACTTGCTTCAAAGGCACCTGACAGATGACAGCTGGCAATTGTCAAGTGACAACCCAACATGTTTCTTCTTTCCCACCGCAAATCAGCACAAGTATGCCAGATATTGAGATGCAAAGCCATCTTTTAGGGGGCTAGAATTTCACTCCACAATGATTTGAATGGTCTCAATAGAAGCATTAGAGGCAGGATGCCTCGTTGTGCTTAGATTAGATCAGGTAATCACATCTGTCAATGGAAGTGGTCAGCGCTGCAATGAATACCCTACCTGGCCCTTTGTGGTCCCAAGTCGCCTTCTCGGCCGGGTTGCTCATGCGCACTTCGAACCTGGGAGCCATCACTCTCTGCAAGCGTGCACTGGATGCATTCTGTGTGGAGAGATCTGTCGGTGTAAGAAGGTGGCCTCTGATTGCATTAATCAGGGAATGATGTTTCTTCAAACAAATGAGGCGGGCGGGGTTTAACTCCAAGCAACAGAGCAATTCTAGCGGAGAAGGTACGCAATATCCGTGTTTGTACGCTAGTGGCGAGACACCGGAAACTCTGCTTTCACAGAATATGGCAATGTTGTCACGCCTTGCTCAAGACTGGGGCCGTTCTGAACCAAAGCGGTATTTGGATTGCTGGGCCTGAGGGCCGGGAATCGATGGCCGCCTTTTTGGTTGTGCTGTCCCTTCTCCAATTTTTAGTCCTTGACATTGCTGGACGAAGCAACATCAGCACAATGTGATGCAATGCAGCAATGCATTTTGTGTCTCCTTGGATCTTTGAGTCGGACCATATGCAGGTTTTCAATTGATTGAGGATCTAGGGTCGTTGACGCTTCTGACGAGCCTCAGGTTGACTAGGTTGACCCTGACTGAGTCCTAGCTGAGTACGGTCCTGGGCCTGAGCCTTCCTCAGTTCACTGTTCAGGCTTGCGCACTGCAACCGACCACTGAATCGAGGGTTGGTAGATTACTGCATCAACGGTTGGAACTTGGCGTGAGTACCGTACTAGGTACTAAGGCAGGTACTCATGAGTACCTACGGTACCTGGTGATTCAGCCTTCAGGTCCTACGGTACCCTGTACCCCGGGCCTGTACTGGTACCTGTCCCACCTTTCCGCACACGCATGTTGAGTCTTGAGCAAATTACCGTACGTAGGTACACGTGGGATCCCCCTAGACGAACGGCTCAAGGGGATCACCCAAGCTCCTTACAGAACCTGACACGTGGACGGCTGCACTGAGACGAGGCCAAATCTGACGGCTCCACCCCTGTTGCGCGCGCCTAGATCTGGGCCAACCAATAACGATCAGGATCCGAACCGTGTCATGCCCATCGTCATGACCTCCAGGTCCGCCATGGTGGGGGGTTCTTGCATGCCTTGTTCGTGCACAAACCTTCCCCCCTGCAGGAGAACTCTTCTGAACCTTTCTCATAGCCTGTACAACAGCTTCTGTATACGAGCATTTCCTTGGGTAACATGTTCTCGCCCTGGTTTCTTGCCTCCGACCACTCTTCGTAACTGGTTACTGAGTCAAAGTGAACCTGTCGTTGGATCTACCTATATCATTTAATCTGTCGGTAGTCTTCACGGGGCTCGCTAACCCTTGTCCACAGAAACAAATAATTTGGCCTAATATTCTCTCCCCTGTTGAGCATACGGGCATTTCTGGGGGATTCCTGAAGCTTCAATTTGAAATTGGCTTGCCGCCGGCGCCAGCTCCGCTGTGAATCTGCGCCAGTGTCCAGGCAAATGCTTGGCTTCAAGCGTCGAGGCGAGGATTCCAGCCTCCAGGGGTTGAGGGAGCCCCTCGTCACTTCGTTCGAAGGACCATCTTCGTTCAACTTCAAGTTCGAGGACTGCCCTGAGAGGAAGGCTATGTTGTCTGCCTTTTGAGCGGAGATTGTGGCTCGACTCCGTGGCCTCTTCAGAAAGCAGTAGACTTTCACGTGCTGGGTAACGGGTCCTGCTTCCAGAAAGCAGGTGGTTTGTTGTAGAAACAAGATAAGCTGTGATCTGCTAGTACCTCTCTTCGGCCTGCTGATGTTTGTTGAACCTAGCTTGTATGGACCGATCTGCGCTGGGCTACGCGAAGCAGTAGAAGGGCAATCTGCAAGGATTGTTAGGTGATGCGAGTCCAAGGAGCCGTGTGTTCAAGCCTGAGTTTATTCAAGACAAGCTCAGCAAAGCAAACATGCTCTGTCTCACGCTTATAACTTAGCCAAGTCATAAGCTGGCATCCAGGAAACTATAAGTGTACGCTTGCAACCACTTCGCGATGAAGTCACATGTGGCAGGGAGGCCTCAGCGGTCATCTGAGGAGCTGGTTTACAGGATGGAGGAATTGATGGAGGAATTGGCTTTGTGTGTGGGGGGAAGCGGGTACATATGGCTGGTTGTCAAGGTATGTGACTTGTATTCATTCCAGAGCAAGCATCCCATACCTGCAAAGCTGACGTCATGCAGAAGCCATCTGTGTTTGTCATCTGGGATGAACGTTTCTTGGTTGATGCTATTCAGAATAAGGTGATGATCTGGGATAGAATCACTGATAGAGCATGTCTGCTAAATACCCCTTCCCTCGTTACCATTGTGCTAAGTTGCTCTGTGACAGTGTTCCTGGTCATCTGCTATTGATTTGTGCTTAAGAGGATCTCCAACACTGAGCCTGGAGGCCCAAGCCATTTGCCTGCATGGTTTGCATGGATACTCTTGGCTGGCATCGTTGGCTTGAGTCTGGAATCCCGTGAGTGCTGCTAGGGCACAAAGTGCTGCTAGGAAGGCTCTTAAAGAGCAGACACTTCTAGCCACATCAACTGCTTATGGAGCTCCTACATTGCTGACAGTCATCTGGCATGCAGGGAGGAGGGGGCCATTTGGGTGGATGTTCCCCAAACCTGAAGCCGTACAAAGCTGCGCTGGCCGATGAGGTGGAAAAGGCGACAGAGAGGTGCGTTTGCTATTGGACACGAGTCTTCTGAGTGACATTCAGCGTGGTAAAGACGACAGGAGGATTTGCTTGCTGTGCTTGTTTCCTGGGGGCTTCGTCAGGCTTCAAGAGGTCGCCAGAGATTGGATGGGAGCACTCCAAGCATTGCCTGTGATGTATCTTTGCACCATTTGTCTTTCTGGGATGCTGTGTTTATCGAGCTTGTGCAAGGATGCTCTTGCAGAGTGGGGATAGACAAGGTAGAGTCTACTTGACAGCGTATCTCCATCTTCTGAGTTTGCCCCGGACCAAATATGCTTTTGTAATCGCCAAGAAGGACAAGCATTTCGTGCTTAAGCTCAGCACGAGCAGACATCTGTCAACACAGGGGAGTGGGACGATTGAGATTTTGTTTGAGCATGAAGGGCCATTCCACACCTTTCAGTTGCTCCACAGTGAAGAACGTAGGTCCACCATCCTGTCTCAAAGTGTCGTCATGTTGCCTTCCACCCTCTCTGGTAACTCCATCATTGAGTAGTGCATTTCATCGCTGAGAAGTGCACGTGTAATCTCTACCTTGGCTGATTCTTCTGGTGAGTACGTTAGTCTGATGCTCATATAGGCTATCTTGCTGACCATTAGAGGCGCGTAGCTGCAGTAGCAAGGGATTATAACCAGGCAGAGAATCTGGCTGTGTCTCACGAGCAGTAACGTACAAGCTGGGCACACATCGTAAAGCTCTTGAAAGAGGCTAAGTGTACTGATGCAGGGATCCCCTCAGGATGGGGGGATCCCCTGCCCTCATCAGTTTTTGTTCACAGAGAACGCAGCTCTTTAGCACAAACTTAACAACAAATATGCAGCGGTAACGCACAGTCTGGGCATAGTCTCGGGGCACTTTGTGTAAGAGCTTTGGAGAAGGCCATGATTGTCGTGCAGGGATCCCCTTGGGATGGGGGGATCCCCTTACCCTAATCAGTTTGTCCATAAACGACACAGCTCCTTAGCAGCAGCCCAACAGAGCAGGTATATTTGGAGCGGTAACGCACAGTCTGGGCATAGTGCGTGAAACTTTTGGAACATGCCGTGGAGCGTAATGGAGGGGATCCCCTTAGGATGGGGGGATCCCTTCTCTGGTCTTCTCTGCTCAAAGGGGCTTGGGTCCACCCTTGACAACAGCCCAGCAGAGCAAAAAATCCCCATTGTGTCCAGCTTGCTTCACCAAAGATTGCAAGCATTCTGCCAGGCATAAGCATTACAAACGTGCTACATTACGATGGGAAAGGCTGTCATTGGGGGGATCCCCTAAAGCTTGGCCAACAGCCAGAGACGATGTCACCAGTGTGCAGGAAGTCAGACCACCGCCAGTACCCACCCAACAAAATCTGATAGACAGGATTGCTCTCACTTCTAAGCCAAACACCTCAAACTCCTGCCGTTCGGTGACTTCAGAGGGATCCCCCTGAGAGCTCACATTGTCCACCTCGTGACTATTGACTAAGAGACTATGCAGCCTTGCTCCCTTCTGCAACTTGGGTTGCTCAAGGACATCGTCCTTGTCTTTTCTTGTGGCGGTTTGCTCATCTTTGGCCCCTCTATTTGCGCGCAGGCCCGTTGTGGTAGCTCTAGAGGGGGATCCCCCGCGGCTGCCCCGCACTGAGAGCGTGCTGCTGGCGTTGGCGAAAACTCGGCATGTGGAGCTGCACCCCATCGTGGCAATGATGATCCAAGGCTTCAATGAGATCAACAATCACAAGGTGCCCAGGGTCAAGGCCCTTGCGGACCCAAGCACGGTAAGGGCCACTGCAAAAGCCGGGATCTGCGCTCAAGCATGTCCGCAATGTTTGGCTGTAGAGTTTGGGTGTGAAAAGTTGAAGTCGTGACCATATGTTAAGCTCTGGATGGTTAGGATTGCAACACCCAGCAAAAGTTCTGGTCAATGCTTCTTGACATCCCCCTTCTAGGTGTTTGTATTGGTTGCCATTAAAGCCCCACAAGACCAACTTTGATGTTCTCAATCTTTTTGGTTTGGCTAATGCTCATTGCACACTGCTGACTCTGGTTTGCAAGAGCAAGTGCAGTTTAACGTCGTACTGTCTCAATGACAGCTTATTTCATTTTCTTTGTACGCTAAGATCTGCAGAAAGGGTCGTCATTTTGTGCAGGAGTCATTCTGCCTTCCCTGGTAATCTCTACATTGTTATTAGCAATCAGGTTCACTAGTCGGTGCAGAGCTTGTCGTTGGCAGGTCAAGTTCTCAAAGCAGCTGTTCATCAGCACTGCTCAACAAAGCTCCGTTTTGCCTAAGTCTGTTGACATAGGGAGGATTGCATCTTTGAGTTCAACCATTAGTTCGGCAATGGCCACATTTAAGGGACTGATGGCAGGCTCTTGGTTGACAGTAAACTGTAACCAGGCACTACATATAAATCTGGTGCTGAAAAGCATTGACCATGAAAACTGTTTCTTTTCAGATCCCCTCCTGGTTCCCACTCTCGGCGGAGGCGTACGCGAGCCGCAGCCAGAAGATGGACCTGCACCAGTTGTTCTCCGTCCTCGACTCCATCTTCCACGAGGTGCGCGGGAACCTGCGCAGCATCCAGGGCCTCCACTCCATGCTCGACAGGGCCTACAAGAACGGCTCCTGCAGTATCAGCACGCGCGCGGGGATGGACTCCTTCTTCCACTTCCTGGAGGAAGAGGCCCTGTCTCGGGTGAAGGGGCCCCCCAGCAACGGTGACGTCAGGGGTGACATCATGGCAGCGGAGGACCGAGGAGTGGGGCACGGGTTTGACAACATGCTCTCTGCCTTCGGGAAGTACAACGAGCAGCCCGTGCGAAGGGGGGGTGAGCTGGAGTGCTACGGGATGCCCCCCCTGCTGGCGAATGCATTCCAGCCGGTTGCTTCGTACGCAAACGGTGTGCCTCCCGAGATGATCCTGGACCAGAAGAACCCGCGCCTCGCACGAGGGCTCCCTCGCTTGCAAAGCAACCCCGCGCTTTCTGCCCTAGAAACAACCGGAGGGCTGGTGAACGGGGTGGTAGCAAACGGACTGCTCAGCAACGGAGGCGAATCGGACGGGGCGCTGCTGCAAGAGGCGCAGACGGAGGAGATGGGGTTTGCGGAGAGAGCAAGCGAAGCAGTGGAGAAGTGTGCGCAGCAGAAGGGCGGGAAGGAGTTTGTGTGGATTGTAGTGACTGAGAAGGACGGCACACTGGGGGGGTGCTCGCAGCAGCTGACGCCGTACGGGCCGGCGCTTATGGACCAGGTCGAGAGGGCCGCCCGCGAGTAAGGCAACAGCTGTTGAAGTTTTCGTTCGCTTTGATGGAAGGTCCCTTCTTCGTGTGTCCTGCGGTGTTATCAGCGCTGTCAGCATTTCAGAAAGGTCGTTATATCTGCCTAAAGGTCACCTTCTTGGTTTTGTGTTATGCCGTCAGCATTTACATGCTGACTCTTGGACAGAAATGTGAACAAATATGAGCTTTTGTTTAATGCTGTTGATTCCATTTCTGTAACTCTATTGATGCTCTCACAACAGCACAGGAGCTTTCTCGCCCCAGAACTTGTGCGTTTGGTGTCAACTTTTTCGCCAACCCGCTTCTAACCTCTCTGTAAGAGGGGCTGAGGGAGATTCGACTCTGTTTCACCTTGTCTCGGATTCGTCACCGTTTCTTATTCACGATGCCGCCTTTGAATGGGAGAGTGTCCGGGTCAATTCTTGCCTTATGGGCTTTCGTACCCGGTTCTTGGAATACTCGGCTCGAAGAAGTTCCTAGTCATTCTCTTTGTACCGCTATACAATTGCTTAGAGGCCGACCGCTGGCCATGCTGACCAGGATCTTTAGGAGCTCCTCGTAGCTTGATAGCTGCTGTAGTCTTAGGTTGACAGGTTTCGGATTAGCTGCATTTTGTAGTTGTTTGCTTTCTCGGAAGACTACTCAAGAGCGGTGATGGAACTTACTTTGTTGGCAGCTAGAATAGAGCAAGGGAAGCTTAACTTGTCGATTTTGCCTTTTAAATCCAATCTGCTTTGCCAAAATCCCCTTGTGGGGGCATGGCTCATATCAAGGCAAGTGCTGCTCTCTCTTGTTCTTCTACACGGCTTTGTGTCTCACCTTTAGCCTTGTGTCGCTTTCAGGCCGATCAATTTCCCGACCGACGCCGCTAACGCGCTCCCGAAGATCGCGGACGTCCTGCGGCCCCTGTCGGGCGTTCGGCACATCGACCTGCAGCCCATCATCGCGGCCCTCATCAACGGGATGGATGACGTCACCAGCCAGAAAGGGTCACGAAAGCGGGCTCGGAAGGATCCGTCGCAGGTAAGCTCTTGACGATTGACTGCTCTCACCTACGGAATCTGGTAAAGTGGGACGCCCGCTGAGAAAGAGGGACGCCCGCTCGAAAGAGCAGGCGAAAGAATGGTGGGGCCTGAGAAGGAACTGATCTTCTTCATAGAGAAGGGCAGGCACGTTCTAAAATTTCACGTGGCCTTTGCAATCGACTGCCTCACTGTTACAGGTGGATCCGGGTCCACCTTGTCAAGTGGTCCAGACCGCGTTTGAGCATTCAGGAAGCTACTGCAGAATATTCTTTGACTGCTTGCGACTTTTCGACTCTCAAGGCTATGGTGGTTGCAAGGAAGCGTTGCGCATGTCGCAAGTTTCCTTAAAACCGATCCTGACGCCTCACATTGTCTGTTCCACAGGTCCCGGCTTGGTTTCCCCTGCCGGCGGAGAAGTACGCGGGCCGCCTCCAGTCGCTCGACCTGTCCGAATGCTTCCTCATCATTGACGCCATCTTCGGACACGTGCGCGGACAGCTCGGCGCGATCGCCAAGCTGCGGGGATCTCTCGACCGCTTCTTCGCGGAAAACCCTGCCTGCCCGACGGGCACTCGAGCGGCCATCGACGGGTTCCTAGACTTTCTGGAGGCGGACGCGGGGGTGCCACGTGGCAGTGCGACGGGGTTGCCACGTGGCAACGAGGGTGCCCGCAGGATCCTGCATCGGAGGAGCGCGTTCACGCCGTGTAAGAAAGAGGAGGTGACGGAAGGTGCTGATCAGGGCGCAAGCGTGAAGATGGAAGTTGTGGAGTCGGACGTCAAAGCGGTGGAAGAACCAGAGACGGGGGTCTTAGCAGGAAAGGAGAGGACGCGTTCGAACGAGCAGGCGACCGGGAGCGGGCGCGCGGAGGGGGAAGAAGCGTCGGTTGATCGTCCTGACTCGGCCGCAGCCTTGGAGAAGGCAGAACAGGGAGGAGAGGTAGAGGCTGGTTCCGACCGGGGGGAACAACCAATAGAGGGGAGTGATAGCGGAAAGGAAAACCTGGACGAAGCAGCGGGGGATCCCCTCGTGGCAACGGGTGGCGACGCGACTGGTTCAGGAGTCGAAGAGTCGAAGCCACTGGAGGCGTTAGCGGGGAGAGGCAGGAAGCGGTCGCGGCGCGAGGGAACTATCCAAGCGAGGAGTAAAATGCCCAGGGATGCGAGTGGAGCAGGAAAGACCATACCCGTGTATAAGCCGCTCCCCGAAAAGACGCCGCAGGCTTACGGCAGGATGTTATCTCTCTTCGAGGCGTTGGACACGTCATCAGGGGGGCCATCGATAGGGTAGCTGGTGCAATCCTGGAGGAGGCGGGGTGTGGAACGGCCGGCCGTCTGTGCTCTCAGGCTTCAGAAATTCTGCACACCCCAGGACGTGTCTTTTGAGCGGGGTCTCAAAGGGGCATCCTGAGGTGTGCGCGATTTCTGTCGCATCTGATGCCCTAGCGATGAGAACCTCTAGCTGCGTGTCGTTTACGACTGGTCGTTCCTGGAAGAGACGGGCGTCTCTGGCTAGGTTTCTGTATGAGGGCTGGACTTGTCTGGCAGTTAAATTCACCCTCGTCTCCTGGGATTGGCCGAAGGCGGGTTTGATCGATAAGACCTGCATAGCGGCCATCTTATTCTGCACCTTGGTCAACGGTAATGTGCATCGTCCGATTGGAAAGGGCTCGTAGGCGTACATCGACGGAGTGCAAACAATTGCATTGGGAGCCTGGGGTGCACATCTTCTGGACTTCTTGTTTTGCAAACATCATAAAAGGATACTTGATCATATCGGACGCCTCATCAGAACGACTTAATCTCACATTCTTCACTTGAATCACCTTATTCCAACTTGCGTTGGCAAACGTGTGTGCCAGAGGTAATGCAAGACGCGGATCATGCCATGCCATGACGATGATCATTGGGCCAAGTAGAATTACATGACGTCATCATGGGCTATACTAATCGTTCACATGCAAGGACGAGTGCATGACGCCAATGCATGGTGAGTAATGAGTCATGTGATGGCAGCTGAGCGCAGCCGATTTTAATGCAATATATGCTCATCATGCAAGGCGCATGCAACATGCAGGCTCACATATTTTGCAATTGCATGGTCCAGCTTCGACTACAAGCTAGAACTTCATCCCGGCAGCAGTCCGCCAGCGCACATCCATAGGGTTATCCTATCGATCATGGCCGGGCCGATCGTCTGTGCGCGGGCCAGCTTTTGGTGAGCCTGTTGGAGATGCAAGATGTTAAGTGAAGTGGCGATTCAGCTATATTCAAGCGCAGCAACTCGTTTGAATTGCACTGGAGCGATCTGGTTGCAAGCCGACAGATTGCATGATAGGTCGATAATCCTGACTGGTGCGCACCAGTGAATAGACTATCGTACTGATGGTTCCATATTGTAGCAACTTGAAGGTCCCGCTCCTTTGCTTGAGCTCCAAGTTTGTTGACGGAAATCCAACATCGACTTGTGGACGGTCCACTTTTCTCTTTTATTGCTGCTGGCTACCCGACTGCAGCTGAAAAGGCAGTCCCTTATCAAGGACGCACCATGAGTATACGGGCCAGGCGCTTAAGTCTGGCCCCCCGACAATGTCAGCTAACAAACACAACACTTTGCAACATGACGGACAAAAAGGAGCTAGGTGTTTCTGGCAACTGGCCAGGTTGGGCCGCCCAGCCAGATAAACCGAGGCCTGTTCAGCACGGCCAACGCTGGGTCCCCTCTCAAGGAACTCAATCCCTCCCGCCGCTCAACAAGCGGCTCGGCTTGAGGATCTCGGCGTCGATCGTCCGGGTGCCCTTCTTGGCAGTGCCCTGCGTTGTGCCCCCCCCGCTGCCAAAGAGGCCCGAGTTGGAGATAACCCGGCCCGGGTTAAGGATCTCAAACCCGGATTGGTTGTACTCGTCGATGCCCAGCTTGCTCTGCGCCCAGCCGTTGCTGCCGCTGAAGCCGCTGGACACGACGAACACCTTGCCGAAGCCGGCCTTGGACAGGAAGCGGGCCACCGTCTTGGACACGTTGCCCGACCTGGAGCAAAAGAAAGGCCGCAGTTCAATACACGAAATCTGCATGTTCTGTAAATAATAAAAATGATAATGACAATGACAAGGATATCCGTAACGATATTGTGTCTGTGTGCCGTACGTTTGAGGCCGACTACGGAGGAAAGTACACTCGCGAACAGAGCCGAAGTCTCCGAGGATCTTGACGATTGGCAAGCTGCCAACCCAGAACAAGTCAGGACTATGACCTCGAGTTGTGAGACAAAGAAAGTTGGGTTGGTGTGACGGGACTTGCTCCGCTGCACAAGATGATGGCAGACGACGAGGATCTGTTGAATCGTTGATTCGCTGGGAGGGTGTTCTCATTCAATAACTGCTCTGCTGGCTGACCAACTGAGCTATTCACGATCAGATGCATTTCGTTCGCGCCTTTACTTCGTTTGGCCCGACAGGAATTCGCTTTTGAGACAGGTTTACGGGGGTGACTTTCTCAGACGCCTTCCGAGGCAGGGTCCGCGACCCAGACTGCAGTTAAGAAGCAATGGCCGAAGAAAACAGACAACAACAGAATGGCGTGTGCACGGTGGAAACGAAGGCAACAAGTGGGAAGCAAATCGATGGCAACATAGTAAGTACAGATTCATCTGTTGGGCAGTGAAGCCTTTGCAAGAGAGAAAAAGAGGAGGAGCGGAACCTGTTGAACCGCATGACCGGAAGGAATCTCACCCGTCGAGGAGGATGATCTTGGAGCCCTTGCCGAGCTTTTTGAGGTTGGCAATCTTGATGGCCGCCACCTCCGCCTCCACGCGCCCGGAGTTGCGCAGCTGGTTGCGCAGCTTGCGGTCCTCGAACTCCTCGTTGCTGCACAATTATGGGGGACTATGCTTAGTGAGGCGCAGAATTGCAAGAGAACCGTTTCTGGTAAAAAGCGGGGGACTACGGAGTAGGGAAGCTGGTTGCGCAGCTTGCGGTCCTCGAACTCCTCGTTGCTGCATCCAAAACAGGGAGCTCTGCTCGGTCAAGCTTTGCAGGGCGCATACTCTTATAAGGACGAGTTCGTATCTGGAAAGCCGGAGATTGGAGTAGGACAGCTTGCCGTCCTCGAATTCCTCATTGCTGCAAAAATACGGGGGTCTTCACTCGGTCAAGCTCCGCAGGGATATGCTGGTAAAGTTGAGGCGCGGGTTTGCAAAGACAACGCGTTTCTTGTGTAAAGAGGGGGTTAAACGGTGGAGTAAGGTGGCTTGCGGTGGTCGAGAATCCTCATTGCTGCGCCGCGGAAACAGCTTGTTACTACAGGGGTGGAAGGGCGAGAGTAAGAAAAGGCAGTCCCGTATCTGAAAGAGGAAAACATAGCAGCTGCCGATCCTTGAACATCTTATAGCTGCACCGCGGAAAGGGCTTAAAGCAGGGAATGTGGGGGCAAAAATTCAAGGGAGGCACGCTGGTGTGAGAGATGGGCAGACTGTGGAACAGTGGCGCCTTCCCCTCCTCAAACGCATCGGCGCCACACCTCAACAAAATAGCTCCACAGGACAAAAAAGAGGTGACATCTTTCTTATTCTCGGTCAATTGCAAGCCTGTGTCCCTTTGATACAGCAGACGGCTGCTATGAAATCCCGTATCGGTACTCGAACGATCACTCATGTGCAGCATGTGGGCTCAAGGACGTCGAACATGTTACTAAAATACAGAACAACGTTCGGTCGGTTGGTTCTCGCAGGGACGCAAAAGTCATGTCTTTGCCAAGTCTTTGTCGACTTTTCGTTTCTCCAATTTGGAAAGAGGAAGACTCCAACTGAAGTGGCTTGCGGTCCTCGACATCAAGCAGCATTTGGCTAGGCGCATGCCCCGCGGCTATTCGTTGCATGGCAAAACCCATTGGAAGGACTTTGTCAAGGACCCAGCTTGATGTGACGCCTCAGTTGGAGAAACGCTGTTTGATCGTCGGTCGCCCACAATCCCGTACTTTCAAATTGGAAAAACGAAAATCTCGGATTTCACGGGTTGACAAGCATGCACTCTTTCAGGGTGCCGGGCGACAATTGACGACTAGTCGCATGAAACTTCGAATCTGCCGTGGACGACGTTTACTCGCCGTTTCCTGATCACGCGGAGAAACAAGCAGGGCGCACTTGCATCTGAAAGGGACACCGACCAGATTTGGGAGGGCCGGGGCAGCTTACGCTACGGGGATGAGCTTGCTCTGCGCGCCCCTGGGCAGCGACGGGGTGCCCGCCTTGGACTTTTCCCGTTCCGTCCGCAGGTCGATCAGCGTGTAGTCGGATGACGTCAGCAGGTCGAGGGCCTGGGCGGCAGTCACGTCACCTGCGAAAGAGTGACAGCAGGGTGTTTTGGGCTTTCGTAATTGGAGGTCAACGAGCCTGGGAGTAGTTGTCGACTCCTATTAGAAGCACACAAATTTTTTAAACCCGACTACTTACTGACGTCCAGGTCTTCTGAAACGCCTTGCTAATGAAGTAACTCAATCAAAGCAATGCAATAGAAGGGGTGTCTTCAATTGTTGCGTGCAAGAACACCCAGGCAAAGGCGTCGACTTTGGGTCGCTGCACTTGCTGACCCATACGAGATTTTTTGAGCAACTGCTGAAAAATGGGCTCGGACATAAACTTCAACTTCGGGTCGCCGGGTATCCTCGCCAGGACTTTTTGAGCGACTGTGAAGAAGTAGCCTCGCCCAGTAGTTTGCCAAAGGCGCCCTTTAGAAGTGTTCAGAGGATTGGGGACCCACCCCACCAACGCGTACGAGCTCTCGTCCATGCACTTTCGAATGTAAGGTCAAATCTCAGATCCTCTCGGCAGGGTCTCGATCAGTTAGCTGTGTGTTGGTGCGATCGAGTTCAGCATCCATCTGCCTACGCAAATTGCCGCCCTGCCCTCCACTGTTGTGTGACCCTGCCCTCTGGAGTCACTAAACGCACTGCGGCTGTCGTTGCACACGCACGATGCATCAACGACATTTCCAAACAGACGCCCCTCAGATCGTTCCCGTCGAACCTCAAATCCCCAATCTAACGCCCCACTTTCAGCCTTGCTTTCATCCCCTATATCACGGGCTCAAAGCAGTCTTCTTGGGGCTCTCACCTGCATAGCCCCTGAAGGCCTGCCCCAGTCCCCCCACAAGAGAGGGGGCCAAAAGGTAAAGCAAAAACAGGCCGCCAGCCCCGGCAGCCAGAACAGTGGGCTGCTGCGCAAGGGTGGTCTCGAGAGCGGAGAGAGCGAGGGGGGAGGCCGACTTGGCGGCCGAGGTGACGGTGTCGGCGGCAGTGCCGGCAATGTTGGTTGCGGTCTACAAGGAAAGAACGATGTACTTTTGAGTATATCTTGCATTTGAGGGTTGAAGTTTGGGATGTGAGGTTGAGTGGGTCGGTTCTTAGTCCTGGAGGTTTGTTGCTTGGCGCTCGAGGATTCTGCAGCATCCGGAGTATTTCGAGATTGAGCAACCTCGAATGCAAAAATTATATTGGTTTTTATGCATTATAGGCGGAAGTGGCATTACCAGAAGAAGTTTTGCTTGACTCAATGGTCGAATAGTTCGAAACCGAGAGGTCGACAATCACTCCGTCAATAGGGACATGTGCATTCTGAAGGGAAGAGTTGCAGTAGACAGTAGAATGGTAGCCGTGATGAAGGCTCCCCCTTGTCAGTTCAAGGAAAAGATCCGTTCTGACCGAATGCAAGCTTCCAGTGCAGAGCGGAGACTTAAAGATTCTTTTCAAAGGACTTCATGCGAGTCAGTGAAGTAGCAGTTTTCCTGCATCTTCGCCATCGCAGTATCCGACCACCCACCTTCACATACTGTCCCGCTGCAGAGGTGTCGATGCCAGCGGACTCCAGGGCCTTCTTCGCTTCATTTGCAGCATCAATGGCAAGGGGGGTGGCGGCATTGAAAGCCTTCCCAGTGTACTCCTGTTCAAGGGAGAACCATCAGTCAGATCGCAACACCACTGCCTAGCCCTGGTCGCTTAGGCGCGCAGCACTCTCAGAAACCATCTCTGCTTGCTGTATCTTTTGCAAGCCTTATGCTGGCTGGATGTGGTCCGACTGACATCAGCCGCATCTACACTTTGCCTGCATTCATTGCCCAGGTGGAGATGACTTTAAATTGACATGCCACTAGTAACCTCTGGTCTGATGATCTTCGAGCCAAACGTTGTTCAGGTGCACCAAAAGTCCACTACGTTCTTTATCGCAGTTTATGCGCCTTCACGGTTGCAATAATGAGCCTTTTAAAAGTCTAACACTGCAATGTGGACCAAGACTCGTTCCAAACACCAGTGACAAGGACATCATCTGTGATCCTTTTGCAAAGCATTCCTGCCATGAATCTTCAATGTACTGAATCAAAGAGCTTTCAGAATGACTCACACTGACGACGGGTGCAGCCGTTTCGACGGCGGGTTTGGCGAACTTGACCAGCTTGTCAACAGCATCTGCAACAGTCTCATACCCAACCTTGGCCCCAGCCGTCACCTGCTCAGTCACCTTGGCGACCTGCGCAAGAAAAGTTACTTCAGCGCTCAGACCAATCTTTACATACTTCTACAAATCCTGGGGCAAATGTATTGGGGTTATTGTAATTCAAAGTCGAGGTTCCCAGCAAAGTGCCAACTTTTCTGACGTGCAGGATTTTGAGTTTGCATGAGCAACACAAAACGTCATGCGCCACCAGTCATGCCCAAATATGCATACGCGGAATGTGTAGTGCGAGGAATGTATTTAATGAACCGTTTCTTTGGTCAGCTTCTATCTGCGACGTGCGCATCCCCAGAGAGTCAACCAAAGCAATGCCAGAACAGTAATGTAGGCCTATGAGGTACTCCTCGAAACAGGCTTTCCGACTGAGATGTAGTGGGGCGTTTGGCGCAGCACAACCAAACAAACCACCTTCAAGTGTTCTGTCTGCTGCTTCAAGCCACAACAGCAAGAGCAGCACATGGTGGCACATATCAGATCTAGGTTGTTCTTGGACAATGCTGCATTGTGTGGCGCATACGCCAGTAGATCTGTGACCGAGGATGCTTGAAAATAATTATAAATATTGCGCAACAAATCTACTGAATGGTACAGCTTGTTAGAGGCACTTGTTTCATCTAATGTGAGCAAGGGCTTGGGTGGTTGTGGCAGTAGAAAGGATGCAAAGCCACAATGTGAGGCCTTACTGTGTTGATCGCTCCCTGCACGTCCTCCACGCTGATCCCCCCTGCAACGGTTTCTTCAGCTGCGGCCATAGTGAGAAAGCGGCCCCGCCTAGCATGTTTGGGAACACTCCTTGCGCCAAATGCAGCGTTAGATCCGAGGAACGGGCTCTTTCCCCTCACATCTGACCTGACAATGGTGCTGAGGTTGCACAGCCCTTGTGCAGGGGCAAGGACAGCCGTTTGAGCCATGCTAGGCTGGGAGAGAGGGGCGCTAGATGGCGAAAAGTGAGAGAAGCTCGGTAGACGGAAGCTGAATTTGCGAATGGAAGGTTCTGAAACAGTCACGACACGAAACAGTGGCCGGAAGCTTTTCAAGATCTCGCAGTTAGGGCCGTTCCGTTCCCTGGTTCCGACGGGGGTCCGCGACGGAACGACAGCCTCGGTCGAGCCTTGCTGTTCTCTTCTGGAGAAAACTTCAAGCACAGAAATTGAAAAGGTGCAGAAAAGAAGCTCCAGCAGCTGAAGAAAGAGCTGGGGAGCCACTGGCCTGCAGCTTGAGCCACTGGCCTGCAGCTTGAGCCTTGCTAGGGCCTTGTCTTGAGTTTGTTACTTTCAATGCTGCACGCTTGCGCATCTCAGTAGCATTCTCTCTGGGTTGTCCTCATAGTATTTTGGTCCTCGTGTACCTATAGTTCTGGCGAGTGCTTCCTTTCAACATGGCTACCAGCATAATCTCAGTACAGGCGTCTTTACTTGGTACACAGGGGTCTCTTATACCTTTGCGTAGTACCACCACTGCCTGTGCAAGGTTTCCGGTTGGCTCATTGTCGGCAGTGTTGTTAGAGCTTGCAAATGGTAGCGCGCACCGGTGGGACAAATCTGGGCAGGCCGCCAGTGGGTGCTCCCGGCAGCAAACATGGAGGCCCCACCGCAAAATGCAGTCGCGACGGTGGGTTGGGGCACGGGCAGAGGCAGACACCGAGAGTGCGCCTGAAACCACAACCGAGAGGGGAGCAGAGGAGAATCAAGGGGCCGACAAGGCGAAAGGTGTGGCGCTGGATAAAGAGGTGTCCAAGGTATGGGAACTTGACACACCACTTTCTGCACATGTCCCCCTCTGTTGGGCCATGGCCCTTCCTAGGACTTAGGTACTAAATGGAGCGTCAGGATGTGGCATGAAGAAAGCAGCAAACATGCGTCGTGAAGGCTGTTCTTTGACGGCCCCCCTTGGTATTTCCCCCCTGCTTAAACGCCTGTGCTCCAAGCAAAAGGTTGAATCCTGAGGTATGTAAGATTTCAAAAGGCGGCGCTATGGCACAACTAGTACTCCTCATGTGATGACGCTTTCTCCCTTGGGCCGCTTGCATTTTGCAGGTGGTGCGCAAGACGGCGGCCACGTTCGCCCCGCGCGCATCAACCAAGAGCAAGAACCCCGCCACACAAGGCACCGTGCTCTACACCGTCTTTGAGGTGCAGGCATGGCTGTCCATTGTGGCCGGTTTCTTGCTGTCGTATAACCTCATCTTCCCCTCCGACCGCCCCGACATTGCGCGCCTGCTAGGGATGTGGTCCGTCTGGATGCTTGGTGAGGAAGCATCCAGAGCTCCTCTACATTCAGAGCTCGATGTCTTCTTTACTGGGGTGACTGGTCAAAGACATGCCCAGAGATTGGTCTATCGGTGTTCTGACGGCAGGACCTCGCGATGGTTCGGGAGGTGGCAATCAACGGATTGAGCTGTATGAGTGAATCAGCCTGGTCAGAGGCTATTCACTTTGATTTGAATGTTTGGGGGATTAGGATCAAAGTGCCTTCTGTTCATCGCAACATCAATCGGGTCTCTTCAGCCGGCTTAAATCGTTTGGCGCGAAGGCTGTTCAGTAAGTAGATTGTGAGGCGCGCATCAAGCATCACTTGCGTGTCTGTTTGCAGCGGTGCCGTCGTTGCGAGCGCGGGACTGCTCTGCGCCTGAGAAGGAGGCCCTCAACTATTTGTTCGTGCTCATCCCGGTGATCAACGTGCTCATCCCCGTGTTTTGGAAGTCGTTTGCGGGCGTCTTCACGGCCGACTGCATAGCCATGGTCGCAATGTACGCCTGGAAGGTGAGGCGCAGGCCCCTGTGTGTCCTGACCCGTCACTTTCAAAGATAAGCCAACTACCTGCTGTCAGAACGTTGGAGAGTCCGATTCTGCTCAAGGAAAGTCAAAGAGCTGGAACCTTTCGAATGATCATCAGGGAGTCAGGCAACGGCTAAATTCGGCCCAACAGTCTCCTTACATGTGGATTACAGGGCATCCAGATACTGGTCCAGATACTGGTCGGATGCACCCTGAGTATGCCACCTTCCTTGGTCAGATCGTCAAAGACAATCTCTGTGACATTTGCGGAGTTAGCACTTTAGAGTCCATGTTCGAGGGAATGGTATCGTAATCTCAATTGAGCTGTTGCTTTTGGTTATATGGTCTGATTCTGTTCTACGATGTCCTTATCTCAATCGTGATGTGTGATGCAATGAGCACGAGTCTGTCTTTTTCCAGATGGAGTGGTTCGGCAAAGACGAAGCTGAAGGTACGTAATGCAACAAGAAGATCAAAAGTAGATTCAAGACGTGGGGAAGCCTGCCCTCAAAGCTAAGTCGGAACAGTCTCGAGTTGTTGCCTCAACTGTCGTACGTTGATAGTGGCATGCATTGCAGAACGTTCTGAAGTAGCTGTTGAATCTTAGCACTTCGTGTTGCTTGGCCGATTGACTAATGGCTGAAGTCTTGACACCGTCCATTAGTGCGTGACAGCGCCACCCGAGTCTTTCAAACAACCCTTTACTGAATAAGAAAAGTGTGTACATTTCCGGCAAGCCGCGGCAAGGTGCGCGGCTGCATGTAAGGACAGGCTGTCGGTAGTCACCAGCTTGTGCTGGCGGCAGTGACTACTCCTTCGCACGCAAAGTCGTGACAGAGGCCCGGGCGGCCGGGCCATAGCTACGCCATCATCATGGACGTGTTTTTGCCATCGTGCATGATTGCATATTTGAGATCCGTTCAAATTGACAATAACGCAACTCAACTCATTGACTTGTGCCATATGGCCATTTCAAAGCCTGTGCATCATGAGTCCGATCCCGGCCGCGGCCCGGCCGCCCACATGTTGGAGCGCAATGACTCTTAAGCAGGGCAGCTCTCGATCATTCGGACCGCGCGTCACAGTATGTCGATCACTTGATCGAAGTTCGAATTGTATCATCCGTAACATGCAATTAATTTCGAAGACCGATATGCAGCCTAGGCCCGCTGGCTACCATATTCTAACTCTATACGATCTCTTTACTATATATCGACTATAGTATAATGCCATTTCGGATAAAGCTCACATGGCGGCCAGGCCGGACATATGATGTCGATCGCGATCCGATCACGAAGATATTGCCATGTACAGTCGCTCCGAGCATAAAATGAACAACACATCATATGCGCGGCGGCGCACGCAGTGACCACGTGATCTGGTGATGCACCGACTCGCCACACATATACCAGATACGAATCGATCACGTGGTCCAAGTTTGGACGTAGCGCTGCAAACTCCGATCGGAGCTTGAGGCTCAAGGCAGAAAGCCTGGGGATCGATTAACATCGGCGGACTATGACGCCGGGTCGTTGACATCGGGTCTATCGCCGTGAATCATGGTAGCCAGAAACTCGGACGGATTGGGGAGTCTAGTAGAACGGTAGTCCTCCCGTCCTGGTTCCAACGAGCGGGTTTAACTTATAGGCTAACTTCCTATCGCACTGCCATGATGCTGGATTAGAGCATGCAGCTCGTGGCTGTGCAGGCAAGGTTTCTTCGACTATGCTGTAAGGTAAGCCTTACGTATTGTAACCAATAGAAGTATGTACCATCTCGTTTTGCCTTCCGATCAGGTTAGCAATCTAAGAAATTGGATGCCATCAATAGCTCAATAGCAATCTCTGGCTCGATTTTAAATTCTGGAACATTCTTCACCGCGGCGCTGCATAGGATGAGGAGTCAGGTCAGCAGTTCCCCTTTGAAAATGTCAGCTTTCTCCCACGACGCAAAGATTGGTGATTGTACAGTCTCAAAGTCTGGTCCAACTGTCATCCCAAGAGAAGGACATGAATCGTCCACATGCTGAAAGTCAGAAGCCAGGACCACTGTGTGAAGCTTTCTAGGAACAGCCCACTGTGGGAGAAAGTACAAGCAATACAACACCGGATGGCCATACATCTCACAGAACTTGAAAAGCAGAATGTTTCTGCGTTCAAACAATTGCTGATGAGAGCAACAGAGCTGGAGCGAGAACAAAGAATATTTTCATGCATCCATATGAGAGTTGGTCGAACCGTCGATTTGAAACGGCGGCAGTGAATCTAACTGTTGCCAATGTGGTAGGGGCTCACCTATTCGTGTACCGTAGCTTGTAGTAGAAGAATTGACAAAGCTTTTCCAGGATTGGTGTACTAATTTCAGGAAATCGCACTTCCCCAAGTTCCGTCTCTTGGAAGCCCCCTACAGAAAACAAAAGCTGGCCCATCTTGAGAGTTATGGGGGTGTACATGTAAAGCGGGCTCCCTCGTTGCAAGCAACTTTGTTGGAATTCCTGGGAATTCCAACAAAGTTTTACGCGCTGAACAAAGGGGATTTCCCAATTCACTTCACCCGATGGTCAAGTTTGATGTGATGGAGGAAAGTCTGACGGTTTCCATGGTCAAATCCACCAGCTCCAGTTACCAGATTCACCAGACTCCAGGTTACCTTCTTCCTTGCAATATGGACATGGCAAAGCAGAGGATTCTTATTTGAGCAAAGAGTGCAACTTCTTGCAGCAGGCTTCAGCTCCTGATATTCATTAAACACAGTCACAATCACCAAAACTTTTAGGTCACACTATCCCAAAACCCTAAGTTTGTTCTAAGTGGAGCGTAGTGATGCCCGAACTTTGCAGTAAGCAGGAAGCATAATCTCTGAACTAGAGGTGAAGAAGACAAAACATGGGCAACTAGAACTGTCAAGTTGTTCAAACGCTTGCGCTCTCTTCTCATCTAGGGGAATAAGGTGCAAAGGACAAGCGGAGCAAAAGTGAAGCCCCTTCACCTGAGGAGCTGAGCATATTCTTGAGAGTGTTTGAAATCATGGCCGCCTCCTTGTGTATTACAAACTCGAACCCCTCTGCACTGATCAGCTTGACGGTATCTGCCTTGGTGATGCCCATGCTCCCACCAAGCCCGCCCTCAAAAAGAGCAACCCTCAAATGTCTGGACTCCGGCCCAAAGAAACTTGGATACTGACAGATGTCCTGCGCTTCTTCCAATAACAAACTAAAGGTCAGAGGACTCAAGTGAGATCTGATTTTCACTACCACTGGCACTGGACGCCTTTCCTTGAAGTTGAGCGTGCTTGATGCAAGTCCCAGGGCTGCGAAAGCAGCAGCGCAGCAGCCCCTGGGCAAGCCCGCGTGCAAGCTAGCTTCTGAAAACGTTCTGTGCAGGGGGCCCGAGTATGGTCGACAGCAAAACTAAAACCCTAAAACGCAAATATGCACCTTATTTCCAGTTCCTACATGACACTGTTCTGGCGCCCGGATACGTTCATCGCAACTTCGGACACATTTGCTTCAACTTCTAGGCCCTATACAAACGGAGACATTGTACACGATATCGAACCGCGTGTCGCGTCAAGGCCGACGACTCGTGTTGGCGGTGTCAAGAATGAAAAGAGCCGGGGTCGCGTTCCCCGTCAGCCATGCATGCCAGCTGGCACTTCTACCACATGCTTCTGAGCCACAGATCAAGATTCTGCTCGCCCACATTCTGCCTGCATTCCCATCAGCGTTCGACACGGAGATTTTATTTTGTCGGCTGAGAGCCGACTGTTCTTCAGTCAGTCGGCTGGATCTCTGAACCGGTCGGCTTCTGTCAGGCAAACCCCTGAAACATACCTCGATTCTGTTGTCTTTTCGGCCGACGCCCCTCGGTTGAGTCGGCCGGGTGGCGATTCCGTCGGCTGACGTTTGCCTGGAGTGACGGCTCGTGTCGAACACTGATTCCCATGCCATTGAATGGATGCATCGACATCATTCTCCAGTATTGGCAGTACCGGTAGCTTCTCTGTAAGTTGTAATCTGATTTAGGAGCGCATTCAGTTGTATCTTCTGCCTGCCATTTCCACCAGTGAATGCGAGCCGCGTAAGAGGCTCTTTAGGCTCCTGCATTGCATTCACGGAAACGGCGCCAACAGCATTCTAGGATTCTGGTAAGCTTGGCAACCTTTTCCTGCACCCTCCTGCAAGCTTCAAAAACCTTCCGATTTTGTCTGCGGTGAACTTTCTTACGATGCTCTCAATCTTGGCAATTGAGCTTCATGATGACTAAGAAGAGAATGTAGACCCTCACACTCCTTGCCATCTTGTCCAACAAACGGCAGATCAGGAAGCATGCGAAGTTTGTTCGCCACCACAGCATGATCGCTTGGATGGCTGAGATCCTCAGCATTGCTCGGCAGTTGCCTGGCAAAGGCGTCCGTTCGTGTGCACTCACCGATTTGCTGTTCAGCTTGTTCAAGGTGTCGTGCGTAGTCGCCAATGAATCGCTGGTACTGTCACTTCAATCAATCGCTTTGATAGAATTCTGATTGGATTCAATTTCTCAAAGAAAGGTGCACCCTTGGCTCAGGCCCGTTCAACTGAGGCTTCACAGCAGACCTGTGCTGCAGGAGTCGATCCACTGAAACAAGTTGCTATTTCACTTCCATGATGCGGTCCTCAGGAAAATGCACGCACTGCTCATTCCATGGAGCAGGCGGCGATGAAAGAATAGTGGATCGATGCTGTAGTTTCTGCAGTATTGCTGCCCGTTGCCATCCTTAAGCACTTTCATCAAGAATAAGAAACTTGCTGCGGAAAGTATTTCTTACAGCTGAAACTAGCAATTTGCGAAATGCAAATCAGAGGATCCGAGCATATACCCGATCAAATTTCATCAAGGAAGCCCGCACAAAAACAAACCTTGACCAGCTTGTAATCATTGCTGATGCTGAAGGCCGCACCACAGCTGCCACCACCCACTTTTCCTGTGACCATTTTGGAGAAGAAGAAGAGATCGCCTCCTTGTACTTTGACTCCCGCTTTCCAACACCACTTTGCTCTGTGGTTCTGACGCCCTCAGAATTGAGGCAATTTGTATTGCAAACTCATCTTGCTCACAGTTGTGGTCTTTTACACGACACCTCTCATCAGCAACAAGTTGTCCTTATCTTCAAAACTTGAAGCTACTGGCTGCCCCACTGCATACGTACAAAGCGAACAAGGAGAGCAAAAGTGCATTGCGCCCTTCATCAACTGAAGATTTCCATCGTTGGTCGTTGACGGTCGCTGTCTTCTTTCAGATCTGCCGCCGCAATGGCGTCCGCTGCTCTGGCCCGCTCCACCACCCTCTCCAGCCTCTCCCTCCACACCACCACTCCTCGCAGCAACCAATGTAAACGCGCCCTCGTGAGTGCGTTCGCACCCGCGCACTCGGCCGCCTCCCCCGCCAGCCTTGGTTTCTCGAGGTCAGCAGCCACTGGAGGGTCCCCCAGTTTGAGGAGAGTGGTCCGGCAGCAGAGCACGGCCGCAGTGAGCCAAACAAGAGAAGCGGGGCAGGCCAGGGCGGCGGGCCTCCCCATCGATCTTACCGGTCAGTGCCCAATTCAAACCTTCTGAAATAAAGATCGACACCAGTCGGAAAGGCGTGCGAAATTGCAGAGTGGTAGTCTGGGGGCCAATCAATTCAGTTTCTCTGGTTCAACGCGACTTTGTAATTACTGGTCGAAGCCTGGTCAGAATCAACCAGGATTGTTCCTGGTAGTTCGTCCAGTGGGAACACGACTGAAGGTCGCCCTGGGATGCTACTGGCAGCCCTACCTCCTCAGCTTAGGCAAGTGCAATCGAGGGTTATGGTCCTCAGGTAGAGTTTGACGTCCTCCCTGACAGGGAAGAAGGCGTTTGTGGCTGGCGTTGCGGACGACCAGGGCTTTGGGTGGGCCATCAGCAAGGCCCTGGCAGAGGCAGGCGCAGAGATCATCCTGGGGACGTGGGTGCCGGTAAGGGAGAAACGTTTGGCTATATATTGCATCCCCAGTTACTCTGAACAGTAAGACTGGTCAGCCGGCAGGGGTGGCTCACTTCAGCGGACTGGGCTGTTGGTCGAAGCATGCGGTGGTTCTGTTTCTGGTCAACTCTCTGAAGTGCGAATGATTAGTCAGTCGTGCGCGACATATCTAAGCTGTAAAGTCATGCTGCGGGCCACCCCAGGACTCTCTGTCATTGCTTTGGAGTCCAGGATAAGAACAAGTTTCGGGCCAGCTTTCGGAATCGGAAAACTTTAGCGACTTGAAGGGCTTCCCTTTTGTTGCTTTGTTCACAAACATCCTCAACAAGACTAGTAATTGACTAAGGGAAAAGCAAACCAGAAACAGGGCTAATTACCTTTGCACCGAGCAATCTGGGTGCCGGCTGCCGTTTGTCATTCCACTACGGCAAGCTTTGCAACCTACCACACGACAATCACCGTGGATTGTGCTTTGTTCAACAAGGTTCGACAGGTGGCGGTTGAGATTGGACAATGACTCTCCCTTATCCTGCATTGTCTTTGTTGACGCAGGCTCTCGGCATCTTCGAGAAAAGTCTAAAGATGGGCAAGTTCGACGACTCTCGCAAGTGAGTCGACCTGCAACCCACTGAAAACTAGCGAAGAGTGTTGGACTCGAGGTTAGATTTAAACCACGCTTCCGATGAATAATGACCAGCCCGGGCTACCTTTTAATATCATCCTGCAAAGGATGAGAACGTTCGGGACTGGAACAGCATGCTTTAGCGCACTCGTGTCGCTCCCAGCAATCTATGACACGGCACATTTTGATGGATGGAACTCGTGTACAGGCCCAGATTAGCTGTATGAGGCAATTCACCTTCGACCCGTTTCTCTCCCTCGCTTCAACAGGCGCTCGAATCTATGCTTGATGCGCACTTGCTGTGGGATGCACAAACACTTTTCGTAATAGCGGACAAGAGTCTATACTGAAAACAGTAGATAATAATGTATTACTTTAATACTAGATTCCTGTGCCCCCTTGTCCAGATTGTCCAACGGTCAGATGCTTGAGTTTGCCAAGGTGTATCCCCTAGACGCGGCGTTCGACAAGCCGGAAGACGTCCCCGAAGACGTGAGCACGCAGTTCCCAATCTCTTTTTATTCGACTCCGTTTTCTTGCAGTATGCTATTCTCGCCCTCCGTTTCGTAAATTCGGACACAATCTTACAGAGACTGTCGAGCGGTCGAGACTTTTTCCGTCACGACAGGCGTACTCAATGTGCTTCTTGCCAACTGTAAGAAGGACTTATGGAGGCTCAGACTCAAGTTGGTTTGTCCTCAAGGGGTTTGGGAATCTTTTGTGTCTTGAACTTTTGTTTACGAGCAATACCCTAGGATTGGTGAAAGATTCAGTGTGATTTGGGTAGTCTGCTGCTGATTCAAACTGGTTCCGTTGACACAAGAACTAGAAGTTGGTCGGAGTGAGCTACATTATGAACTCAAAAACCCAGGTTCAGTGAAACCGAACTCCCAACTCTTGTTTAGACTCGGTTTTGGCTGCTCTGCTGACGTTGTCTTGGTGTCGGTCCGTTGCAGATTGCCACGAACAAGCGGTACGCTGGAGCAGCTGGCTTCACAATCTCGGTAGGTATCCAGAGGGTGACGGAAGGAGCCTCGAATACTTGATAAGATTTCATATGTTGTTACAATCCTTGCGCTTTTTGAAGCCTACTGCCAGATCCGTCGGACAACGCTCGCCGTAACTTTACCAAGCAACATCGTGTAAGAGAGGCTCTTCGAAAAGGCTTCGCGAGCTTCACGGAAATGAATCTTCAAGCCGCCAGCATCCACTGCGCTACTTTACTAAAAGCAGAGAGTATTGTGAGCCGGAAGCGGCTCACATGTTACGGCTTGGAACGAACATCAGATGCTAAGCAGGACAGTCCGAGTGGACGCGTCAGATCGCTTCTCTCAGTATTCTGCAACTGGTGCAAGTTAACGACGATACCCTTCTGCACGTCGGTGCAGGAGTGTGCGGAGAAGGTTGCCAACGACTTCGGCAAGATCGACATTCTGGTACACTCGCTTGCGAACGGCCCCGAGGTAAGCCCTGCCACCCAACGAGCCGCTTACTACGCGCCATGTCTATCCAATCTTTCCGGTCTGCGGTGTTGTAAGAAGAGTTTGTGACCAAGTTTGTGTCCTAGCGCCCGATTGAGCTGCCACGTCCGCTCTTCCGTGGTGGCTCTGTTTGAACGAAAGTGGCTCGGGCCGGGAGCTTCGTTCGCTTGTCAGCTGTGCGGAGACAGTCTCTTTGTGACCATATGTGCGAGCAGTTCAATGGACCTGACATGAGTACTTGACATCAGAGGAAGAGAGAAACATAACGTTCTTCAACGTTATGCAAGTCTCCTTCAACGGGGAAGAGCCTTTCTGGAGATCTGACGGCACAGGATTCCGCCCCCCGCGAAATGCGTCTGCCCCACAGCATACAGCTTACGCCTGCAGACAGCCGGTCGCTACGAACTTTGACCACGTGGCCTTGTGGGCGACTGTCAAAGTGAAGCTGTGGGCATCCGGTCGCCATTTAGGGCACGTCTCCCACAACACCCTTTCCAATCGTACTCTTTTCTAAACCCCAGGTGACCAAGAACCTGCTGGAGACATCCCGGCGGGGCTATTTGGCTGCGTCGTCCGCAAGCGCGTATTCCTTCATCAGCCTGCTGCAGCACTTCGGGCCGCACATGACCCAGGGCGGCGCCACCGTCTCGCTCACCTACTTCGCGTCAGAGAAGGTCATCCCCGGGTGAGTCGCAAACCCGCAAAGATTTCCCTTTCGTAAGGAAGGTCAATTCCCAAGCCACCGCTTCTTGCCCTTCTGTGGAGCTCATCATTTCCGGGGTCGGCCCCAAACCTAGCGCTAATTCCATTCTGCGGTCGTGTTCCAATCGCAAGCGTTTCTCTTGGCATGCCCACACCCTTCGTCTTTTGTCGTGGCCTCAAGATATTCTGAGCTCTGCTTTGCACAGGCCCCCCTTCGGTTTGAAGGGTACGCGTCTCGTTTTCAAGGCGACGGATGCATCGTTTGCACGGTTCCCTCAGCTGAGTCCTCTAGCGTTCCCTTGCAGAGCGTTCCTGACGGTTCGACTTGAGTCCCTTCGTGACAGGCCCAGTGCAACCGTTCTAATCTGTTGTAGAACTGAACGCCCAGGAGAAATCTGCTACGGCTCTCGTTTCAAAGTTCGCAAACGAATGAGAAAAGATGAAGTGTCCTTGCAGGATACCGGTAATTCTGGATTCATTTGAGCTTGTCTTCACAACCGCCCGGTGCATCCCTAACTACTCCTAATCCCACGTTATACGTACTCCACACCCGTTACCACCCTGAATCCTCAAGCTAACCCACCCGTCTCTGGGACCTGTATCTGGGTGAACAAAGCCCTGAATGGACACAGAGGTTGCCGATTCGCGTGCAGGTACGGCGGCGGCATGAGCAGCGCCAAGGCGGCGCTGGAGAGCGACACGCAGGTGCTGGCGTGGGAGGCGGGCAGAAAGTACGGCCTGCGGGTCAACACCATCTCCGCAGGTGAGCGAAGCTCAGCCGGTGCTTGGGAAACGCGAAGAAAGAACGAGATTGACACGCGAAAGATTTGTAGCTTAAATGAGCCTGCACGTGACCGCGATCTCAGCGGGTGTGCTTAATGCTCAACGGAGGGAAACATTGCGAAATCAAGGGGATGAGGGGTGAGAGGCTGACGTGAGCCAGCCCCAGGAAACCATCTCGTGACCTCGAGCTTGCACGAAAACCCCAGATCCGCGTTGCTAAGTTTTCGCTTCCGTCGTACGTTCAGTCAAATCGGTCATCAGCTCTCGACAAGAAACGTGTGACATACGGTGCCCATCCACGAGAATCAGAGCGCTTTTTGATGCTCTCGTTCAAGAAGTTGCAGCAGAGGTTGAACTGAAGGTTGGAAGAGCTGAGTTGATATGCGGTGGTCGTCGTAAAGTGATCTGCTCCACTTGTCCGTCTGCGAGGATCACTTTGTGATTCCTGTAGCCCGTGAGAAGCTAGTGGCGTGGGGCATCGTAAACGGGAAACGATGCCAGCCTCTTCTCAGAGTGAATTGGCCTCGCAGTGGGGATTGTCACCCCTCGAAAACCTTTCTGTATGAATGTCGCCGAACAACCGCTGCATAATGTGAAGGTACTTTAGACCCATAGGTCAGCACGTTGAGAGAATTGCAGAGACGACTAAGCTCTGATTCCTCGGGAATCAGAGCGGAATGGACGTTGCCCATACCGTTATCCAACGGTTAACCGCTGATTGATCGTTCTTCTCCTCGTGCAGGCCCCCTGCGGAGTCGGGCTGCAAAGGCCATCGGTTTCATCGACGACATGATCAACTACTCCACCGCCAACGCGCCCCTACCCAAGGAGCTCACCGCAGGTCAGGCGAAAGGAGATGTTCTCGCTTTTGCAGCAGGCCAATGATTGGCGCTGGTCTAGGAAGCTCCGTCCTTGTTTTGAAAATCATCGATCAAGCATGGGGGACGATTGAATCGAGCTGGTTGCAGCCATACGTTGCCAACTGCGAGGATGTCCCCCCAAAGCTAGCCCTATGCGATGGTCCGACGGGGTTCCCTGCTTAGTAACGATGCAGTCTGTATTCCTGACGAAGAATCTTGTTGTAAATATGGAAATGTAACCCGGAGTTTTTGCAGATCATTTCGCCCTCTTCAATTTATCTGAACAATCCCTGCCCTTTTGATACGCTTGCCCTGTCTCAATCTGACTCCTTCTTTGTATTCACTGACATTGACGCACGTCGATTTGGCTGCAGAGGACGTCGGTAACGCCGCTGCATTTTTGGTGTCCCCCCTGGCGTCCTCCATCACGGGCACTGTTCTGTATGTTGACAACGGCCTCCACGTCATGGGGCTGGCAGTAGACAGCCCACAAGTCGCCAAAGCAGCGTCCTAGGTTGAATGTCTAGCCACCATTCTTGTTGTCCAAGAATCAGGACACACGTTTCGAGTACTTTTTGACCAGCGACATTGATCATTTGGCGCCGCAAGTTTTCAGCAACGGGCCAAATCACCCATGGCATGCGAGAAGGCCCGTCTGGTCACTTGAGGTTTGAGTGAACGGTCCGCCGCTGCTTCGATATCCTCCAGTTAACTCTGGGCCAAGCTTACTGATTGCGTGCAAACGATCGATGACATGAGTGAGGCTATCCGGGTCCATCCTGAAATTCTGTCGCTTGGTCGCGACAGTGCGCGAGAACATTCATTCATTCAGCATGTTCCATACTACATACGGCCTCTGCTGTCATCTCTGCTGGCCGCCGCCGGGGTTGACATTGACTGAGGAGGACGGTCGGCGGCTCCAGCTTGGGCCTGCAGATCATTCCACCAATTTCATGAGTTAATGAGATCACGTAGGCCGCCGAATCAACGGATGGAACTCTTTTGCTTCATTCAGAGTCTTTCTCTTGGTTCGATATGAGCTAGAGCTTACAAAAGGCACATGTGACATGCATATTACGCCTATATTAGCGCCCATATTAGCCAACCATATTACGCCTATATATTACGCCCATATTAGCCAACTTAACTATGCTTTAGGCATCATGCAATTGCATGAGCGGGTCTGCCGCCCACCATGTGCATGTCCGCGGCTGTAGCGCGGCCATGCACTTGACTGTCAGTCAGTGTAGCCGGTTCCCAGGCGGCGATTAAGACGCGGGCGGCCAGGCGCGCGCGCGTGAGACTGAGCCGACTCGGATTCAGGCCGCGGCCCGGGCGTCACGCGAGCTCGGCGACCGTCTTGGAGACGGTCTCCCGCGTGACGTGACTCATGCCAATGGCCGCTCAGGGCAAGTACACTGTACAATTGTATTTTCGCGCGCTCGCGACTCGCGTACTCATGTATGGTGCCTCAGCTTGAGCTGAGCCTAGACAGGATTCTACTAATACTATTTCTAGCTTCCTTGCGACGTTTCCACATTGTGGCGCTTGGGAGCCCCTATGGCCTCCTCCACGGTGCGCCTTCGCGCCTCAGCACCCTCCTTCACCGCCCACTCTGCCGCTAATCCCCAAGCCGAGCTCTCGTCTTCGTCCCTGGTTCCGATTCGTCAGCGGCGCCCACAGCTCACCCGCCCTTCTGTGACAGAGACCTTCTCTGTCGCCCCAACGCATCTTAGCTCTGCGAAAGTTGTGGGTTCTCTGCCGCAGGGGGCTGGGGTGCCCCCTGCCAAACGTGGGTCCCGGGCCCCCCAGGCGGTGGCCACAGAGGCGGCCCCTGCAGTAGCGGAAGCAACGGCGTTCCACGCAAAAGATGATGGGTTCCTTTACTGTGATGATCGGAAGGTTGTTGATGTAATGGAGGAGGTGCCAGAGAAGCGGCCCTTCTATTTGTACAGCAAGCGCCAGCTCACAAAGAATTACAAGGTGGGCAGCGGTCCACTGCATTAGGGAGACTTTGTAGTTCGATGAAAACCTTAACGGAACCATTACCAAGAAGTACCTTGGACTGTCAACTTGATCTTCCATGTTTCTCCGGGTTCTCTGCTCTGCATGCCAGTCTTTCAAATGTTTGAAGCTCCGGTGATATAGGCGGTCCACTTGATAGAGGCCGCCAACATTCGTTTGCTTGATCCTTCAATGAAATGCTGTAGACAACCCACATCAATTCGCAACTGCACTCCCAGCCTGTGTGGCTGATCTCAAGTATCTATAACTCTTCTTTGCAGGCATATGAGGCTGCCTTGTCTGGGCTGGACTCGTTCATCGGGTATGCCATCAAGGCCAACAACAACTTGAAGATCCTGCAACACCTGCAGCAGCTGGGCAGCGGGGCCGTGCTGGTCAGTGGAAACGAGCTGCAGCTAGCGCTCAAGGCGGGCTTCGACCCCACCCGGTGAGGCCCCACCTTCGAATCTTTTGTGGTTAAGATCTGGATCATATCCTAAGGGCCATCGAGAAGTGGCTGAGCGACCAGAGTTGATGCAGATTGGGCCAAGAAAGTAGTGCGGTCAGATTTAGACAGTCTTTCGGGAGGGATGCATCATATCTCTGGGAGCCCGTGTATAAATTCTCGATGTCACTGGATTGACGCCTTACTTCGAGTGTGTCTGGGAAACTTCAACTTGAGTTTGCCAAAGTGGATATCTTCCTTGTCACCGATGTGGGGCTGCCATATGTACTTGTGAAACGTCTACAAAAGATTGCCAAACAGCACTAATGCGCCGGGGCCATCTGAGGTGTGCACAAACTGAGATTTGGTTGTGAACGCAATGATTAGAAGGATGATTTCAGCTCGTCAAGGCGGCAGGAGCTGTCATCGGCATAGCCTCCACAGATGGTAGAGCAAGGAGGGGAGTTACTGTAATGAGGAGTCTTCTCTCAAGGTCTAAAACCACAAGCTCGGGGTGCACGCGTGGCGAAATCTGGTGCAAGAAACGTACTTTCTGCTCCAAATTGCATATATGGACATTCATTGGCTGGGCAAGGTGGACTGAAGTAGCCCTGCGCCTAAAACGGCACTCGACAGGTGAGGGTCCGATAGTGGGGACCACCTCTGAGGGAGAGTGTTGCTTCGCAGGTGTATCTTCAACGGCAACGGCAAGCTGGTAGAGGAGTTGGTGCTGGCTGCGCGCGCGGGCGTGCTGGTCAACGTGGACTCCGAGTTTGACTTGGAGCACATCACGCAGGCCGGCAAGATTGCGGGGAAGACCGTCAAGGTTCTCTTCCGGATCAATCCGGACGTCGACCCTCAGGTGAGGGGGACATGGTTTTCCTGTACTTACTTTGTTTGGTGGAGGTTGTTGTTACTTGAGAAAAAGTGTGTCAAGTTGTATTTGGAAAGTGATTCTAGTATATTGTTTAAGGTGGCAATCAGGCTTAGTGCTTCTTGTGTGGGGTCGGTATAAAGGGGCTCGACCATGCAGCGGGATGAAGAGAAGGCCACGATGTTTCTTCCGACGCCGGTTCATACCTGATGTCCGAAGGCGAAGGAGGCTCAGGAACCAGGGATTCAAGAAGTAGTCCTTAAGTATGCTTTCAATTGCGTCAGGCAAGCTCGGGTCCATGCTGTCCAAGAAGACCTTGAACGATTGATTCGTTAGGAAGTCACGAGGGGAAGGAAAAGGGAAGAGCCATGCACAGGGAAATGGGACTGTTCGAAACGTCGCTCGGTGTCCAACGAGCTGCGGCGCTACTGCACAGGTGCACCCGTACGTGTCGACGGGCAACAAGAACTCCAAGTTCGGCATCCGCAATGAGAAGCTGCAGTGGTTCCTGGACGAGGTGCGCGCGCGGCCGGAGCTCGAGCTGGTCGGCATTCACTGCCACCTCGGGTCCACCATCACCAAGGTGCGCAGCACCAACCCCCACACCCGCCGTCCTTGCGCACACTACGTCAAAGTTGGGTGCCTGATCCAAGTCCGAATAGCTTGCCTGATGTGCTTGACTTGGACCCTTCAATGACCACAAGCCACCGGACGAGCGGCCCAAGTTCTGTGCAAAGTTGGCTGAGTACTGCGGTTCGCTGAGATAAAGCTGATGTTCGGTGGCCAGGTTTGGCCGGAGGTGTAGCACTGCTAAGAAGCAAGGGCGGGACTACGGGTGTTCTGTTTAAGAGTGATCCGTGCCTGGACATGGTAGTAGACCAGCTGAAAAGAATGTTGGCTGGCTTGCTAGAAGCGGATTCCCACCGCAGTTCTGTACATGTTCTTTTCTAATAAGTGCATGTGTTTGCATATTCCAAGTAGCGTTGTGTCGGATCCTGCCCAGGGGCCTTGCTTCCGACTAGATGATTTTTCCGTGGCTCCGCCTTTCATTTCGTGGTGGAAATTCGTGTCTGTTGTTTGAGCAGGACAACACTAACACGAAAGGTCTTTCTCGATTCAAGTATGCGGTCAGATCAAGCATTCCATTCGGGCTGATTGAAACGTCCGCTCCCGGCTCTGCTGCTGACGTGGCTCCCCCTGCTGGCAGGTGAATGTGTTCAAGGACGCCGCGGTTCTGATGGTCGAATACGCAGAGGAGATCCGGCGGCAGGGCTTCACACTGCGCTACCTCAACATTGGGGGCGGCCTGGGCATCGACTACAAGCGGGAGGGGGCCATTCTGCCCTCGCCCACTGACCTCATTGACACGGTGAGCCCCGGCCAATGTCGTCTTTTCTGCCGAGACGGAATTTTGGTGCAATTCTTTTCGTGAACAGCAACGAGTCAATTTGGCTGTGTTCAGGTGGCAAGATCGGATTAGGTACACATCAGTACTGGAGGAGATGGTTGCATGAGTGCTCTGGACCCTTTTTCAGAATTGAGCAGTGGTTGTCCTCTCCAATTGTAAGCGAACCGTCTGGTGGACGATTTACTGAAAACGGCAAGCACTGCCGATCAGTTGCTATCCGTTGGATACTACGAAGGCCGTCGAAAGGTCACCAGAAACGGGGTTCGACTCAACGAGCTTGCTCCCTTGTGTTGTCAGGTGCGCGATCTAGTGAAGCGGGAAAAGCTGACGCTGATCATCGAGCCGGGGCGGAGCATGGTGGGCAACACGTGCGCGCTGGTGAACCGGGTGACGGGCGTCAAGAGCAACGGCAACAAAAACTTTGTGGTCGTGGACGGCTCCATGTCGGAGCTCATCCGGCCCAGCCTCTACGACGCATATCAGGTACAGCGCATAGTTGAACGTTTAAGATACCAGCTCAAGGAAGCATTGCGCCGGTCAAGCGACACGAGCTCCTAGGGCTCCGAGCTTCCTTCCGTTCTGAGCAAGCAACTCAGTGACTGTGTTGAAGCGAGGCTTGCCACGTTCAGTATTATGGTGCGCCGGTCTTGGGTTGTCCTCTTTTCCGCATGGAAGACACTGCCAAGGCTTGAGTGCTAATGCACAAAACGAGAAGAACACCTCGTCAAGCTCTTTTAATCTTGAACACCTTTCTTCTATGTTGAGAGGAGGAGTAATGGTGGCTTTGAATCGTCGTAGAATAGTTGAGACTGGCTTGCCAACGGCTGTCTACTTGTTTCGAGGCCCTCTGAGCTCTCGCATCGTCCCACTACGTTTTTATTGAATGGCTGCCGTTCGGAGCTGCTCAGATTTTCCAATGTTTTACATCCTTATTTCCGCTGTAATTTTGAAAAGGTCTGCGGCCCCCTTTTGGCCTGCTCCACGCTGTCTTCCATTCTCCTCCTTGCCGGCTCCGGTCCGTCTGATTGGCGTGTTCCCATTCTCCTCGTGCAGCACATTGAGCTGGTGTCGCCGTGCTCGGGCCCCGTGGACACGTTTGACGTGGTGGGCCCCGTGTGCGAGTCAGCGGACTTCCTGGGGAAGGCCCGCCAGCTGCCCACGCCGCCTGAGGTCAGCATACTTTTCAACCTCAACTTGGTCAAAAGCCTGTTGACTGAGAGCAGATCTCAAGAGCACAAATAAAGTTGAAAGTTCGAATCAAGACTCGGCCCGTTCCGCAACCGAACCCACTTGAACCCCAAGCCATACTACATGGCCCGGGGCACCTTCGGTTGTCAAGCTGGCCCTTAATTAACATGAAGTAGAGAGGAGAGAGATGGCAGTCCAGCTCGGGGGTTTGCTGCTTGCTCCCCACTGCATTCCTGATGACTTTGGCACGAGAGTGTGTGCGCGTCGAGGAAGTCACTAAGGATCCCTGCTGCAACAGTGCCAAGGCCGCAGTGGCGAGCTGCTTCTGGCCTCCTGACGGACCTCTAAGTATTGTCCATGGTCCGGAGCGTTTTGCTCCTTAATGTAATTCCTCCAGTTGCTTGGTATTCCAGGCTCGAGTGTATGGGACTGTAGCCGGGAGGTGTCAGCTCTATGTCGCTGCTTCACTTGATGCACGAGCTCGAAGCAAACCGGGGAGCCTGCCAGCGCCGTACGCTCTCCTGCTATTGATTGCTATCGGGAGTGCCCAAGGTGTGACGTCAGGTCCAGATGGGGTCCGGATAGAGCTGCTTGACACATCATGTTACGTTATCTGACCTGGCGTGTTGTGTGCAGGGGGCGGGCCTGGTCGTGCATGACTCGGGTGCGTACTGCATGGCGATGGCGTCCACGTATAACCTGCGCATGCGGCCGCCAGAGTACTGGGTGAGAAAACATCCGGTCGTGATGCCCGTCGACGGTGCAGGGCAAGCCGCCCCAAGGAAAGGGTTCCACTTGAGAACGATCTGATGTCATTGGGCGTTCAGGAAGCTCTACGAAGAAACAACCTTCCTCTATAAAGCTCAAACATCTCGCCCATGCACCCGAACAGTGTTTGGAACGGAAGAGGAGCTGCAGAATGCCTTCGCAGACAATGGTCGTTTGGATCTGATGCTCCGGGTGAGGCGAGCTGTCCTCAGTTGCTACTACGTATGGCTCTGGGGCTCTGAGCTCTGTGGGCCTTGGACGAGCGTAACACGAGCGTGTCTGAGAGCACTGGTTGCATCCTTGTGCAGGTTGACGAGGCGGGGCAGCTGCAGAAGATCCGGCATGCCGAGACGCTGGATGACCACCTGCGGGCCTTCGAGGGGCTCTGATCCCCCGGAGTGCTTCGGAAGGGGCTGCGTGTTGCGTCCGTCACGCTCTTGTCTGTCGCTGAAACGTCATTCTTTCACCAGTGATACTAAGTATCAGATTCACTGCACCTGCGAACGTGCAAATAACAGGGATAGTGCAACAGTAGCTAGGTAAGATGGTGGGAGTGCGTGAGCTGGGCACGGACAGGTTGAAGGCAAGCCGTCTTGGTACCTCTCGCTCAAGCAAAGGAACACACTGAGATCTGTTCGTTACATAGAAAGCTGGTTGCTTCGCAGTCGAAAGTTCTAGCCAGCCCGGCTGCACTGTTGACTTTGTGTCACTGCCTGGCAAGCCTGGTCTATCCAATACGATCAGGTTGGCCGGAGTCTCGTGCAAGAAATCTTGCGTGCCTACGTTCATGGCATGCATGCATGTATCATGCAATCTATTAATGGTAAATGCTCATCACTGGCAGGCCTCTCTGTCACTTGAGTGATTTGGATCTGAAAATATCAGGCCGATCGACTAATTAAGTATAAGCTCAGTAGGCGATCATGATTGGATGTTCCACAATGCGGTTGGCCCGCTCGATCTCGCATGCGGCCCGTGGGTGGGCCTCGGGCGGGCCGGGCGGCCCGCGCTCTAGTTGTATCATGTGCGTTTGTCACCCGCCCTTTAGAGGAGCGGCACCGAGTCGGTCAAATCGGACCCGCGACAGACGTGGCACATTTGCTCATATACGCTTCTCACATCCATACCAACCGTCACCCCTTGCACATACCGGACAAACCACTGAAGCAAGTGATGCACTTTTATTGAACAGGCAGCCTGCACTGCATTCAAGTTGATGCTTTTCTAATCGCCTGGTTCAACAGGCTGCACTGCATGGCAGCCTCTATCGTTTGAAAAGGCTCCGACTTGACTTCTGTCGATTGAGCTGTCATACAATGTGAGCCTAGCGGCAGCTAGTTTGAGCTTGACGACATCGTCCATGCGATCTTTACACACTCCCTTTCTGACCCGCCTCGACCTGGGCCCTTCGAGCCCGGTATCTCCGCAGTCTCTTCTCCCGACCGGACGGCTGCCCCAGCCAGCGCGCCACGGCTGTCCGGTACATGGCCTCCTCCTTGAACACGGGCTCCACTTCCACCAGCTTGTTGGCCATCAGCTCCTCGTACTCGTCCGTCGCAGCCATGTATGGCTGCAAAGAAAATATTATTGTGCTTTTAAAAAAGGACAGGGCAGGGAATCTCCTTCCAATCCAGGCCGCACCCTGACAAGTCATGCACATCCCTTCTTATCGGCGATTCTCAAGGATGAGAGGACGAGAGCATGTGGCACTGGTTCGAATATGCTTAGAATAGAGCGTGCGAAATCTGATGGGGCCTCAGGACGCCCTGCAAATGTAGAACAGTCAAGTCCTTCGCAAAAGTAAGAGAATTCTTGAGTCTCGAGCCCATCCCCCGGCTGACCCATTTCGGCCTGCCGTCTTGAGACACAGCTCTCAGTCAAATTCAGTCCTGACAGAACCCGTGGAAAAAGAACGTGGACTCCAGTTTTCATTCTGGACCCCCACACTGCTTGGTACCCCGGGCGCGCGCGACTTAGATGACTGGTTACATTCAACATCACCCGGTCTCTTCTTCCCATGCCCGGGGACGCGGAACCAGGTCTATGTACAGCCCTCGGTGTGGATTCGATCCGCCGGTCAAGAGCAGGTAAATAAGGTTACGTTACCATTGGTTACGCGTGAAGTCACAATTGCCGTGGCGGCCTAGCCTCCAGCTGCTCGCGCATAGGGGTACCAAGTAGTGCGGGGGTCCAGTATGAAAAGTGAAGTCCACGTTTTCCTTCCACGGCTTCTGACAGTCGAATTCCCTTACCTGTGGTCCATAGCGCAGGCGCTCTGGAAGGTAGTTGTATTGGTCCCGGTCCGCGCGCTGCCCGAGGTGCCGGATCACCGTGTAACTGGCAAGAATCCACGAGCAGGGCCGTCAGCAGGGAACAAGGGATTGCAGCAGAAGACGTCAGAAGAGCGCGGATAATTGGAGCAACGAAACGATGATGGAATCTACTAGCTTTGCAATAGGAGAGTATGTGGTCTCCTAAGACCGTAAGTTTTGGGGACGACGTACTTAACCTTTGGCCTCTGCCATTCAAAGGCAACGGCAGGGCGCTGTGAACATAGAAATGGCCCAGAAAAGAAATCATCCACTCAGAAGTATGCAACCCAGGAGGAACTGCTGTGCCTTCAGCTTGATGCCGATGGTGGTAGCAGACACAGCAGGAACCGAGTCAAGACGCCAACTAGTATGCAGAAGATGGGCCATCTGAAGGTGGTGATCTGAGATCAGCGCCACGCGCAGCAGCCACTATCGAAAGCAAGCTCCACCAGACCCATGGTGCAGACCAATGGGCATCTTTCGGACCGGTGTCCATATCCGAGGCCACTCCCGCCTCTGGTTGACCCTTTTATAACAAAGCATCAGGGGAGGGAAAAGACTCTGGAAACACTGAGGCTTGACCACTAATGCCATCGCATTTAGTCAACCTCCAGAGAACCAAGGCGGCGCCGCTCACTTATTTCCGTCCATAGTCGCCTGGTCCTGCAGCGTTTTGAACTGGCGTGCATTGTCCAGCACGGTGTCCCTCTCTGCCACCTCCGCCTGGTAGTGCCCGGGAATGGGCACCTCCGCCTCCTCCCAGGCCGCCAGCCGCCGAGTTCCATCCCCCTCTGCCCAGTCACGCAACCGGGGGATGTTTGGATACCGAGGCTCGTCTGACTCCGCGTTTGCTGCACAACGGAAGGACCGTTGCTGCCTAGGGTGTGGAAGTCCAGAGAAGGAGGGGTGACGGAATGTCGCAGGGAGGAAGGAATGGAAGGGTTGGCTAGGAGTTGGCAATGGAGCAAGATGGCTGTACGAGGTGCTCGGCCGAGAGCAACTGACAGCGGCAGCGGCGAGAGAGTGCACCCCCGTCAACGAAGATGTCGCTGTGGCCTCCATCATGTTGGCCGAAAGCTGTGCAAAACCTGCTCAAAAATGGAGACAAGCTTGCGCCCAAGGCTGGCGCCTGGAGGGACAGGCGAAAATAAATAGCCGAACCGACTGACCAGGTTGAAGGTGACTGCCCAGGAAGGGCCTGTCTTGCTCGCTGAACATTCTTCCTCATTACTAGTGGTACCGTATATTTGCCAGTTCGAGCAATTCATAGCCGCCTTTGTTACTCATATAAGCGGGTGGACATCAATCTGGTTCCCTTCGGAAGGCGAATCTATATTACAGGATCAAGTCAAAGTATTGGGCATACGAGATGGTATGAACATGCCAGAAACTACCTATATGAGCTACATTCTTCTACCAGCACAGAACGTATGCACGCATCGCGCGCCCATTTCTGTCCGTTTTGCGTCAATCTAATGCTGGCACAGGAAGTTTTGTAAAAGTTCTGAGGAGTCTGAGCCATTGTGTCGCTTGCTCGCTTTCATAGTTTCAAGCCGTTCATGCAGGCCGTTGTTGCAGCCTTACAAGTTACCACTTCCACAAGTCTAGATTCCTTCTGTAAAGTAGATTGCAGGGTAACCTCCGTCCATCGTTCCACATTCAAATCGAGGGTCAATGGCGGAGTCGTCGGCCCAACGCCATATTGTCATAGCCTTAGACTCATCTGACCACGCAAAGTATGCGCTGGATTGGGCAATCGAGAATGTGATCAGGTGATTTTTGCTGATCTTTTTACATGCACACATATTGAGTCCCTGATTGTTGGTGGTGCAGCTGATTTAGTCAGTCGAAAGCTGTAGATTTGATTCAAGTTTGCATCTTTTGTTGTTGTCCAGCGTACAAACTTGTAAACCAGTGCGAAATGACCATATTGTGAAATATGAGGTGGGGAAACCTTGTGAATCTGTTTCCTCCACTGGCAAACCAGAAAACTTTGATGCAAGCAAGTGAAGCTGTTTCTTGACAGGTTTGAATCTAGTATTGGTAATTGGCCCAGACATGACCAGCTGCATTGATCTCATGGCAGCACAAATGACAGTTTCAATGCAAAGGGGCCGATGAGTGTGATGCCAATTGTTTGATTGTGTGGGGCTTCTTGTTCCTTCAGCATTGCTCTCACATAGTTGATCCTTTTCTGCCAGATCGGGGGACAATGTTGTTCTGCTGTCAGTGGCTCAAAAAGGTAAGAGCCCCAGGCCACCTCTGATATGGTTCCATCAAACCTCAGATGGTCCAGAGATGGGAACAGCGAAGAAGAATGAACCTGAATCTGTGAGTGCAATCAGGGGATTTGCCTCCAGGTCATGAGATTCTCCACATGCACCTCATGTTTTGCCTTTGTGGCTTGCAGACGAGTACGAGGGACAAGCTGCTCTCTGGGGCTCCAAAGGCTCACGTGAGTGCCCCTAAACCTTAGAAGCAAACCCGTGAAGTTCCCGGTCAGGCCTTCTTTGCACCGTCAGCCATGTTTCTTGCCTGGTTGCATGCAGAACGGAAGGCCCCAGTCTGGCTCCTTCTGTTGACAATCCTTCTGGCCACATCATTGACAAGTGAGCTTTCTGGCTGCAGCATACATCCCCCTCGTTGAGTTTGACATCCTGAAGAAGTATCATTTGCTGGACCACGCCGCGATTGAGAAGCTGCAGAAGGTGTCCAAGCAGAATAATGTAAGTGGAACTTACGGCCCCCTAACTGTGTTTCGCCTGCTTATCATATATGTTGGTCAACCACCTGCAGATTGGATTCTTCCTCACTTTAGTTGTTCCTCTGCTTGTGAACAGTAACGAGTGCCCATGGCTGATTCAGAGCCCTCTCAGCAGCTTTTCAATGTGAAGCGCCTTCTGTTAACGTCAAACCAACGCAAAACAAGGAGAGTGCTACATCCCCCCTGACTTGCGAGAAATGTTCAAGGAGTTATATAGCGTCTTTCCTAAGACCTGATTTGCAACATCTCAGACTGTCAATATGTTGCTTCGAACCTCCTCTTCAGCAAGGCGTAGAGATCTTGACATGCGGCGTGCTTGTTTCTCCTTACCTGACTGCCCCCTGTTGGATTTCCAGATCGAGGTTGTGGGCCAGATCCACTACGGCGACCCCCGCGACAAGGTGGTGGAAGCGTGCCAGCAGGTGGCCGCGGACCTGCTTGTCTTGGGTAGCCGCGGCCTCGGTTCCGTCAAGCGGTGAGCAGCCCGCCCCCCACTCTTTCTAAGAATCTGTGCTGCAAGCGGGGTTGCTTAACTGGTCTATGTCTTTGGCAGTTGAGGGTACCATCTGAAAAGCTGCCATGTGTGAATTGTGAAGTCAAGCTCACATCCGTTTTTTGTAGTCGAATGGAGAGCAATAGCGAGTTTCGATTTGTTGTGGCTATGAGGGGAGATATTTATGGGTACTATGACTGTCAAAGCGATGTCTTCTTGCCGATGGGGCAGCGATACTAATCAATCCGTTTATTCCACATGTGCAGGGTGTTGTTGGGGAGTGTGAGCACCTATGTCGTTGCGAATGCTCCGTGCCCCGTGACGGTCGTCAAAAAGCCTTGAAGACATTGGCTGTAAGTAATCGTATACACAGGTTGTATTCTAAGTCGAAGTGATGAAAGCGTCAGAACCAGTGTCATTGTACCTACCCGTATTTACTGTAGACTCTAGACCCTGTCCAAGCTATTTAAAAGGTCAAATAATAGCAGATAACAAGTTGCCAAGGATTCAACAGGTTTCTTAGGCATTTGTATAGCTAGTGAATTCAACTTGTATAGAGTCATCCGATGTTCCCCACTCGACGAGCTGATTGGGCTCGTTTTTGGATCAAATTCTGAACGGTGTTGTCAGTGAGCGGACCGGCGCAGCCAAGCGGCCAGTGCACTGACCATCTAGGGAAAGCACTATACGCGTACGTACGTGTTGATCTAAATAGTAGTACTTCAGAAGTTGGCTGTCGGACGCGTGGCTTCCGGCATGCAACCGTCATGTTGGATTGCTGTGCAAATCAATAGGCCGAATTTACTGTATTATAATCAAATTGTCAATCATTCGCGGATCGAAGAATCCAATCATCTGCACACTATGTACGTTTGATTTAAAATGCACGTCTAGGAGCTGCGTGTCGATCATTTTTGCACCTGTTCAAGGTCCAATACACAAGCTACCTAGGGTGGATTTCCGGTCTGTCGATTCCGCGACAAGTTGCAACATATTTGATAGTCGGCGTATCGGAATGTGTCAGCAAATCTGACCTTTTCTGACACGCCGAGTCACATTGACGTCACAATATTCTTTCACGTACTGTACATCACTGGCCGCCCCGTCACGCCTGCCTAAGCATTTGCAGGAGAGGGGAGTTGCTTTGGCTGTGAAAATAGCTCCTCATCACCCTCTGAGAATGGCGCCTTTAGCTAGCTGTATGATGAGAGCGCAGCATGTCTACTAGCTTCCAAGCATACCTGGGGGTTCTGCTAGGAGTATGCTAGGGTGTTCATGGTGCCTGCAAATCGTTTAGCTCAGGCTTGGCGTCAGTTGTTGGGACACCTTCCTTGCTCAAGTAGCCATTGCTGAAATAGCTCCTCTGTAATGATTCTGTGCTGTTTTGCACACTGTGTAAGGACCCGCACGTGTGCGACCGCGCTGCATTTAATACGAAGCCAGAGTCAAATTGTGCAGTCTGACCGATGAATCAAGTCCACTGACACCGAGTCTACGACCGAAGCATTCCGTGCCCATCTGGGACCAACTTAAGGGCCCAGCTGGGTAAAACTCTTCGAATCACGTTTGGACAGAAGAATTTCCGACTTCAAGTGGAAGTAGCAGGCCGCCCAGCTGGCCTTCCTGCAAAATTTCTACCTTCTGAAGCTTGGGAATAGCAACAGAAGCAAATTGAGAATCAGAAAAACCCTTTGTTCAAATACTGTGACAAGGGATTGTGCGCAATACAGAGCTAGAAAGGTGCAGCAAGAAGTCTGCTCGAGCTCGTGCCCCGCTCCGGCTGAGCAAAACACGTCTGCGTACCAGCAATTGCACGGTGGGTTTTTCCTTGCTTTCTTCTTTAAATGTTACATTATGTGGGCTCCTTGGGATCCAAATTTGCCCGTGTTCTGATCAATTGGGAGCTGAGGAGCTGCTAAACATCTGAGAAGGGAGGCATGGAAGACCGGATTAAGCTTCAAGCAAGTTCTTGAAGGGTAATGAGAAATCCAGAGTTGCCTTTGTCATTTGAACTGAGGCAAAGTGGCTTTGGTTACTACTGAACCTTCTTCTTGGAAAGCATTAGATGCTGAGACATAGGAACAGTACTTGAATTTTGCGGCTTAGTGGCCATAGGTGGCAGTGTTATCTCTAAAAATCCTTGGGCTTTGAGTCTCTGCTCTTCTTTGACGTTGGCTGCTTTCAGAAGGGTTTTACCTACTACTCTCCAATGGCTGTTGCAAAAGTGTTTGATTGCGCCTGGCAGCCAACCAAGCCAGGCAGTCTCCACTTTTTATGGACGAGAATTGTTGTAGCTCTTCGAACTGATACAGATTGTGCAAAGTTTTTGCAGTAAAGAATCTTCTTTCCTGCCCTTGACTATCGGTATATCATTTCTTGGCAGGGACCACTTCGGTACCTGTCAGCTTTCAACGATAGTGGCTGGAGTTGGTTGGCTCCAGCGGGGCCAGGGAGGGGAGGGTGTGGAGCAAAGAGGAGCGCGACTGGAAAAGGTTCAGAAAGCAAAGTTGTAACGATTACGACTGGTTAAGCCTAACCTCGTTCTCGACAGGA